TGGTGTGCTAAAGTCAACAGGACAAGACTTACAGCAATGTTATCAAATTTATTTGAATCTGGAGGAATTTGATGATAAAGAAATTCTTTCGGTTTAGAGCCTGTTTACATGAAGGTGGGGGACCCCAGGTAGGTTAGGTAACCCGCCTAAGCGGGGTAACCCGCCTGTTCATATAAGTTCTTATTCAATTTTGATCACGTTTACATGATAGGTTTGGGGTAACCCGCCTAGGCAGGTTGCCCGATCTGCCAGGTAGGGTAACCCTGTTAGCCACGTAGGGTAACCCTGTTCGCCACGTAGGGTAACCCTGTCAGCCGAGGTGACAATCTGCCATGTAAACGTGTCAAGGTGAGGTAACCCGGGGTCGCGTTCATGGCAAAAAGCTCAAAAGCGAAACATGTATGTTTTAAAACTTTGTGCATTTCCTAGCCGTCTCATGGGAGAAATCACCAAACCGCAACGGACACACAAGGAGTGTAAAATGTTTACATTTCGGAATATTTAGCGTTATAAATCAACCATATTTGGTTTCCCAAACTATTCCGTATAACGTATTAAGTCAACGGTTCCTCGCGAAACCAAACATCGCGTAACACAACGCGTGACGCTTTCATTAATAAATACATTAGTGTCTGGGAATAAATCTTACGTCTTTTTCGAGATGTGAGCTTGGGACGCCTCTGCTCAAACTCCTTGATTGCAAGCGCAACAACAACCTCAAGAAACCTCACCCCAGCACCCCGGAGTTGTAATGTATGTAATGTAAACGCATTTTAGTTTTCGACCACGGTTAGGCGGGTTACCTCACCTACCTGGGGTCTGAAAAAAAAAAAATTCAGGCCTATAGGGGAGGCCTTCTTTTCACTACTGCTTAAGCAGCGTTCATAACTGCGAAGATCGCTTTCATATCCACGTCTTTATCCGCAGTTCAAATATATGACTTTCATATATTCACAGCCGTTTATTCACCAAAGATAACTATATGAACCTCCCCTTTTCCCTTTTGGTGCTCACTTTCACTGGTGACCCTCCCCTCTGAGGCCCCAGTTCCCCCCCTCAAGAAAAAAAGTACCTTCCCTTAGATCCAATCAATGCTGAATTCCAATATGATTAAAAAGGCCAAAATGTACTTTTAAGAGAGTTCATTCGGCAAAAAAGATTACTAGTCCCGTTCAAAGAAATTTAGGCGTACGTTTGACAATGAAGAGTGTCTGAAAGTGTTAGCTCCTATAAGCTTTCAACAAACTAGCAGAGCGTTTTTTACTGTATATCGGAGTCGAGTACTTTTAGTCTTTTGTACCTTTTCGTGGATTCTATCTCTGTCAGTTTATGGAGTGACCAAGGTCGGTGATTGATTAAGGCTGCTGATAGAGATGTTGAATTGACCACCTTGGATAACAGCGCCCGTAATGAGAGAGACATTGCTGGCCGGCCATATTGATAATCTGCGGCCAAACCAGCTAAATTATGAATTGTGGTCGTCCAGAAACTTGAGATAAATTAGGTTTCTCTACATCATGCGCTCTCCCTGTCCTTTGTTCACACAAACTGTGGGACATTTTTACTTGCTGGTTTTCAGGCAAGCAGAGAACGTTCCAAACATTCACTCTCAATTGCTTCGCATGGCCACCCCGAAAGGCGTAAAAAACTGATAGAATATTTCTATTGAGTGAATAATATCGCGTATCAGGCTTCTGATTGATCATACGGTAATTTCCACAAATTAGAAAAATCGTATGACCAATGGATTTCTTCTCATCAAAGAGAGACGATTTTTATTCAGTGGATTTGCACTGAGTAAATCTAAAAAAACCTTAAAAACGTATTAATGGAAATAGGACAACTTTCTGCAGGAGCTCATGCTTTTGGTCAATGGATACGTTTCGCTGTGACGTAAACATTCATTTCAGCATACGTAATTGTTTTTTCAACGCACGCTTACGAGCGTGGACTAAAGCACGACAGCAGAAATCCAGTAAAGAAGTGCGCTAGTGAGTATCGAGGTGAATCTTTTGCCAGTTGTGTTACTTTGAAAATTGCCGTGTTTCCAAACATGGAAGACACATATACCTTAAAATGTCATGTACTGATGTAAGACATTATGTAACAAATTTTGTGCCGCAACAAAATATCAGATCTTATTCAATTTTTTTTTCCTTCCAGTTCGCGTGATGTTTCTTGTTGCCTATTAATAACCGTTCCTTAATTCGATCGCAACACTTTTTTAAAAATTATAATATGTTAATTACAATATAAGAAATTCTTAAATGTGACAGTGAAAGACCACAACCCAAACTTTGCATCATATCTTTTTACTCGATGGCGTATGTAGGTCTATTTCCCGCGGTCAGAAGTCAATCCTTTACTTCGCGAAAAAGGGAGCCCATATGAACTACAATTACGAAATGAAATCGTTTCATATCAAATAAATTTAATGTGATTACTAACATCGAAGCAAAAACAAGCCAAATGCAAATTTAGCATAGCCACGTCCAAATCATCATGGTACAACTTATCATCCCATAACATCCTCAGTTGAGGGTCGTTAATAATTGATATTTTGTGGCATGAAAAACTAGAAATTTTAAAAGAGGTTACTGACTTTCCAAGCTGAGCTCGAGATTTCAGCAGTCTAAAAGCGAAATAAATGACTCTGAGTCGGGCCTGAACATATTGATGCCAGCGAAAAATAAGCGCTCTTGTTTCAATAACGAAATACATGTTAATTCATAAACATTAACAACATAATAACGATTGAGAGTAGTATGTTGTTGATGTTCAGTCTCTTTGAGCCGTTCGGATTTTTCTCGTACATGGTAACCATCGTACCTTTGACGGTCTTCTCTACCTTTGTACAAGTTGTTTCCGGCACAATAATGATGTCGTAACTGGCGAGGCTCACAACTTCAAAGTCTTGATCCTTGATGTCTTCCAGCGACACTGTTTTGCCGACTCCGTGTAGTGTTTTCGTTTCTCCATTTTTGTACTTCACCGTGGTTCTCAAGTCAACCAAATGGTCGTCGATTCCTTCCTTCACAGTTTGACTCCCTGCTGATGTATCCAAACACAAATCTCCTTTGTCATCCAGCAGCCTTTCTCTCTCAAAGGTAACCCTCACTGCTCTTTTCTTCGGGATGGAGACATAACTCCGGTACATTGGATATCCCTGCCGATAGACAGGGGCATTGCTGGGCGCGTAGCGGTACACCGCGTAAGCAAAGACAACTCTCTTGAAGGTGCTTGAACGCGAACCCACTTTAGTTTGTTTGACAATCACTGGGGAGCGAACTGAGGTGGCTTTGATTGGTGTGTATTTGGTGATTTTGGGTTTTGAGCTGGACCTTCCAGATCTAGATCTCGATCGACTAGATCTGGAGCCTCTTGAGCCACGGGAGCCTCCAGATCTGCCTCCACCACCACGTCGTCTTGTCTCTGATAATTCTACCATCACCATAAGCATGATGGCAACAAGCAATACTGTAGCGAATCGCATCTTGGCTAACAGTAACGACGAGTAAAACTGGGTTTCAAGTCAATTCCTCCTCCCAACTTTGGGAAAATTGAGTGCGTGTGATGCAGTCTCTATCACTTACTCTGTAGGAGGAAAACTACTATCCTCTGTGTTATATACGTGATGCAGTTCACTCACCACGGTTAATAAATTTGACCAAGATTATCACAAACTCTCAGCTAAATGAGTGACCACGTAGACACTTGTCAATCAATTCTATTGCGTCAAAGCGGATTCTTGCTTACCTTGTTTTCAAGTTGTTTCTGACCCCTTGACGGAAGAACAACAACAACGGCCATCGTAACTAATCGCATGAGTTGTTTTCGAGGAGCAATAAAATGAATTAAAACCTTGCGTTTGTTTTCTGAACATTTTGACACGCAAGTTGTGTCAAATGCAAAAGAGTGAGCCAAATGCTAGTATACATACTTGAATTATTTCGATCTTTTAATAAACGTTTCCGAAACCGGTCAAAACCTATGGATAAATTAAAGGTTAGTAAACGTTGTTAAACGGAGAAAGGCTAAGACAAGCTAAGAACACCGCTAATCAATTTTGATTTAATGGCAAAATTTTAAATGTTTGGTAATGAGCAATGTATGCGCAAGTGATATGATAGAGCTCGCATGATATTTCACTACACACTTCGTTGTAATCAAATGATCAAATTTGCTCAAGATGCTCAGAAAAACGATTTACTTTCTTCTCGCTCAATTATCACAAAATGTCTGTAAAGATGTAATTTAGAGGCTCTGAAGACTTCGAACTGAGAGGCTTCGTAATGATTTGAATAAAAGAGGGAAGTTTCGAAAGAAACCGCGGCGCTGCATCACTGGGGAGGATGGAGGGGGGGGGGGGGGGTGTTGAAGCCCTAAATGTCATTACTGTCCTAAATGTAATAACATTTGGTCCTAAATGTAATAAAGTCCTAAATATGACAGCTGATTGCAATCAAGAAATCATTTATAGCGGACCAATATGACAGCTGATGCACCAAGAAATCATTTGACCAATATTCATGTCACATTGCGGGCTCGCTGATATCAATCAGCGTTTTCTTATTTGCTAGACTTAAGTCGAGAAGCATCAGCTGCAAACCGTCATACTGATGAACAATTTGCATCAAATAACAGCTGGCATAACAATGAGTGTGCTGACCAATACCTCTCCATATATCACCGGCTCAGACTCTTGAGTACAATATATTTTGGAAAAATGTGATAACGTAATACTTTTGTGATCAGTGATGGAGTTAACAAGTCATAAACCAATTTAAAAACTTGGAAAAGGAAGTCCACTGAAATGTAGGTCGGACAATTTGCCGGCTCGGATATAAATTTTTTTGAACCTGGGATATTGCATTTCTAGCCCTCTATGGCTTCACTCCACCTCGGTAATCAATTCATGTACCACATAACTATAAGTGGAAACTATTGAGCTTTCTTTTTTCATATGTTTATTTTTCTATTCATTTTCTCAGCGGAGAGAAGAGATGAAGACAAAAAATGAAATATAAACTTGAGATCGATCGTGGAATATTTGTTCTCTGTTGACCAATCTTATTCGGTCAAAATGGCTGGATATTAACCTCGTTCTTTTACTGCGTTTTTATGGACCTCGACTCCGTCTCGGTCCTTAAAAACGCAACAAAAGAACTCGGCCAATATCCAGCCATCTTGACCTCCCGCTTAATTCATAATGCATATTAATATATTTCATGCAGACCCACTCAAATCTGGCGAGGGAAGACAATACATAAAACTGCATTTCCGAGCCTGGAATTTGTTTGACGCATGGGTCAGTGGAATTCTTTTTTCTTGTTATGTGGCTCGTAAAGTGTTAACTTCAGCACTGATCACACAAGTATATCGTCAAAATCTGTTGCACAAAAGAGTCTGAGCCAATGATATAAAGAGAGATGTTGGTCAGCGTTCTCATTGTTTTGACATCTGTCAATTTGATGCCAAAAGCATATCTGTAGAAGGGTTTGTAGCCAACGCTTCTCAATCTGCGTCTCTAGCAAATAAAAAGACGCTGTATATATATCAGTGAGCCCGCAATATTGCATGAATATTGGTCAGATGATTTTTTGGTGTCACAGCTGTCACTTAAACATCACAATGTGAATGTCCGCTATAACAACAATGCGCTAGCGCAGTTAAACGATTGCATTAAAGGTTTATTACATTTAGGACCAAATGTTGTTACATTTAGGACTTTATTACAGTTAGGACATTTGGGCCTTCAACAAGAAGGGGGGGGGGGAATAACAAGACATTTGGTTTTATCAACTGAAATAATGATGATGCAAATTTGCCACTATAAAGAGTTTACACAAGAATGCTCAAGCAGATTTTTCGTGCAATAGCCCCTCGTCTGTTAGCGCGTGGAACGTCAGCTTTTCTAGTACTTTTTATTTATGTTTTGTTCAGGTTTAATTTTATCAATCAATCCTTCCTTTACTTGACAAGTTCGTTATTTCAATCAGTTTCATCGATCAGCCTCAACTCACAAGTCCAATCGCAACTTCGCCCCTTTCAATCCCGATAATTCAATGTGATTTCACACCGATTTCTCTATTCCAATTTGTAAGTTTGATTATCAACTGCATTTAATTAAACCTTGATTTTTCCGTGTTTCCGTGGACGAGAAGACAATGGCTGAAACAGTTGGAAAGTTCTTTCTTAGTCTAGAAATTTTACAAACCTGCAATGTTATCAGAAAGATTAGATAATCCACACTTGTTCTCAGACACTAACAGCCATCTCTGAAAGTGTCTCTATGGATTTCGCAAAATCAAGGTTTACAGTACTGATTCACAGAGCTGTTTGTCGTAGAAGTGTTGCAAAGTACTGTTTAATGATCTTTTCACGAAAATAAACGAACTATTGAGCTCAAAACATACCTCCTCAATCGTGGTAGCTATTGTCGACCACGGAAACAACGCGCTGACAGCCGATCACGTGCGACTTAACAAGTTTCCAATTTATCGTGCGATCTTAATTTTATCGCGTGATAAATGAGATTTGTCGCGCGATAAAATTGAATTTTAAAAATGGATAGCATGTCCTCTATGGGCCACCGTAGATTCCGTAATGGCAAATAACTTATTTGCATTATAATCAATATCATATTAGTCGTGTATAGCTTTCCTCACGCGAACAAATTTCGTTTATTTAGCAAATCAAAACATCCCACTAAAATTTTATTTACATGATAAGAACCTCTTTTTAACTACGGATTAAGTGTCATCGGTAGCGATGCAGAAAACACAAACAAAATGCAAATTTAGCATTAGGTTACTACCAGTCAGATGAAATTGCCGAATGGCGTGCCATGCATAATTGATCGTCACCTAACTAATGAATATCAAATTCTGTTTACACACTACTTTGCGAGTAATAAGAGATCGGCTATCAAATTGAATCGATCATCTCTCGAATACAACGGACAATCTAGACACAATGGCCAGTCCGATGCTTAATGTTAGTGATTTAATGTTTTGACTAATACACACAACGCAATCAAAATTGAAAGGAGGTTGTTATTTCCGTTCAACTGACTCGAACCGTTTGGATTTGTCTCGTACATGGTAACCATCGTACCCTCGATTGTCTTTTCCACCTGTGTACAAGTGGTTCCTTTAACAATCGCGACGTTGTAACTGGCGAGGCATATGACTTTGAAGTCTTGATCTTTAATGTCTTTCAGCGACACCGTCTTATCGACACCAAGTAGTGTTTTTGTTTCTCCATTTTTGTACTTCACTGTAGTATTCAAGTGAACCAAGTTATCGTCAATTCCTTCCTCCAAAGTTTGACTCCCTGCTGATGAACCCAAACACAAATTTCCTTCCTCATCCAGTAGCCTTTCTCTCTCATAGGTCACCCTTACAGCTCTTTCCTCTGGGATAGATACATAAATCCGGTACATTGGATATCCCTGCCGATAGACTGGAGCGTTGCTGAAAGCGTAGCGGGTCACCAAGTAGGCAACGACAACTTTCTTGAACGTGCTTGAACGCGAACCCATATGAGTTTGTGAGACGATCACTGGAGTGCGAGCTGAAGTAGCGGTGATTGGCGTGTATTTGGTGATTTTAGGCTTTGAGCTTGATCCTCCAGAGCTACTTCTCGTTCTACTGGTTCTGGAGCTTCTAGAACCTCCTGATCTCCCTCTTGTTTCGGATAACTCCACCATCGCGATAAGAACGATGGTGACAATAAACACCGTGGTTAATCGCATCTTTGTGGAATTCTGCAAAAAGTCAGTTCTTCTTCGATCTCTTCTTTACTTATGTGCAAGTTTGGTGCGTGGGCGCAGGAAAATAACTGTTCCGTGAAGAGCGTAGGCGGTGACATATTCAACAGATGGGGAGGTGGGCTCAAATCCTAAGAGCTGCTTTCTTCCGCAAACAAGATTTGACAAATCATGCTTGAAACAAGTAAAAGACATGTATAATATGATATAGCAGCCCAGTCAGTTGTTATGGCTTGTGCCACAAAGAAAGGTTTAATTAGCCAATGTGAAAATTAGGCCAAAATTAAGGATTGAAAGCTCACCTCGGGAAGGAATTGGGGCATGGATATACCTATGATAATAAACAAGCTGAAACGCTGGAGCTTAATAAATGTAATACGTGCCAGAAAAGTACGAAACTGACGATCAGCTGTTCAAGTTGTTGTGATACGGTCGACAAGGCAAGACTTGCAGCAACGTTAACCAATTTCTTTAAATCTGTAGGAATTTTATGATACAGAAATTCTTTTGATCTAGAAAGTCTATCGAGACCGGAGCAATTTTAAGTGTAAATTTTTGTTAATAATTCCACTGTCATTAGTTCTGAACTAGGGATGAAGATACCTGTAATTTTCTCACGCTCTGTAAGTCTTGACAGATATCCAAAATAAAAAATACAACATTTATAGTGTAAAATGAGCAATAACCTGTTTTTGTGGGACGAAACCTGATCAGAAATAACGAACCAGATATTGAAGATCAATTGTGTACTTTTCAATTTTCTTGCGTTAGCTAACGAGCGTAATAAATTAAGTGTCTTTACATACAAAGAGTGTACATGTATTTACGATCAAATTTCGTTTTCCCGCTGCTTATGCATAACACTATCATCGTCCCAGAGACAACAATGTTTGCTTACTCATGTAATACTGCAGCATATTTTCATTTGTTCACCTTCCACACACACCTGTGCTCTTTTTCTTCGTTACTCATTGTAAGGAACGTACAGTCAAATCTCTTTCAAATGCTAGACTGACTATGATTGAGTTTACGTGCAACAAAGACACAAAAAATATTATGATTTTCACTTTGAAATGAAACTTGACTCGAAAAATTTTTTTTGCAATTACATAAATGTAGCAGGTTTTAAGTTTCTCGTCACTAACATTTAGAACAGTTAGTATTTAATGGTCATAAATGTAGATTGAATCTACCTTTGCACGCAAAATACCTAAAACCTCCTATAGCTCCTAAACTAACTTAACCGTGTAATATTTAGTAGAAAACTTACCAGTAATCATAAAATATACTATTTTTGTTTATCAAATGGCAAGAGAAAGCAGGATTGGGGAATATCATCGTCATTGGCTTGGTACTGGTCAAAATGATAACAACGATCGATGATGATTATTTTTATTGATTGCATTATAACTTTTACTATTTTCATTGTTATTTCCGTTGTTATTGGAAGTGTTACTGACTTTGATAAATCATCAAGTAATGTTTGTAAAGTTTATTTCCTCCAATTGATTCTCATATAGCGTGACTTTAAGAAGGGTAATCCAAGGTACACTGAGGGCAAATCTGTATTGCGTGACATTTTCCCAAAGTGCATCCGCTTTTAAACTCGAATAAGAGGCCTTAGCATCCAATTACCTTTCGTCCCATTTGATCCTAAATAACGATCTACAGAGTTATTTTTAGGGATTATTGAGATCTCGGACTGAGCAGCTACCTAGTGGAGTAGACCGCATTATTTTTTTTTCTCTGTTCGAGGTTCCGTCATGGAAAATAACTTAAACATCATGAATATCAATCGTGCATGTGTTTTGTCACGCGCGCACATCGTGTTTTCTCAGTCTTTATTGGGAAAATTTTAAACTCCTACGTAAATGGTACTTGAAAAATGAAAATCCTTTCACCGACTATGAATTAAATGTCATTAGAAACATGACATTTTACCAAAAACAACTAGACTACATATTTATAATAATTGCATGTAAATTGTGTCCTACTACACCAACTGGCGGGCCGTGTATTTTCATTTAGATCAGTGTGTATGATATCAACCAAACTAACCAGCCAGAAAGAGTTTAAAGATGTTTCATGGATACTAACTATGAGTAACGAAACGTGTTGATGAATACAAACAAAGTAACTACAGATGAGAGTATTTTTTTGCTGATGTTCAGTTGGCCTGAGCCGTTGGGATTTGTCTCGTACAACATGACCATCGTACCCTCGACGGTCTTTTCCACCTGTTTACAAGTTGTTCCGGTAACAATCGAGGTGTTGTATCGGGCGAGACTTACGATTTCGAAGCCTTGATCCTTGATGTCTTCAAGGGACACTGTGTTGTTAATCCCGTGTAGTGTTTTCGTTTCTCCATTTTTGTACTTCACTGTAGTTCTTAGGTCAACCAAGTTGTCGTCGATTCCTTCCTTTATAGTTTGATTCCCTGCTGATATATCCAAACACAAATTTCCTCTGTCATTCAGCAGTCTTTCTCTCTCACAGGTCACCCTAACAGCTCCTTGCTCCGGGATGGAGACATAACTTCGATACATTGGATATCGCTGCCGATAGACTGGGGCGCTGCTGAACGCGTAGCGGTGAACCGCATAGGCAAAGAGGACTGTGTTAAACGCGCTTAAACGTGATCCCAGTTTGGTCTGTGAGACGATTACTGGGGAGCGAGCTGAAGTGGCTTTGATTGGTGTGTATTTGGTTATTTTAGATTTTGAGCCAAACTTCTTAGAGCTATAGCTTGTTCTACTGAATCCAGAGCTTCTAGAGCCTCCCGATCTGCCTCCACCACCACGTCCTCTGGTTTCGGATTCTTCCACCATAACAAGAAGAACGACGGCAACAAGAAACACTGTGGTGACTCTTATCTTTGTTGACAACGACATTAATAATCGGGATGAAACTCAGTGCTCTCTTGCGATTTTTCCTTCACCGGATTTGCAACTTCCTGCAAACAAGATTTGACAAATCATGTACCAATAAGATACAGGTATCAGTTCATAAAGTAGTTGACATGTAATAGTTTGTAACGCAGATTACAAGTGTTAGATAGCCTACCTGGATCCCTTATGTCCAAAAAGATGATATAGGAACAAATGACTTAAAGATAATGTGGTTCTACAAGTCGAAAATATTCATTACGGTGAACCTGATAGAAAGCCGCCAGAAAACACATGTATGCACGGATTAAGAGCATAGATGCGCTCTGAGACTCGCTTAAAGCGCAGACCATTACTGTTTCAGAGCCTGCTTACATAAACGGACATCACCCGCTTTCATCATTATGGCAGTTCCTGGTTGGAAATGCCATGATTATGATACACATAACTTCCACAGTTACCCACCATTAGCTACTTAAAGAATATTTATAGAGTATTTAAGCTGGCTTTGCTACAATGATATTGCACAGACATAAAACAATTTTTGAATGACGTTGAGCACGATATCATGAATTATCGAGGTGTGAGTTATTTGCCGAAGCCGAAGTCAGAGGCAGATAACACAGACGCGAGCTTTGATTCATGATATCATGCGAAATATACTTCCATAATTATCTTATTATACATTTTTTAAACAATCTTCAAAGGAAGACACTTCTCTCTGAGTTTACAAAAGTTTGAGAACTCTACATGGACGATGGGCTTGGAAACTGGGCCGACATTGACCACGAGATGATAAATGCAATATCCGCTGCAGATATTGGGTTATTGCGTTAACTTTTTTACTTGCTATTGTCTATTGATTGAATGCCCTAGACCAATCAGATTTTTCAAAGTAATTCTAAAAAGTCTAATAGAACTAAATGTCGTTATCAACAGATAACGCTTATCACAGATTGGGTTTGAGCGCAATGCTTGAGAAATCAAAAAAAAAAAAAGAACTTGGGTGAGGGTCAAAGTTTGACTGTTCTTCAGGAAACAAAGCCGAGTTTATATCATGTTATTTCATCTGTTGTCTGGGATTCTAAAGATAGTACAAGTTATTTGAATAATTACCTAGTTTAGCTGTCGGATGCGATCATCAAGACACTGTAAAAAAAAAACGGAAAATGAATCTTTATGTTCGAAAAAACGAACATAATGTAATAACATCATCTTTGTGTATCCAAGGACGTTAAGCACACGAAAACAACCTGGTGACGCAGATGTTTAAAACAATAAGTCCCAAAATCGAAGTTACCTAGTTTCATGTAGAAAAGCTTCTTCTGTTTCACTGTGCGGCTCAAAACTGTGTTTGTCGTGTTGAAAATAGGACAGTGAAAGTTTGGCGCGTCACAGTAGCCTAAGAAATTTATGACGAGGTGCGCGCGCTGGATATGCGAGGCAATTCGCCGCTAAAAACAACGGGAACGTAGGCAAAAAATTATACGGAAAAGAAAACCTTGAACTTTTAATTTTGTGTTATAACTATATCATTTGCAGTCCTCTGTGCTGCCTTTACAAGTTAAGTTAACCAATGCATCCCACTGTTTTGGTGGAGCCTTACATGAGTTCTTTCCCTGACGGTTTGAAAGATCCGGTTAGATGATTTTTCTCTTATTCAAAGATACAAATAAGTATATTCAATTAATTATCCATCATGGGCCATGGGGCCTACAGTGTAATTGCTGCGTTTCTTTTCTCAGACTCGAATGATATCTGCCAGCATCGATACTTCTCGACGTGTTTTTGAAACTCAGTAACTATACATTAGATCTCTGATAAGTAAAACCCTCTGATTTCTCATTCAAATGTTCCCTTTTTAATTGAAAAAACAACCTTAATGTCAATTTTCTTAGATACCATAGTTACGCAATATTCAAAAGACTCCTTTTGTAAATTTCTAGTATATTTCGGCCCTCTTGACACCGGTTCACAAAAATAAATGTTAAGATGAAAGGTCCATCTAAATTGAAAATTGTTTTGGACGGGGTTTTTTTAACAACGTCGTTGTTAACTTTGGGCTTAACTTTGTCTATGTAAGTGGCCCAAAGAGTTTCTTTTTCAAATTGATACTTGCAAGAGAATATAAACTTACATTCTTTTGATACTTGCATTGCATGTCTATCGAAATGGTTCGAGGATTTATCATCAATGGATGTAAAACTCATGCTACATATACCTTGGAGCATGATATTGCATGAATGCGTTAGCTGCCGTGACCGAAACAAGTTTAAATCGCTCAAAAATTTATATTTGCCAATTTTTTGTCTAAAATCCTTTCTCTTTACTGAAGACTTCTGATAAATTTGAAACCCTGATGATTTTTTTTCGCATTTGTGCTTTTTTTCCTACTATGAATAGAAAGCTCAGCCTAGTTTTCAAACTAGCTTTTGCTTTTGCGGCTAAAAGCCGGCATCAGCATATTTCGAAATTTGAAGTCTCAAATTTTCGCTAAGACTTCTTCATATATTTCTGATAAGTTCAATATTTCAGTTATCTTTCGTGTACAAATATTTTGTTACTTAATTAGGTGACAAGATCGGTTCTGAGTTGTTAAGTATCCCAGATCTTGAGACTTGAAGGAAATTCAATTTGCTTCCAAATTCAAACACAATTAGATGACACCAAATAGAGCTTGTATTGGAAATAAATTAATAAACCAGTCATGAGATCGCTGAAGGTCTGCGAAAGAATCATTACCATCAAAAGTTAATCCAAAAATGGTGGCTTAATAAACTATTCACTTACCGAGTCCAAGTATAGACGAATTAAATACGTCCATTCCAGAAGAGGAAGCCTTCTCACAAAAATAAATATATTTAGACAGCCACCATTTTTGCTACTGTTATTCAATAATTTCAAATTCTTATCTTTGCAGTATATCCTCTCTTCATTCAGTCATTTTATCTTGTTCTCATAGTTATATTCCTTATTCTTGCATCCAGCTCTGACGACATTCCTCTTCATGAAAATAGCAGTTGCCAATGAGATGAGGAACTGTAAAAATTTTTCAAATTTCCACGAAGACTGATGCGATAGCATCGCTTACACGGGATCGTAAAATAAAGAGCTTTTTCACGAAAAGTTTGTATTATTTGTCACACGAAAATTCTGAAGGGATAGATTTTCTAATGAAGCCGTGGCCATGTTCAACCAGAGAATGACGTCCCTAGTGAATGTTAACACCGATGACACCTTCACTTTATGGACAAAAAGAACAGAATTCCTATCCAATTCATGATCAGTGCAAGTTAAGTTCTGCTTCGACACCCTTGCTTCGAACTTCGAGTTGAGAATCTTTAAACGAACACAACTGCCACGTTGCTACGTGTTGAATCGTTTAACTAAGAAATTGCCATTCGCTTACTTTTCTAAAACGATTTAATGGCAATATTTCAAAGGATAGCTCTCCTTCTGTTAAATAGCAGTATTACCGTTTCTTTGCTCTCCTTTGCAGCTCGGGTGTCTTATTTCTTCCAGACTGCACTTACATATTCATTGCCTTCAGAATAGTTCATTTTAAAGTTGTGCACATAGTTGCCAAGCCTTTGATTTGGAGTAAGGCTGAAGGTGACCTTGTTGTGATAGAGACCAGTATCTAGTTAGCATGATAACAAAGTAATTTACATTTGAAAAGCAGCAAGGTTTGTATTATAACAAGGTCAATCCTGTTCAAAGGCTTAGCAACCAAGCATTCAATTGTAAAATGGACTACTCAGTTGAAGAACGACACGTCTTCACTATGGTTTGCTAAAAATTTGTATATTTCTGATGAATATGGATTAACAAAGCCAGCCAATAATCGCCTGTTAGGTCGTAGACGGTACGGGGTTCTGTGTGCACGCTCAATCAGCTAATGAAGAATCAGGAAGAAAAGAAGCCATACTGTGTGACGAGTTCGTGTTATAATAGGGGTGTCAATAAAGAAACAATACATTTCAAATGAACATGATTCATTGTTATCTTCCCATGAAGAAGAAATATTATAAAATTAATCATTTTATTTCCCTTTTCTTGTGAAGGTAGGGGAGGATAAAAGTAACGCAGAATGAACAAACGCACCGTTGAATCATAGTGTTGGGATCGTACAAAAGAACGCTGATTAGGACAGGGTGATTTTTATTCGCTATGCTTTCGAATTGAATCGAAGGCGCTGCCATCCTCCTGTGCGAATGGATCGCAACATAAGTGCTGGGATGCCTCTCATTCAGTTGTAACCGAACGAATAGATTCCATGTTGCCGTGCGTCTGTCCTGTAATAGATCACAGATGGCGTTAAAATGTGATAAGAGCCAAAAACTGGCACACGAGGTACAGCCGCGTGTATAACTAATGTCCTTACCTCATTTTGAAGTCTTCTGTGATTTATTAGTGTTCAGAAACAAAAATGTTAATTGTGATGTCATCCATGCCTCTGTCTTCCAATAGATAATAGGTAAAAACCAATCAAATTGCGCGTTAAATTGAGCTTATTCTATGATAGGTGAGTCGAAGATCACGCAGTCCTCTAGAAAGAAGTTAAGAATCTTTAAAATTCCTTTGATCTGGATTTTTTCCATCCCCTTCCACTTCCACGGCCCTGCAGGTGGTCTATTTTCACGCTTAGTTACATCTTAATGGTAGCAAAAATTTCGGGCAAACCAAAGAACAATAAATCACCAAATTCGAGGCTTTGAATGACAAGCACCTACATCAAAATTTCACTAGAGACAAGGTATGTTCTCTCATTTTCTCTTTTTACATGTCACGTGGTGTACTGGTCTTACGTGGCAATGGTTGCGTCAAAGAACCGAACCTAACCTCCTTCATTTTTTCAATCTACATTTCCCTTCTTAGTATTGGTTGATTAGATATATCTAAGTAATGACTTCCTATTCCCTCCGCGATTAAACCCACCTTTAGTAAGGAAATAAAGGGGAAGGGTGTCGATGGAGCATTTTTGCGAAGGAGCTGGTACCTAGAAGGAATGGTTACCTAGTATAGTGACCGTCACCGTTCACCGTTCTTCTTGAAGCGTTCGTGTGGAAACATTCATCCATTTTTTGATAACATTTCTCAAGAAACTTGCAATGACGTGTTTCACCAGTGAAAAGATGACTTCATTAATTAAACAGGCTTCCATTTGGTCCGTCATAATCGGAACATTATCCGTAATCATTTTGGCATTAGTTGTCTTCGCTCTTCGATTTTACGTACGAAGAAAATCAAAGGATGCGCTTCCACATCTCCGATCTGTGGAAGGTGAGGGAGAACATTTCCGTCCCGTTGTGGTCGGTTTTTTTCACCCCTACTGCAATGCAGGAGGTGGAGGTGAAAGAGTGCTGTGGACTGGCATTCGTGCTCTTCAGAGGCGCTATAATTTTGTTCGCTGTGTTGTGTACACCGGTGACTCGTGCGTGACTGGGAAGGAAATTCTCCGCAAAGCGGAAGAACGTTTCAACATATCGTTACCTCGATCAGTAGAGTTTGTGTTCTTGAAGAAAAGGCGCTGGGTCGAAGCGAGCACGTATCCACACTTCACTCTCTTGGGACAAAGCTTTGGTTCCATGATTCTGGGCTGGGAAGCCTTGAACAGTTATTTGCCAGACATATTTGTGGACACCATGGGTTATGCCTTTACCCTGCCAATGTTTCGCTATCTGGGAGGATGCCAGGTTGGTTGCTATGTTCATTACCCTACCATCAGCACTGACATGTTGTCACGCGTGGGTGATCAAACAGCTTCCTACAATAATGCCGCTTATATTAGTAATAGTCGTGTCCTGAGTGCAATCAAGTCAATTTATTATTTCCTGTTTGCTGTGCTGTATGGTTTGGCTGGCTCATGTGCTGAGGTTGTCATGGTAAACTCCACCTGGACTTATGGCCATATTGTGTCATTGTGGCGAAAGAAGAACCGGACATCAATAGTGTACCCCCCCTGTGACACGAAAGCTTTCCTAGAGCTGCCTGTGAAGGTTGACACGGTTGACGGCAATGAAGATGATGATAAAAGCATTCATTCCATAGTGTCAGTGGGACAGTTCAGACCAGAAAAAGACCACCCACTCCAAATAGAGTCCTTTCATGAATTCCTTAAATGCCAAATGGCCAAAGATAGACACAAGTTCAAGCTTATTCTTGTTGGAAGCTGCCGAAACCAAGAAGACAAAGATAGAGTTGTTTCCCTGAAGCGGCTGGTTTCAAAGCTTGAAATAAAAAAGAATGTTGAGTTTGCCTTGAATGTTTCCTTTGACAGGCTCAAATCTTATCTTGCTGAAGCCACTATTGGTCTCCACACTATGTGGAATGAACATTTTGGTATTGGCGTTGTTGAGTGTATGGCAAGTGGTGCCATCGTCTTGGCTCATGACTCTGGAGGCCCCAGAATGGACATTGTCATTGAATGGGAAGGAAAACCAACAGGTTTTCTTGCAAGTGATAAGAAAAGCTATGCATCTGCAATGGAAACAATATTTTCCCTTTCACCAGAGGAGAGGAATGTTATCCGCTGCAATGCAAGAAACAGTGTTGCCAGATTTTCAGAGAGAACTTTTGAGAGTGGATTTCTTCAATGTACAGAGCCCTTATTTATGGGTGCATGATTCTCTCAGGACTGAATGTAATTTAGTTTCCAATATTATTGATCTTTTCAATGTGTATTTTGATGAAGGTTCAACCAATTCTGTTTTGTCTGAAAAAGTTTAATTTGTTTATTAGATGAAGAAAGACTTAAGTTAGACATATTTATCATATTCAAGGGAAAAACAGATAGATTATGTTTGCCTTTGAGGATTTTTACCTCGGTCCTTTTTTTAATTTTGTGGGTCCATGCTTCACCAACTTAGCTACAGAGAACTGAAAGACTGAAATAAGTTACTAGGTGATTGGATTAACTGACTGTGATATTCTGGGAAAATCATGAAATGTGCATGGTACATAATTTGCAATTTTTTTCCATTGTTGTCAGCTATTATACACTGGCATTTGCCTTGTATTGCTATCCCAGTAATTTTCTTTTCCCATTTTTGGCAAATGGAAAATAAGGGAAAACTAATGAGATTGGACAAGTTTGTCACACAATTTTGTAAAATGCGGCCCTAAGATGATGTCAAAGGGCCAAATATTGCTGTAATTGGCTGTAGATTATTGGCAAGTGTACCTGTATAAAGGCATACCCTAAATATGCCTCTCTGGCAGTTTGGTGAGCTACAATTGGTAGTTATAATGACCTTGTGTCACTGGCTTAAATAATTAGGCTATAACTTACTAACATTTGCAATGCACATGTAGGTATACAACTTGCATAAGGTGTCATTGTTCAATACACATGGTAACCTGAAAACCTCAACTTTGTTTATAGTGAATACTTTATTGTCAACAAGTTTACCTGCTGTGTTAGATTGATTAACATTTCTTTGTAACTAATTTCATGTTAAAATGTGTCAAGCTCTTTGCTGTCAATTGTTCCTAATCCCTTGTGATCTTTAGGGCTGGTTTTGTAAAAGTTTCACTCAAGTTAACCATGATATATTATAAAAGTTTCATTCAAGTTAACCATGATATATTTCTCAATACTTCTTATGTTTGATCAGTAAAACAAAAGACTATAGAACTTTCACTTTTACAAGTATGTACTCAGTACTCTTTAGAAAAAAACTTCTCATACAAATACATGTTTTAAACCCATTACTGTAGAGTCAGTGTATCATGCTGCATTTGCATTTGTATCAATTTCTTTGAGGATCACCTAAGTTTGCTCTTGGACAATTGATAATTTAGTTTCACACAACTAAACAAAAAGCTTCACCATCACTAGTGGTTACTTAACGTGAAGCCATCTTTAAAATTTGTGAACTATTTTAGGGTGATATATTCAGAAAAACCATGATATTGATAGTATTATTTTGTTATGAAATAACAATAATTGACCAGTTTACACTGAAGCTGTAAGATTTGAGCACCATAGACAAAGCTTGCAACAGTAATTTTGAATTATTGCAGGGGGTGCTTAAAAATACACACAGTTATTCATTAGAAATGAAATGTTGAAATTATACATGAACACGTATTTGGCAATAATAGAAATTATTAAAATTAGATTTGGTGGTCCAAAATTTATTGTTATTAAATACAATGGCAACATTTGAGAGTTACTAAATGAAAATAAGATGACTTTATACATTAAGAGGCAATTGTTATTTTAACAAAATATGAAGTTCAACCTAGTCAGAATTTAATGTCACAGCAATAGTGTAATAACAAACACCTGACCTGAGTGAGTTTAACTTGAATGCCTCTGTTGACCTTTAAAAAAGTCCAAATACACTGAAAGTGGAACTAAGTACGTATGACCTCCTGATATATTTTGTAACAGAGTCTGTGCCAAACTGAGATGAGAGTTCAAAAGTTTTTTTGTAGTAAATCATTAACCCTTTAATTCCCATGAGTGATCAAGACAGAATTTCTCCTCAGTATTAACTAGATTAGTAAAGAGAATAAAGAAAAATAACAATTTGGGGATAATTAGTTGATCCAATACAAAATTCTCTGAACTAACATTATAAGAATTGTATGGTTGGCAGTAAGGAGAATTACTAATATGATCTGGGAGTTAAAGGGTTAAGCTTATTGCTAAGCTTGTATAATAATCAGTCTTGCAGACAATGACAGAAACTAAAGCTCTAGGTGAATATTCAAAAATTGTGAAACGTTTTCATGACCAGCATACACTGTACTTCAATGTTTGAGTTTTTCTAGCTCTGCTTATCTAGTGGTGGCAAATAATAATAAAATAGTAGTGTGATTGTGGTAGATGCAGTGTATTAGTCTTTACCCCTGATGCCCTAACATCAGCATTCATTTTCTCCATACTCTTCTTTATACATTTCTTTTAGTAATGACAAGAGGAATTCATTTAAAAATCAAAGCTTCTTAGTTTGGCAATTCTTTCCTTTATTCCCTCGAGCTTAACCCACCTCCCCTTAAATGTGACTTGCTTTGACTCATTTCTCCTCACAGTACCACCCCTGAATCAAACATTGAGGTCACAAGAATAAGGAAATTATCACCAATTTAAAAAGCTCTTGATTGTTAAACAAATTCTCCTCACCAGCACCTCAGGAAGTGTTCAGAAAACAGTATGGAGATCATTCATACTAATGTTTGGGTGTGAGAGGTTAATATTCATGGGTGAAATTGTAATGACAAATAAGAAGCTAGTCATTCTGGGGGGTTAAAGGGTTTTAGCTTAACCCTTTAGTGCCCACGAGTGACTGACAGAATTTCTCCTTACAATATCTATACAATATCAAGTATGCAAGTAATGAGAATATTATATTATTAGTTGATCCAATACCAAATTCTCTGAACTAACATCACAAGAATTGTATGGCAGACAGTAAGGAGTGTTACTGATGAGATCTTGGGAGTGAAAGGGTTAAAATTGCAAAAGACACTGTAATGAACAGTACTGTTTTGGCTTCAATCATCGAGTTCTCGTGGGCACAACACAAAACAATGTCAGTTTAAATGTTAGAATCAGCAAAATAACTGGAATGGAATATCCACACCAATGTAGATAAATTTGAAAACACATGTTTTCCTTTCTTTAGTCCCCAGAATTGAAAAAAAGTCCTTTCACTGTTAGAAGTAACTAGAAAAAAGGTGTACTCCTAAATACAACATTGGTAGATTTTCACCAGGAGAGGTGATGGAAGGAACAAAAACCTTGACTAGGGGATAATTCCCAACCATAAAAAGTTCCTAAAATATTTCCTTAACTGCCAGAGTCTCCATTTAAAACCATTCAAGGTGAGTACAAACAATAATGAAATACCATTAGGTAATGAAAATGATGCCATATATGGAAGCAAATCAACTGTTTCCAGGGTGGTAAAAGGAAAGTCTGTAACTGAGCCAAAAAGCCTATCCAGCAGACTTTATTCCAGTTTCCTCAGCATGAAGTGACTAGGAGTATTAAATGTACTATTCCCCTCCCTAGATGGAATGCTAGTCCATCACCATTTTATCAGACCTCCCTGACAATTTCTGCTATCATTTATACACCCATGTGGAGAGATACACTTGTAGGAGTAAAGAGATTTGCCCAAGAAAACAGCATAATGATCTTGCCAGGTCACAATTTCAAATCATTTATCATTTATAAATAAAAATCATTTATACACCTGGGTGGAGAGAGACACTTGCAGGAGTAAAGTATTTTGCTCAAGAACACAACACAATGACCTGGCCAGGAGAGGATTATTTTCTAATCACAGTACATGTAGTTTGTTGTCTATACCTAGTTTGTAATGAGAGTAAGTTGGGTAAGGATTAGAGGAAATGTTAGTGGGGTTGGGTTGGCAGAAGACCTTGTAGGGAGACCCCAAGTCCTATTGTTTATTCAACTAGTACCTTGTACTGTACTGCATACCTAAATAAATCAATCAATCCATCAATAAAAATACAATCTTGCTTCAAGTATAAATATCTTTATTATTAATACATTCAAGTAATCCTCATTAACAATTTATAATATTTCCTGTTACTTTGTTAAACACATATTATTAAATACATATTATGTTACATCCAGACAGCCTTAAGTCCACGACTACTTGGATTCTTATACAACCTCCCAAGCAAACTTTTCCCTGTCTGTCAAAATGAAAGAAACAGACCATCATAATTTTATCATAAACACTACAATAATGGCTACTGATGTGAAGAACATTATTCCATTTGACCAATAGGAGAGGTGCAGCTATTGATGGTCATACAGCAAGAATGTTTGTTATTGACCCTTAAACTTCCATAAGTGGCCAAGACAGAATTTCTTCTTACAACATCAATAGAATATCAAGCAGACAAGTGATGAGAATAAAGAGAAATGTCAATAAGGAATTATTAGTTGATCCATCACCAAATTCTTGTAACAATCACAATGAGAATTGTACAGCAGAGAGAAGGGAGAATTACAAATGAGGTCTGTGCAGTGGATTGGTTAAGTATAATGGATAGCAATTGCTTACTCTGGATTTTGTGTAGTGAATAACATTTCACAAGGAATCTCTCATTTTAACATAGTTACTCTAATTGGCCAAAAACACACAAAAAAATAAAATAAATAAAAAATTGAAATTAAAACCTCTTAAAGAAAGGTAAATGAAATAGTATATAAATAAAATAATTAAATAGACGATTGGGAAGAATGAGATGTTTAGAAAAACAGTTGTAGGGGAGGGAATTTTTCCCAACAGGATAGTACATGTACAAAACAAAATTGGAACTTTGAAATCTAGAAAAGTGGTGACAGGGTCAGAACAAAACAAGCTTCCAAGACTGTTTTGATCCTTCCACAATCACATTGAAGATTGAGAAAAATTAAATGTTAAATTAAAACAATTCACAACCTTGCAAGAATATTTCAATTTACTGGGAGGATTATCTTACCACAGTTTGACAAATACTCTGCAACTTTCTGCTGACTGTTGGCTTTGGCCATAGCCATTGCTGTGTTTCCTTTCTTTGATTTCAATCTGAAGTCTGCCCCTTGCAAAACTAAGTACTTCACACAGGTCAGATGGCCATTTCTAGCTGCGACATGTAGTGGCATGCAACCAGATATGTCAGGCAATTCAATATCTCCACCATGTTGAATTAGCAGTTTAAGAACTTCCAGATGTCCATTTGCAGCAGCCTTATGCACTGCTGTGGAGCCAGATTCATCAAACTCTTTTGGACTCTGAAATAAATGTTACAAGTTACCATACAGCAATAAAATTTAACTTCAGACAAAACAAAGAAACGCGTGGCCTTCAATACCCCTTCCAAACCTTAATTCCAGTTGCTCTGATGAAGGGCTAATGCTTGAAACATCGGCTTTGAAACTCTTAATAGTGACTTATCTACCTTATCAACTTCATTGATAATACCAACTTACCTAGTTAACCCTTTAGCCCCCAGAAGTGATTAACATAAAACTTCTCCCTACAATATCCATACATTCTTCAGCAATCAGATAATGAAAATATTCAAATTTATCTGGTTGAGGTTGCTATCTTGATCTAGCACCAAGTTCTCATAACTAATTTACAAGGAAATGTGTAGAAGCTACAGGAGAGAATTAACGATCAGATCTTGGGAGTTAAAGGGTTAAATTCCTCTACTGATGCAGCACTGCAGTTTCTTTAGAAACTTATCTCCTTTACTCCTTAATTCCAGCCTCCTTTGTCATAATTGAACAATTTTGAAGTGGGATGAAAATGAATCTGAGTTAATTTAAATCCTTAATTCCAAGAATTTTAATTTAAAGTATCTTTCCATGGCACTGGTTTAAAATTAAAACCCTAAAAAATGTTTCATTCCTTGTAGATTATGAAATTAAGCCCTCTTCTGTTTCTTCAGAAATAGCGTTTCTCACTTAAAAGTCCATAAGACGAAATACAATGGTAATGGTATTTACATTTATTGAGCACAGGGAGGATACCAAGTTACAACTGCTATAACTACTATTACCAAGCTACTACTGAGGTTTCCTTTGTTCAAAGCCCCTCTAACTTTAAAGAACCCCAGTCATAGCATAAAATCTATTTCTAAAACTACTTCCACAAGAACTACAGCTGTAGATTATTGTCTGTCATCTCAATTAGCCCCACTAAGAAGAGGAAGGAACAAAATTTTATCAAAGGCTACAAATCAGTTTCCATGGAATTGTTTGTTTATATTATTATCCATCCACTGTAGATTTGTTGATAGTTCCGCAACCAAGGAATAATGTAGTTCTGCTGTTCAATGTTTAGAGGACACCCTAACCTCCGATGAAATTGACGCAGCTAATAAGAAACAACTTTTAATGGCTGGCAATTCTACCGAGACATTTGAGAAACTACAAGACCTAGAAGCTAACTATGGTGAGTGTTGGATGATAACTTGGATAATGAATTTTCCATTTGTTGTTTCTCTTCCTTTCTCAGAAGATTTTTCTGTATTTTCCCCCTCCAAAAATACCCAACACTTCAGTCGACCAATAACTTCAACTTCTTGGATGTACCGTACGTGCTATGTACTAGCACTTAATTCTCCTTAAATTAATAATTTTTCTTAGTGTGGATTTTATCACTTATTCATGCTATTTCTAATGTTCAAGTAATGACTCAATTTCCTTCATTACTTCGCAATTAACTATTTTAAACCCACCTCCATGAAATAGTGTTATGTTCTGATCGCGCGTATTTATTAGTAATTCAATGGTGTTTAAACCACCAAAATTTAAATTGTAAATTTCAAACCTGTCCATTATCAAGGGCTTGGGACGCCTCTCGTGTGTCACCTGAGAATGCTGAAAAAAGAAGTTCAGAATCATAAGCTTACTATCCAAGAAAAGAGTGAAAAATACTATTCAAAATTGAAAAGGTCAACCAGATTTCGTGAAGAAATCCCATTCGTTGAGATTTTCACTAGAACTCAGACAGAGGAACCAAAATATAAGCAGAAAATTATTTCAGCTAATTAAATTCGAAGTTTAACCGCAGATGAACTAAAAGGAAGCAAAATTGTTGTACTTATAAAACAGTTATTGTCTACGAACACTGATCTGTGGAAGGGTCTGTTTGATCTGTGACCAGAGTCATGATCAAACTAAAAAACACAGTTCAAAAAGTAGGAAGGTAGTGTTCATTGTGAAACAAAATCCGCGACTTCATGAAAATGTCCTTCATTTCAGACGGCGGAATTGCCAAAAAAAATAACCTCTATACTTCGGTTTACATTTGTCGCAGAACTCCTATAAATAAACTTAAGTGATCTCTGTCTTGTCCGAACCTACCAGCCTCGTGAAGGTTTGGTGCATTTCGCACTGGAACGCCGTTCTTACAGATCATCCTTTCTGTGAAAGGAAAGCCTTTAATCAAAATGCAAATATTAGGTACAATACGATCGACCAAACCATCAGGAAAACGTCAATATTTAGTCGCCATGTTAATATGTAAATTGGCTACACTGCGCACCAGTCCTTCACTAAGCTGGTTTTTCTGCGCAGCCGTTCCCAACGATGTCACACAACGCCCCCACGTTATCCGTGTAAAGTTTTGCGTGACTTTCCAAAGAGCGGCTGTAGAGGACACTCGAAAGCAGCTTGATAGTCTACCTTACAACGGTGGAGTAACATATTTACTACTTACAAGAGGTCTAAGAAATAGGTAATATCCACCAAAAGTCCTTCACCTTTATTCCAATACTTCATAGCAAATACAACCATAAATAAATCATCGAGGACAAATCGATTATGTCCTTAAACAATACCTTAAGTCGAAAGCTTTTGTCAATAAAAACTGAACAACTTGTTCTGACATGGAAGAACCTAGTCCCCTTTTGCAACCGTTCTTAGACTCGTCACGCAAGAAGAGCGTTGCGTGACGAGTCTAAGGACGGCGTCGAAGAAGCTGCGAAGGAGACTAGGAAGTACATTGCAGGAAGCAGTTTCACAAAACAGTGGTAAATTATGTATTTTTTAAAGTATCGTTTTTCAAAAACTTAAGCTTACTTTTAACCATTATCGTTACTGTAATAAAACCATGCTAATGTAACTTTTACTATTTATCTTTTATACAACTTATCCGTTTGTTGAAACCAAAGATAATCAAAATTTCTTGTTCTTAACAAAAACACATCGCCCTTTAGCGTCTAAAATGAAGACATAACGTACACATGTAAAATTTATAAACCTTTCAATCAAAGACTCGCTTTGGGAATATGAAAACCAGTGAAATTAGTTATAAAGATGAAAATTAACTTCTTAGAACTGAAAGTAAGTTTTTTCGCCGAATAATTTAAGTGATACTGTTGACGGCTTACCTCGCTATTGATTCGCACGCGCGAGAGGGCCGTCCAAATGAATTTTTATCATCTTCGAAATTATAAGATTTTGTACAGAATGTCTTACCAGACTTAGCTGGGGACCAAATCTTAAGGTTACAATAACAGCCAATTGGCTGACCTGTTTATATACCAGGTTTGATGACGCAATATTTCATATGTGAAATCTCGGATAAAATGCATTGTACACACACCAGGTCAATTAAAAGAATATAACCCAACATGATAATGAAATACCGCAAAAAATTAACCATTATCTCGAAACACAAGTGGAACCGATTTCTGTTTCACCGCAGTAATAATAAGGGGTACATACTACATTGACCGACATTCTGGTTAATTCAACGCTTAATGGACCCTTTTTTTAAGTAAATTAAGAAAAAATCCATCATAACGTTGTCAAGGCAATCTAAGGTTTCCCGATCTGGCCGAACAGTACTCACTGATGAAAGGGCAGGATTCTCTTTAACTCTTTGACTTCCAAGATCCGCATAACAATTGCACTTACAAACTGCCATAGCTTTCCAGTAGAATATCAAGAAAACAACCCCTAGCCGAAAAATTCATCTTTTCTCAAAACCTGTTTGCAAGATAACATATAAGAATTGCAAGGAGAAGTTAAATATTAATCCCTTCTTGGAATTTGAGGGTTAAGAATGGACCGGCGTGGCCAGTCAGGTCTGACTGATGGTAACTGCCTTGTTAAATGAGGCAGGGACCGTTCGGTGAATCTAACATGAACAGACGGTGAACTTGATGCGCGCGTTCCTTAATCGGTGTACAATATTCTGTAGTTCCCGCATAGTCTTCACTGTTTACTGTGGATATTTCCTGGGCTTTCAGCTCGCCGGGGCTTTTTGAATTCTCTTCTGACACTAGCCGGAATGAGACTGGGTAGCGGCGATAAAGGCGGAGGTTCTGGGATACTCTCTAATAACTTCCGTTTGGAACGTGTACGCTTTGCGCGGGAATTGACTTTATGCGTGGCTGGATCGGGAGTCTCCAAGCTGGGGTCATCTGATTGGTGCGAAACTTTAACATCAACACATGAAGATAGTGGTGCGAGTAAGTTTGGGCCAATTTCCTGAAAGAAAATACGTAAACAGTGTGTTGGAAAAATCTCTTAGTAATGGGCTTTAAGAAGAGAGACTGAATTTTCATCAAGATCACGTTGGCTTGATTTTCTTGATGCATTACATTCGCTCGTCATGAAAAAGAAAATAATTCGAGGCGAATAAATTAGCAAGATGAAAACCGCAATATTCTATTGGTATTACGGGCTGAGCTATGGTACAAGATGAAAACTGTAATGGGTGCTACACCTTGATCCGTCAGCGACACGAAGAAAACGAGCCTGTCGCCATGAAATGCAAAGCCTTAATCGATTTGATAAAGAGGAAAAAGAAAGTTCAGAAGCTGTTTTGATTTTCCACGAGTTCATACCCACCTTCCCAGAGGAGTGTAATACTTCTTTTGCTTTAGAAGAAATGAAACCATTATTTTGACAGAGGCTGGAGGTAATGTCTAACGATTGACGATGGACACGGATCGCGTCGACCTTTAGATTCTCTGGTAACGATGCTTTATTTGGATGCAAAATGAAATTAAGCTTCTCTTGAATCTGGCTCATAAATAGGCGCAAATCCTGAAAACAATCCAACAAAAAGAAACTCATGCCCCAATGTAGCATTACTGATTGAGAATTCTGATATTCCTAACTCATCATTTCCTCGAGCTGCTACCAGGGAAAATAACTTTTGAGCGTTCATGAAGTTATTAGGTCGGATTACTGAAAGTGACATTTTGCATAACGAACACGGAAGTGAATACCAAGCCGGAATATTGATATAACATCATTGGATATGTGTAAATTCTAATGGAAGTAGTTCGGGGAATAAACTAGAATTCCAACTATAATGCAAACAACCGAGCCTTTATATAGAAACTGATGAGTGGGAGACAAAGAAATTGGCTTATGCAGTAACAAAAAAGAACTGAAAAAGAAAGAGAGAAACAATGCCCTTTTCTAATAGTGGAGCAACTCAGGCCAAGCTGTGTCCACTCTTGACAGAATACGACATCATGATAACAGACTTAAAGGGCCGGTTCTTTACACGAGGTCTCACCTAAACCGCGGTTTTAAGCAAGTAGTGGGCCTCTTGGATTCTCTATAAGAGGGTCGATTTAATCAAATAAATGTCCTTCCACTATTAGCTTTCCGCCATCTTGACACTATTCACAAAAATAAATGTCCACATAAGAGATTCGGCTAAACTGACGGTTGCTTGGAACGCAGTTTTGTCAAACAACGACTAAACTTTGTTTACATAACGGGCTTAAAGTGTCTTATTCCCGGGCTACCGCGTTTCTACACATTTGCATGCACATACCTGTATACTTTGCTGTAGGGTATGTAGGGCAGCCCGCAGGTGTGGTTCACGAGGCTTCAGGGAAACGTTTGACAGTTCCCAGAAGGTTAATGACGGGCACTGGGCGCGGTCGTCTGGGCGGACTGTCAGGTTACTGCAACATATGAAGTTACCAGCTTTGATAAGATCATCTACAGCAACCGCCTGCATTTATCAAAGAGGACAAATGTTACATCGAGATAACAGATCATTTGAGTCGAGATTGTAATCATTTCAACTGCTTATTGCGACATATGTGTGCCGGAATACGCGAGTAACAATTTGCAAGAGGTTAGGATTACATGTAACTGAATTGGATGTAAAGACGTTTCGAATTTCCTGCGTTGTTCACTTCCAATATAGAAACGTTTTCCTTCGGAATTTGAACAGAACTCTTCAAAAACTTGGAAGAAAAAAAAAGAGCTTAAAGGGTGAAGTTAAAATTAAACATATAACCACCAACCAGTGCAACAAAACCAAAAGAATACAGGAATTTCTTAAAACCTTTAGTCCTTCCCAAAACTTGATTGCTACTATGTTGCTCTCTTCGTCAGATAAATAGACGGTCTGTACATTGGAACTAGTGGCAAATAATACAATGAATAGTTGTTAATAAAAATCAATAGAGCTCTAGTAGAACGTATTCTCACAGAGATACGGAATAGGTTTGAGAACAGAGTTCAACAATGTTGCATGTCTTCTTTTACACGATAATCGAAAGAAAAAAGAAAGTACGACGTTTCCTTCTCAGGAGAGGTTGACGAATAACTATATACAAAAGCTGCTCATCACTTCGAGAGTTGAAATATATTTCGACTCTACCTTGAACTAGAGAAGGACGACAGAGGACTGCAAAAGATCACTAGTCCAACCAAATCAACTTCCGAAGACGACTGCGAATAGTTGAAGCGTAACCCATGAAATGAACAGACCTGAAGAAGAGAAACATAAAATGAAACTCGTTCAGTGATCACGACAAACTGTAAGAAGAAACCACAAAATTTCAAGAACAGTAATAACAACGCAAGCAGGACAGCCTTAGGTCGCTAGAAACTTTTATGATCAAATCTTCTTGTTAATCTATACTCGTCGAGCGGAGACAAACAAATAAAAAATAAATAAGTAAATGACTACATAAATGAATTAATAAATGAATAAAAATATTACGAATCGATTGTAGAATGCATACCTGTCGAGGAACGTAAACCATTCTTTTGACTTCGGGATCACTTGATAGGTCCTGATATCTGGTTGTTCTCGTTGCAGAAAGCTTTGATGGGCAAGAATAAGGATTGTGGGTAAATATAAGAAGCAATGATTTAAAGAGCAAGAAAAGAAAAATTGCAATCACCAGCATGACCAAAAAGACAGCAAGGGGCAAAAGGTAAAAGTATTACAACATCAGGCAGGGAGATTGGTTCTACCGTGTATAAATAATATTATTTACGGTAACTAGCCCAGTTATTCAAGAAAATTTGCATCCAGAATCACCCTGTTTGGTTTTTTCCTGAAAATTCATAGGCGATGTAGAGGGAGGAAGGGGGGGGGGTGTGTTTAAAAATTTTTCTAGAGGAGAGGTAACACCGTGCGTCCATTGGTTGGCTTCAAACACGATAAAACAACAAAAAAGATTACGAAAAAAACGAAAAGAAAGAAAGTGCTCAGACAAATGAGTTGATTCCTTCTCACCTGGAGTTCACTCACACCCTGGCGATAGCTGAAAAAGCGTTGAATTAGAAATCAGTACGGAAATATCAGTACCGAAATTAAAGCAACAACAGAACTAAGAAGGTGAAAATATTAACCACAAAACGAACATGGCATTACCGGACACCTGATGCTGTTAGATGATAAATTCTCAACCTGGATCCCTCGCTCAACAATTGCATGACTTCTTCGCTCGGTCGCCAAATGCTCAAGACAGCATCTGTAATGGTCAGATTGAATTAAAAACTTGAATACCCTTGCGACCTCAGGAACCTAAGAGCGGGATGAGGTTAGGGTATTCCATTTTTAGGAAGTCTGACAGCCCTTATTTGTTGGTCATCGTCGCCTTCAGTTTAGTTCCCGCTTAGGTAAACATAACAGTGAAAGATGAGCGCGGAAGGGAAGCGGCCTACGCGGGAAGTGAGGGTGGATATACCAAAGAGTCCATGCTTGCCTCGATTCGTACCTCAAATGGGAGCTTATTTACGGGGAAGGTCGTCGAAATTGACGAAAATCCTTCAGATCAAGACTGATCATGAACGAGAGTAAGGCAAAGATACCACATACACCTCGAGAATGCTGAGAATACGGTGAGTGGTCAGCTGATACTTAGCAATGGGTGCAATTTTGAAAGAGTTTAAGTAACCATGCAGGTAATGGCGACGGAAATCATTGGAGTATCGTCCGCTAGAACTGCATAGACCTTAGACCAAAAACGGTAGAACACTAAAACGTTTTGCTGTGGACAATTGAAGTTCCATCTTTAATCTATTTATTCATTCATTTATTTCTTGGTTGATTTGTTTGTTCCTACCAATTTTTGCTTACTTTGAGACTAATTGAGAGGAAACACTCATGTAGTGTTTTCACCTTTTCTTCCACCCCTCCTGCTTCAAAGAAATATCACTTACGTTGCCTGTCCCGACCTTTGAGCAAATAGTCAGCAATCCGAACTTTGAGCAGAGGCACCACATTTCTTTGGGGCTGGTGCTGAGGAGACAAATAACACAAACTGTTAGTGCAAACAACAGAACAACTGAAAAAATTATTTTCTGGCTTTATTTTCACTACTACTTGAGTAGTGTTCATAACTGCGAGGACCGCTTCCATATGTGTTTCAAGATGTTATATTCGTGTCTAAAATAACTGGTTACATTTCACATTCAGATAAATCACAATATAAATAATGTCCGGTAAAAATTGATGACAACGACGGCCGATGGACCCACATAGCAACCGACGAACGAAGGGACGCACGAATGCCACTGGTAATTAGCAGTGGTATTACCGCCGGATTTTATCTTCATTCGTTGTAGCCAGCTAATTCTGGAATTTGTTGAGTTGATCTTTTGAGCCGGAGGAATACCAGAGGATATGATGAACAAATCGCACGAAACCATCGGGAAAAGAAAAAAGAACACCAGGAACAAAGGTAAAGATGTTGCAGCAAAACAATGCATGAATTACCTCCTCTTCCTGTTCCTTCCAAGTGCGTTCAAACTTGCTCTGTAATTCAGCGAATTTCTTCTCTTGTGATGCACGCTGGTATTCCTCTAGAGCTCGCATTTGGCGTTCATCGAGGCACTCCTTGATAAAAATCACGACAGACAGTTAGAGACAATCTCTTTTAATTGCTGTCTCCAGCGGCTGTAAAATTCGATGAACAATAAGTGAACAGGTTCATCAGGTTCGGGACTGATTGTTATCCTCAAATCAAGGAAAAATTTTAACTTTGAAGGCTCTCATCTGAGTTTTGTAAGACTAAATCTAGAGTAATGGCACAAAGGAAAAACAAACGACAACAAAAGTAACAAAGAAATCATCACGAAAGGCAAATAGGATGCAAATGCGCAAGTCGCGATTGGTATTAGTTTTAAATCGGACTGATTGAAAGGATGGAACAAGTTTTGTAGACCAATCCAGACCTAATTGAGACAAAAAAGGCAGCGAAGTATCGAATTTCCTTTAGACACTCAGCTGGAAAAAGCATAAGCTATCATCTTCCTCCCTGAATAAACAATTCTGTTATTTCTTGAGTGTTTTTTCTCTTCTTATATTGCTGGACAAAGGCCATATGATCATCTTGTTGCGCCCTTTGTCATGATAGGCACCAGCGATGGCACATTTCAAAGAAACACACCAAGTACTGTAACTTTTAGCATTACAAACGAACGAGAGTAATACTAACTTTCACTGCATCCGGGTCCGTGGCCTGTGTAAGAGCTTCGTAAATCTCTTTCCCATCATGCAAATCTTTCAAATCACGTGGTAAAAACGAACGGCGACGAAATCTTGCTGATCTTCTCCTTTCTCTCTCTACAATAAAAAGGCAAGGAGAGTCCTTCAGCAAACTTTCTTTCTATTCTGTTTCTCTTGTTTTTTTTTTATTCTATGCATTTCTTTACTGACAGGTCTACAGATTTATTTCCAGTAGAACTGATTTTCCAACAATCATCACGATCACGCACCTGGCTCCAGGCATTCCCTTTCAAACTCTTCTTGTATTTTGAGAAACAACTTTTCCCTTCGTTGATGACGATCTGCTTCAAACTTTTTGGCCTCTCTCTCCTCGAGGCGAGAATTGCGGAACACGTTGGTTCCATCAGGCATCTTTTCCATCCACTGCGAAAAAATAAATCGCAATAGCTGTAAGATAAACTGGTGAAACACGCTTACAGCAAGAAGGGCACTGTGAAACTAAAGCGTTTCGCCCGAAAACACAACTTAAAGACTGGATTACGAACTTAAACTTTTTTTCCAAGGAAGCGCGCACCCTACTGTACATTTACTTATTGGAAATTGTATAAGGAAATACATACAGCCATTTTAAGAAGGAACCACGATGATTAAGGAAAGTTAATGATGGAGACGATTTTAATTGCAGGATCACACGTTCACGATGTAGCAGCTGTGAAGTAGTAAGCTCATTTAAGATTCTTATTAGTCAAGAAACCTAGTTATTAGTCAATTACCTGAACAGGATATTGTCTCAAAACTATAATATCTACACATCCTGTAAATCCACCATCGCCAAACAAAGAGGAAAGCAGTAACGGAAACGCATGCGTATGATGATGAAATCCGAGTTTCACATCCCATCGTGCACGCCGAGTTGAGTTAGCATGCAGCCGTAACATCAACGTTGAAGGAGCCTACAACAAAACAGAGCCAATCAATGTTTTGATCTAAGAAATGCGAGGATGATAAGCCTGTGAAAGCAAATGAAAAGCATGAAAATTTAAGTTACACTTATAAGACAAGCATTTTCATCTTGGGCGTCCACAGTCAAGAAGAAACACGTTACAGTGTACCTATGTACCTCTAGAGGGGAGACAGCTTGTTCAGATCCTACTAATTCAGCACCACAAACAATCAGCTTTTGACCCACAAAAATCTTCTTATCACGTAGCAGCTTGGTAAGCGGTTTGTCCAATATTGCTCGTATGCTGTACCAATCATCAGTAACCTCAATGATAGCACAACTCTGAAATGACAGTTATAAAAACACGTTATTCAGCCTCTAAACAGAGGGAGAAACGGTGGCTTTAAGGAGAGCGCACTGATTACAAGATCGAAAGGTCCGTGGTTGCTGTGTAATGTTGTTGAGAAAGAAATTTTACTAGTAAGTCATATCAACCCACAAACTGGTGCCAGAAAACTGTCTCGGAGACCTGAAGAAGTGCAGAGCGATGCGAGAAGAGTATACACAGCGTGTGTCATGGTCTAGAAGCCATCCATCCCCCCCTCCTTCCCCCAGCCCGGCAAGCATTCCTGGATCCATCCTGGAGTAGCAAAAACCCCTAGTCACTTCTATCAAAGACTCACATGAGTTCTACCTTTTAAACAAGCGAAAACAAAGGAGGTAAGCTGTATAAAACTGTAATAACATCACTCTGACTAACCTCCATTTTCATCCTGCTCTGGCCGTCTTTTTCGTCTTGGTCATCACTTTGTTCTGTTGCGTTTTTCTCCTTGTCCTCTTGCGTTACTGTGACGCTTGATACACAAAGTACCATTGTGCGACTAGACACATCATCGCGCTCCATGATTTTCTTCAGTGCAGATCTGTATAATCAAGATGAACAATCAGAAGGTTTATTATCGAAGTATATACGCTTTGTTGGCCAAGTTTTAGTTCTTGGTGGCTACCTTAAGAACCGGCTTAGTTCTTTCTCGGCTCTCTTTCTTTTGATAATTAATATTTTGTTGCACGTTTTCGTGGACTTGAAAAAAAAAAAACAATCGTGACTAAACAGGCTCACCAAATAAATATTACAGGTAAATCAGAATGTAACAAACTAAGCTAACGATACCCTCCCTTGTTTGCTTTGGTGACTGTTGTAAAGACTTGACTCAACCAGAAAACCTTGTTGGGAAAAATGCCCGAACGTTTGTACGTCGGCCACGAACATTAACGTTGTTTTGTCGTTGTTATTGTTGTGGGTTTTTTATCTTGTCTTTGTTTCATTTTATTATTATTATTTTTTCTATTTATTTAATTTTTTAATAGTATTGCGTAAGAGTTTGTTTGTTTGTTTGATTACGTTTTCTGCAAGGGCAAAGCGAGTGACACCGACCCGGCAAAAAAGGCTCTTTCCGTACGACCATTCAGAACACAGGATTCATTTTATCTTACTTGCTGGCGTAGCCAGCCAAATGGTCCGTTTTAATCCGACTGAGTCGACTCCACGTTACCTTTCACTGCCATCGATTTCCCTGTCATATCTGTACTTGAGTTGACACAGAAGCCAATCTGGTGTTAAGCATCTGGGAACAGAAACACAACACTCATATTGAGTCAAGAAGCAAAATTGGAAAGTGAAATTTGAAGGAGAAGAATTATAAAACCGACCTTTCTCGGAAAAAAAAAACATACTGCACATAATCGCGTGTAAGCCGTGTTTAAATAAGACTCCAATTTTACTCTACAAAGTACATACGAAATGGATAATTAATTCAATTTGTTGAGAAAGCACCACTTTACCGATTTTCAATAAAACTCTAATTGGTGGCAGCTCGTGTCTCTCGACGTTGTTATAGTTACTGTGGATTCTTTTTACTTTTAAGAGACTCGTGTACACATTAGAGTCAAAAGAGTAATTTAGATGCGAAACAAAAGCTTGCCTGCCAGCAAAATGATGCGGAAAAGCAACTTCCATTGCGGCGAGTTTCCAGACGAGCCATCTGTAATGATTAGCAATCCACTCCTCACTAATCAGCTGACTGTCCACGCCTGGTGTGGTTAAGAACGTACTAACGAAGTAAAAATACGATTTTAATTGAGCTGAGTCTATCCCCGGCCTCTGTCAGTGACATGAAGCATCTAGAAATATTGCTCCTCTCCTCGAATAGGATGCTACTTGCTGCGTTTATCACCTAGCATTTCATCAGGTTTCCCTGGACGTTCATAGCACCCATTCCTAATCCTGAGTGAAAAGAGTAAACTTTCGAGCACAGTGGCATATCACATTGACTTGCCCAGGGCTCGAACCCACGCCTTTCTATCCGGGGTCGAACACACCCAATTGTAAGACAGTACTTTCACCACAGGTATTTGTAGATTTGCAGCACTAGCTGCCTCATTACCGAGTAGATTGGTTATTTGTAAAAGCGTTGCGCGAAGGGAATATCAAATTGGCCGAATGTTTGTCACAAACCAAATCTTTTTTCTTTTTAAGTTATTTTATTTTACTATTTTTTTTTATATAGATACCTCTGTATTTCTTCCAGACCGACGCAGTTATCACTCCCGACAAGCATCACACCTCCATCCTCAGTTCTAACACCTCCGCCGTTGGACAAAGCAGTTTCACTGAAGTACTTCCTCCCACAGAACCGAAATGATACTGCGTTCGTGGAGGTAACAGAAATCACCTCTGGAAACACACCGATCTGAAGCAACTGAGGTCGAAAAACAAAGAGATAAGAGATTTCTCAAATCTTTGTTATTGTACACGCTTTGTCTGAGGTAAAAAGAGTCTTGGATAATACGAATCAATCTATGTCTCGAAGGACGATAATTCCTCGGTCAGTTTTAAAAAGATGATGTTTTGGTAAGTTCTCTTAGCTTGTTTATGTTCTTTTCCCTTGTTTCATTCTGTCATTAATGAACAAAAGCAGTGGAGGTATAGTTGGAATCTCACCTCTGCAGCAGTGTATCTCCCTGGAAGTGTGCTGCTCCCAACATAATCCTTAAGCTTTATCCGTTTATTGTGGCGGCGCAGTCCAGATAAGAAACCAGGCCGCGGTTTAAGTCCCTCTTTGCTCTGAAAGAATGATACCTTACGATCAGATTTACTTAAAAAATCATAAATTAGTGAAGAGGTTACCGAAAACCTACTCAAGATCATTGAAAGTAAAAACTAAGAAAAACGGCAATTACAATGGAGGTCTAGCGACTTTATTCAACGCCAAGAGTTCATTAAGTAATACGATAAAAGTTTTTCAAAAACTCAAGGGAAACCTGTGCATAAATAGAATATTCAAGCTTTAATTAAACACTCACGCCGGTTAGTTGTAAATAATGCTACGCTCACAAAGTTCACCTATCAACGACCACAATAGAGTGACCTCTGAATTGAGTACAAGATATTACTCCTTCCCTCCAAAAGTAAATAAATAATGATAAAAATAATCATAATAATGTAAAACATAATATCCATAACAATAATTAAAAAACCGGTGTGGCCGTATGATAGTGAAGATGGCTACTGTTGTACAAAAGCGCTGAGCGCGAGCACCTGACCAAAGATCTCACCATCTGACCTCACCAGTGCTTGACCTACAACAACTTGTATCAGACTAACCTTAGATGAAGTCTCAGGCTGACCACATTTAATCACAGATGAACAATTTCGTGATGAAAGTTTTGCTTTCTTTGAGCTTGGTTCCATCAAATCCGTTATGTGGGGCTTTGGAGACTCGCTCACTGGAAAAGAAGAGCTGCTACAACGGGCAAGGGGAGAGACAACCGTTGACACTTCTGGGTTTCTATAAGGCGTAATGAAAAGTGGACGAGGGGCTGACGTACGATGCATTACGTTGGAATTTAAAGGGATGCTTGTTCTTGCTGAAGGAATATGTTTGGTTTTGAAGCAGCCAGGGGTTGTGGCTCGCAACGGGTTCAACGAGCGAGTGCTGTCTGATCCTCTGAAAATACAGGAGCAAGTAATTAATATCAAGGTTACTACACCTGGTAAACATGCAACTTCACGCAAAAACGTTCCAGTGAGAGAAATGACACGGGTAAATCTTTAGCAAACAATGGCGAAAAGCTGGTGTTTCAAAACATTGGCGCTTAACTTAGCTTTGACAACACGGAGTTGTTGCGACCCTCCCTTAATGGGGTGGTTCGGCAAGTATGCGTTGAAGAGAGGATATAGAGGTGCTATATCATGACCAAGCCACAAAATGACGCATGCAATCGCTCCACCTATCAAGAAATATTACAAAGTCCTAATTCGATATCCAGTAGTTGTAGAGGAGTGAAGTACAATTCAGGAAATGATCATGAGAGAAATTCATTTTAGCCAAGTGCATAGACCGAAGCAGACTTGAAAGTGCTAGCACGATTGCCCTCAGAATTGTGCAGCACGAGTTGTGTTCCTAAGTGAAGCAATTTTCAAATGAGTGTCGAAAGGATTGCATCTGTTTTGCTTCACTACGCTTGGTAACTGGTCGAGAATATTCTCACCATATGACAACAAGTCATATGCAAAACTAACACTAATCACAAACAAGTCACCAGTGTTCATCGTGTGCTTGTTTCTACTTCGAGTTCTCATCCTCAGATACTTTCCTGTCTTCTGATTGGCCTATATGATTACTATGGTTTTCGTTATACGACATTCAATTGTTCACTCAGGCACAGTCTCCTGTACCTCCCGCGTTTTTCTTATTGAAACAGTTATATCCTTTATACCTTGGTGTAAACGTGTTTTCGACTGTGGCCAGACGCGCCCGCAAAGGAGCATGAAGGTGTACCCTCCGATCATGGAAAACACCTGACCAAAATAGAAATTGAAAAGGGAAAATAGTTAACCACAGAGAGAAAAAGAGAATTGAGAACAGCCAAAGAAATGCGCTAACAAAACAGGTTGTAAGAATAGGTATGCCTGAAGGGTTTTAACTAAAGTCAAGAAAATACCTGATGGTGTTGTTGAACAAGGTTTCAATCCACTCCGAGTTTCCTTATGATTTCTGTTCACCATGTCTTTGCCACACCTTTGCTGTTACAGTGTAAAGAAAAAAAAGTTGAGAATACAAAAAGGTTCGCACTTCAGTAATTTTCATAGATAGATTAAAAGAATACAAGCTTAAATCGCCGAAATTACATTAACATAAGCATGGAAAGCCAACTGTTTGGAACTTTTCCTATGCTGATCGTTTGCTCCTCGAGAAATGAATGAACTCTGATTAAATGAATAAAAACAGAACATATGAAACGAACAAAATCACTTTATATTCAAAAAGCGTCTCTAAGCTTAATAAGGCATCGTTATATGTCCTTCTAAACAAAGATCGAGCACGATATCGCTCATATTTTCTAAGTACATAGCTGTCTGAAGACATGTACTCATGCGTGTAGTGGAGAAACAACCGAATAACATCACTTACTGGTGTTGAGTGGCGTCTTTGAAAGTCTTCCTTAGAATTAGAAGGCAACCCTGTATATAGCAGAAATAGGAGAGCAGTTGAATAATTTTCATCCGGTCCAACCTCATTTTCCAACAATTATCGTTCAGAGATCCTATATTTGTCCTAATCAAAAGTAAAAAAATTCTCTAAAGTGATTGGTTATCACCAGCCCGATTTGAGCACTAATAGGACCGAGTTAACTGTTGTCGTTTTTTTTTTTATGAAAACGTATAACAGACGTCTATTTTCTATCTCAATTTTTGTTATAGTTTTGACTAATTGATAACAGAACTTCGTGTCGTGTCGAAGGAAAATAGAACATGAGGTTTGTAACAAGCCACAAATTCGTTTACCTTTAGCACTTCCTGTCATTGAAACTGGACTTGTACTCAATGAGTCCCATGCAATAGTAACCTTGTCGTATTCTGAGACATCCAGAGAAGATTCATACGCCAGAAGGGCTTCAGAACTTTCGAGAATCTCACGGGACACCGCATCATCTTGTTCATTTGAGCAGCGTCCGTCACGTGAAGGTGTGGAACTTCCAAGAAACATCGCAGGTACAAGGTGACCGTCGCTGATTGCACTATCTGTATCTTGATTAACCAGTTTCCATTTGTCCATTCCTTTAAATGAGGAGTCATTTAATACTCCCTCTGTTCCTGTCCTAGATTTTTTAACATCATTCTCAATGCTAGCTATAGTGTCTTTTGCCTTTGCGAGTGCTGATTCCGAGATCTGTACCGTTTTACCATTTGCGGTTTGAAAACCAGAAAAACCTGAAGCACTGGATACGTTTGCGCTGCATTCAGAAAAACAATTTGTGGACTCACTGCCGTCTATGTTTCTCGGAAGAGGTTGATCAACCTTCTCTTTGTCTCTGTGAATAAAATTGTCAATCTCTTGCATTACAACCGTTCCTTTCTTCATAGACTCCACAGATAGTTTTACTTTCTGGCCACCGGCAGTTTGGAAACCAGAAAAGCCAGTTGACGGTGCAGTGGTCTCCTTGTTTCGATGAATGGAATCGTCTATCTGCTGCATTATGGCCGCCCCTTTTTCCACTGACTCCTTAGATAGCTTTACTTTTTGGCCACTGGCGGTTTGAAAACCAGAAAAGGCATTTGGAGGTGCAGTAGTCTCCATGTTTTGCTGTAGAGAATTATCAATCTGCTGCATTATTGCCGCTCCTTTCTTCAGTGACTCCGCAGATATATTCACTTGCTGTCCACTAGCAGTAAGGAAACCAGAAAAGGCGTTTGGAGGTGCAATGGTGTCCCTGTTATGCTTAATGGAATTGTCAATCTGCTGCATTATGGCTGCCCCTTTCTCCATTGACTCCTCAGATAGTTTCACTTTATGGCCACTAGCAGTTTGAAATGCAGAAAACGCATTTGGTGGTGCAGTAGTCTCTCTGTTGCGCTGAACAGAAATATCAATCTGCTGTAATATGGCTGCGCCTTTCTCCATTGACTCCGCAGATATTTCAACTCGCTGCCCACTAGCAGTTTGGAAACCAGAAAACGCATTTGGTGGTACAGTGGTCTCTCTGTTGCCCTGAACAGAATTATCAATCTGCTGTATTATGGCCGCTCCTTTCTCCATTAACTCCGCAGATATTTTCACTCGCTGCCCACGTGCAGTTTGGAAACCAGAAAAGGCATTTGGTTGTGCAGTGGTCTCCCTGTTGCCCTGAATAGAATTATCAATCTGCTGTATTATGGCCGCTCCTTTCTCCATTGACTCCACAGATATTTTCACTCGCTGCCCACTTGCAGTTTTGAAACCAGAAAAGGCATTTGGTGGTGCAGTGGTCTCACTGTTTTGCTGAATGGAATTGTCACTCTGGTGCGCTATGGCCGTCCCTTTCTCCATTGAATCCTCAGATAGTTTCACTTTATGGCCACTGGCAGTTTGGAAACCAGAAAAGGCATTTGGTGGTGTAGTAATCTCTCTGTTTTGCTGAATGAATTCGTCAATCTGGTGCACTATGGCCGCCCCTTTCTCCATCGACTCCTCAGATAGTTCCACTTTAAGGCCACTAGCAATTTGGAAACCAGAAAAGGAATTTGCTGGTGCAGTAGTGTCTCTGTTTTGCTGAAGGGAATTATTAATCTGCTGTATTATGGCCGCACCTTTATCCGTTGACTCCGCAGATAGTTTCATCAGCTGGCCACTTGCACTTTGGAGACCAGAAGAGGCATGTGGTGGTGCAGTGGCCTCCCTATTTTGCTGAAGGGAATTATCAATCTGCTGCATTATGACCGCTCCTCTCTCCATTGACTCCGCAGATAGTTTCACCAGCTGGCCACTGGCAGTTTGGAAACCAGAAAAGGCAGTTGGAGGGGCAATGCGTTCCCCGCTTTGCATCTTTGTGCAGAGTTCAGTGGTTTCCTTCGAGACAGAGATAGACTTATCAATTGCAAATTCAGGGAGAATTTCTTTTAAAACATTTCCATTGCACTCTAAGGAGTATTTTTCATTACAATGCTTATGTCTCACATCACAAGAGTTGTTGACTGCACTTTTCGTGTTAAGTTCACGCTCCTCCACTTTGTCGCTCTCCCCGCTGATAGCGATCAAGGAGTCTCGTCTTTTGCGCTTGAAATCATTCAACAAGTCTTCAAGTAACGAATCATTTACATTTTCAAAATGTTTATTTACAGAATCACCCACGACGTACGCGGGACTCTGCAAAGTTAGGTCCTTATTTTCTGTTTCACCAGCACGTATTGTAGAAAAATTCTTCCTTGAGTGGTCCTTCAGAAGCACATTTTCACGTTGTTTTTCCTCAATCAGTAAGAACGCGGCTGAAGCAAAATCAGGATCATCATTCCCATTGACAGGTGCTTCAGTCACAGAACTAGAGAACGAGGCAATCCTGTGAGGTTCAGTGCAACACTTTTCTTGGAGACGAAGTTCATCACTTTTTGCTTTCTTTAAAAGAGGAATTTCCTCTTTATTACCAAAATCGTAATCGATGTTATCAGCTGGAGCGAGCTGGTTCACTGGAGCTCCTTCCCCTCTTTCCATAAGGAAATATTGCTCCTTCTTTGACTTTTTAATTCCCTCGTCATATACAATATCTTTCATATCGATGTCAACTCCACTTAGGGTTTTCCTTGCTTTCTGCATTGCAGATTGAGATATATGAATTTGGTCGCCGCTAGCAGTCGAAAACCCACAAAATCCAGGCGGCACAGACGATTGTACTATCTCAAAACCAGAAAGGTTTTCGTCGCTTGCGATAGTCTCACCAACTCTCTGCGGCAAGCTTATATCCTTTAAGCAAGAGGTGACGCCATTATTTTGTGTTGCGTTACATGACATACTAATCTCAGGCTGTAAATGTCGTTTTTCTTGCTTATCATCACCCTCACACAAACCTAACAATTCGTCAATCTCTTTAACGGTAGCTTTCGCTTTCTCCAAAGCTTCGGAGGATACCGACACGTGTTTTCCACTTGCTGTTTTGAAACCTTCAAAGCCTGAAATAGTTCCATTCGTGACGGACGTAACATTGTCATACTCGCTCGTAACGTAAACATCTTTCGTTTCGGGAGAAAATCTTCCGAAATATTGACAATTGTCGGTTTGTATAGGTGAAAACTCGCTGATCTGAGGTCCGTGCAACGCGGTTATCTTAAATTTCCCTGCCTTGATGGAATTATTTTCCCAGATTTGGTTATCCTCTCCAAACATCTCGTCCGCCATCGATGGGTACTTGTGCTCATCAAGCGGGGCTACAGCACTACTTTGTGATGCATCCGAAATCTTTCTTGTGTTCCTATTAACAGGCTCTAATTCTGCCTTCTCTGTAGGCCACAATAAGGGCTCATTGTTGCCATCACAACAAACAAGCTTTCCTGTCTTCACGCTTTCTGTCACGTCCTCTTTTTCTAGGTGCGCTCTCGACGCCCCCGGTGGAGGAGAACAAATGGATTCCATTGGAAATTGAGTGAGGGCATCCATGTCATAAAAGACATCGTCTTTTTCCTTGCTATTCACAGTGGGAGATGATTTCAAAGCGTTACCACCTTTGCAAAACGCACTCATTTCCTCAAACGTAAGTTTTTCCGAAAGAGGCAGTTCAATATTACCATCACAGCTGTTGAGGGTGGTATAAGAGGCTATATCTCCATGCGTTTCACAGTTCACTGAACCTTTTGCTTCTTTAATCCTAGGATTTTCCTCTTTGGCAGGTAGTGAAGAATCATCAATTGTAACAGATCTTCTAGCACTCTTTTTTATGTGATGTTCAGCAACTTGACTCGCTGAGGGATAAGAGAATCGTTTTGTTCGAGCTGAGCGACGAATTCCGGGTACTTTGCAGAATGACCTTTTTCTTAAGTAGTTACCATGACCATGCAATGATCCACCGGTAGTCTCACCAGATATGGTGATATTGTTTTCACCCAGATTTTGCAATGTATTTCCATTTCTTGGGATTTGAGCAGTCTCTTGGATGTAATTGGTTGGCTGGGAGACAGTGCTATTAATCAATTCATCGTCAGTGTTCTGTGACTGAGGGTTTAAACTCACGGACAATGATGAACCTATAAGAACAAGTAGCCCCTATGAAAAAAACTGTTTAATTCGGTTAAATTTATAAACTAAGAGGTGACGAACAATTTTTGGGAATCAACGGTATAAAAATGATATTTTTTTTCCTTTAACTATGGTCCTTACGCACACTAGACTAACCCCATCTATGGGGCGGTGATTGAGGCATTGAAGTTGCCGAAGGAAGGCGGGAAGGGGTTAGCTATAATTCAAAATGAGCAAGTGCGAAGAAAACTGAAGCCTTCTCTAGGTAATTACTCAGAAGAAAGTGTATCAACTGATATATTTAGAGTCAAAAACTGGCAGCCTCGTTTCTGTCTTTTACGTCAAACCCAAGCAATAAAAGGGCTTCGACGTCTTGCTAGCAGGAGTAACACTTTAAGTCGTGTACCTTGGTTTACATTTCAAAATCTGCGTTTTTAAGATTTGCCATGTCCATTTGCCATGCCTCACAATAATGCATTACAATAGTATCGTGTGTAATAAAAACGTAAAGAAGTGACAGAAAAGGACGTTATGACCTGGTGCTGCCCAAGAAATTGTACAAGTTCAAGGGAATTAGGTCGAAATATTTTCTTAGTGTTGGTTGAGTCGTTGAAAATTACAAATTATAAAAAGGAGACTTTTACGTAACAGGTTTCCGGAGTAGACGAAGGGTAATTATAGACGAAGGGTAAATGATATTACTGAGGAAGGAGGATGGTTAACAGAGATGGAGCTCGAAAGGTCTATACCGAGCCTCTAGTGGGACTACTCATGACCACTCCTTATGGTCTGCTTTAGACAGTTTTGTTTGACATCATATGAGCTTCGTAGATATGAATAACCGAATAACCTAAAATAATTTTTAATCTATGTCAATGTTTTCTCAAAAAAAAAGTGCACCAAAAAAGATAAAAATCAAAACCAAAAAAAGAGAATAAATAAGAGAAGCATAGAAAATATAAAAAAAAACAGAGCTGATCTAATTGTTTTTACAAGTTGACTCACATTTCAATGTTTTGTTTAAACCTCTCAGCTTAAGTTCAACCAATTAGGCATAAAGACGTTTACAGAGAAAACTGTCTACCGTCGCCATGCAGGATATTTACATTAATAACACATAAAATACACCTAATCATAAAGCCTGCAAGCGGAAACAGATGTTCGCCGTCGCTGGAGTGTAAACCACGCAGAGATAAGTTTTTTCGGGTGATCGGCGTATTTATCATCATAGTCATGACTCATCTAGCGTCCGTATGCTTGTTACTTGCTGTAGTGCTGTTTTCAACATTTTGTGCTGAATCTCGACGTTTAAGGCTTTTGCCAGGCGAAGGTAAGGGCGGGGTATTTTAAAAGCTTTATTTGCTGCTTAGCAAAACCGCGTTCAAGACACAAAGGCTCATAGATAACGCTGGAAATACATTTCTTTTTCTTTTTCGGTTAAAAAAAAAAGGCACAAAGAGCAAATTCGCGGTCCATCGACTGCCTTCTTTTAAATTACCGATCTCAAGAGTTCACATCATCATCGCAGAGACTACAACGCCATGAAACTCAATGGTCCGTTTATCTTTGATGTCAAATTTGTCAACATCGATTTACGGAATTTTTTTTTTTCCTTTTTCATTAAAACGGGTTTCATCTAAGCCATTACCGTTTCACGGAAATTTCCCATGCAGTTTCTTTACCAAGCGCTATATTTTTGAGTCGCATTTTTACATCTGCCTCATAAATAGCTTGAGAATATTTATATTATAAACGGTAATGTGAGCAGAACTGTTTTAAGTTCAAAAGTTACTTCCAGTATTTTGAGCAAATTCGACAACAGTGAGGCTAGTTTTGAAATAAGAGAGAAATCTCTCCACCAAATACAATACCTGTTTTTTCTCCTCGTTTGATAAATTCAAGAAATTGCCTTCCGCGTGAAGAATATTCATCACGTCATGGACGTTAAACAATCAATTTAAAAAAACTGATCATAGCTTTATAGGTACGGGAACAAATGCCCTTATTTTAAATGAAAAACTGTCTGCTCAGTGGATGAATTTTCTATTACAAGAGAAAACACTGTAAGAAGGAGAAAAGAAAGCTGTGAGTGATGATGAAAATTATTTCCTTTCAATAATAGAACAATAAAAACTTTCAGTTCATCGACATATATATTAGATTTCGAATCCAGCAGAAATTTGCATTTCAAATGTCTTGGTTTTTCAAGTGACTACTAGTAGTAGACAACATCAGAGTGTAGCTCGAGGCGTGCTGTGGTGATTGGCGCCTTATGCACCTGTTGATTTACCACGTTATAACTTTCAAAAAAAAATGCACCGATATAAAAAGGGATGAATGGTCAACTTTTAAGCGTAAAAGAGTTCACTGAAAGCTTCTGCTTTAAAAAAGCCATTTGTGATACCATCTTTTTCTTACAAATAAAATAGAACTGACCAGAGGTTAATACAAATGCATCGATACATCTCATTTTCAAAGCGTAATTGTGACATTAAAGAATTTTCAAATCGAGCCAATGTCGACAAAGGGTAATTGTTTGGCAGTTTTTCGCTCTGTAGATACTATTTCGTCTTAAATATGTCATTTTGGAACTCTGCCGGCAACGCTAAACTTTGTCCATAGTCAAGGAAAAGTATTATTTTGAAGCTGCTCTTCTTCAAATGAAAGACACGAAACTCTGCCTTTCAGTATTACTAACTGAAGTAGGAAATAAAGAGCTATACCGGTAGAAATGTTTGGGTTGCAGCTTTAAGAACGAAGTAACTCGAATTATTCTCGATTACAATGCTTGTGCTTTCGAGAGCATCAAAGATTGAATATGTATCCAACAAACACATAGCCAACTTGACATTGTGCGAGCAGCGATGTTCACAAATGATAACGTAACAAAAAGAAGAAAAAATGAGAAAACAGCGAGAGGTACGGATTTTAAAGGAAACTTGAATCTCAACTCAATTTTTAAAAAGTGAAGTTCTTAAAGTAAATATCCGTTATTTACCGGGTGGGAGGTCAGTATGGGAAAAAGCTCTGCTCAAGTTCAAGAGGCTGAAGGCAAGGGCTGCACTCAAGAACGACCGGAGTGACCTCTAGTTTGCTAGTTTGCTTTTCTTCTGTTTCGCAAAGAATGGCGCGGGGCTGGGGGGAATTGGGAATTTTATTTTTCTCAAGTTCCACTCTTCTTTCCCCTCTTTCCTTCGCTTACCCCTGACTTACCAAGAACTTGGACAGGCTGCTAAAGTCAAACTGTTTCATCACTCGTCTCATTTGAAGGGGTCATCCAGTATCAAGCTTTAGGCAACCAAACCAAGCCCAACTTTTTCAAGTCATGATCGGCTCTATGGAAGTCCACTAAAATAGCCGATGAATTAATTTGCCACAATAGTTTTGAATATTTGCATACGTTTACTTCAATTTCAATATCAATTTCCTTCTCCATTTTTTTTAAATCAAAGATGATGAACTAAAGAAGGTTGGAGTGGATTTTATCAATTTACGTAAGTACCCTAACAAACATCAAATTTGTTAGTAAATATTTTTGTTCTTCAAATCTTGCAAATTAGCGATAAAACTTTGTAAAATTGCAATCTAGCAAAATCGCAATTTCATCTGCTAGCATCTTTCAAATAGTACACCCTAACTTTAATTGTTGAGAACAAGAGACATTTTTTCTTTGCCTTATCGAGATTCAAACAGTTCTTAACATTTTATCTTTCTCCGTAAACGTGATATGCATGTGACAGCCACGTGTGGTAAGTCCACGGTAGGAGGAAGCCGGGTAGTTGCTGGCACGGATGCTTCCTATGGCGAATGGCCCTGGCAAGCGAAGCTTCTAACCGAAGGCACCTTCACATGTGGCGGCTCGCTCATTACTCCATCATGGGTTATGACAGCTGCACATTGCATCTCAAAAGAAGATCCTAGCGTGTACAGCGTAACGCTAGGTGACCTCCACAGAGAGAAACCTGAAGGAACCGAGCAGGAGTTCCCCGTGAAAAAAGTTGTAGTTCATCCCAAATACAATTCACCAGTTGCCGTTAACAACGATATAGCCTTGCTGCAGTTGACGCGATCAGCTACAAGGACATCCTTTGTGAACACGGTATGTTTACCGGATGAGTTCGAAGTGGTGCCCATTGGAACAAAATGTTACATCTCAGGTAAAAATGGATCAAAATTATTTGTGAATATCAATTGAGAGCACCCGTAAGCGCTACTTTTTAAATTACCATTTTATTAAAAGACTCTAGTTAGTCTGCTCCCTAGCAAAGCTTGATTTGACAGTAAAAAATTACGGGAAACCTTCCGCGTTAGGAATGCTGCGAAATGTCAAGGTTCAACCAAGATTTTATCGAAAGAAAAATAATGGAACCAAGCGGAGTTTTCTCCAACACTTGCAGCAAATTATTTTTTTACGATATTTATTGCTCCACAAATTCCCATTGAGGAGAAGGTTGTGACAGGTGTTCACTGACACCCCTAATTAGAAAAAGCAAACAACCAGCGAAAATTTCTTCGATAGGTTCAACTGTTTAGATCGTATTTTTTGACAAAGGCTGATGTTAACATGTCAGGGTATCCTTCATTATAGGCTGGGGACAGATGACTCATCCAGACTCTGCTGCTATTAAACTCCAACAAGCCGCCATGCCCGTGGTGTCCAACCGCGTCTGCCAAGCCAAGCATATGGCGTCACCTGTTAGCAGACCAGGGGAGAGTGCTGTAACTTCCGCCATGATTTGTGCAGGAGATGCGGGTAAAACCAAGATCAGTGGTTGCTTCGGTGACAGCGGAGGGCCCTTCGTCTGCCAAAACTCCGCTGGGCGGTGGGTGCAGCAGGGTATTGTGAGCTGGGGGGACACCACATGTTCTTCAAAGGCTCACTTTACCGTTTTTGCTCGAGTGAGCGTGTTTCGAAAATGGATCGAGGACCAGCTAAGCGAGTAAATCGATTACGTTCTTCAAACACATTGCTTACCATGTAGTTTCTGATAAGTTAAAACTGTTACGCATTTAAAGGATAGTTTCGAATTATTAAAAGTTTGGAAAGAATAAAGTGATGTACCAGCCAACTGAGGACATCCGTTCTCTTCTTCAGCTGAAGTATCATTGAGACAAGTCATCGTAAACAAAGCAGCTCCTCAGTGTTAAAACAAGGACAGATAGGGGAGGGAAAACTTAAATTGACCGGAAAAAATTAACAAGTAACCTGTCAGTGACGAAAAAGGGTCTCTCTTTCTGTCTGATGCACTGGGGCTTTCAGCTCGTGCAGGGAGATGCACCGACCCAGTAGTTAACGCGTTGCGGCACTTGGCAGTTAGCACAGTTTCGAGTTCAAGTCCTGGCCGGGTCATCGTGTCTATTATTAGGCAAGACACTTTACCTTCACCGTGCCTCTTTCCACTACAAGAAAATCTATCAGCGATTGTTTGGGCAGGGAGGGGGAGGGAGGTATTTACCTGGGCCAAATTAGAAGAGTTAATCCTTATGGTCACATCACGTTACATGATTGGAAACAATACGTGTAACAGTATCAACCTAATAGAGCCAAACCTGAAAAAAAAGACGTTATTCTGATATTATTGAAAGTAATCAAACGTGTCATACCTAGTCCGGAGGTGCGTGAATCTTTCTCTGCCCCAGAACACAGCTTGTCCGCCTCACGCGCCATGGCCAGTTCGAACGATCTCGATGGTGAACCGAACGAAACATCCGCATCCTCAAGTTCATGATCTAGTTCCTCAGCGTCAATTTTATCGCCTGATGCAGAGTGGACTTTTTTTTCATTCATGTCACACAATTGGTCGGGCAAATGATTGTGCATGTTTGTATCAAGGGGAAGGTTCGTGTCATGGTTCTCAGTTACGCTCTTATCATTCGTCCTGGACGTGTTTATAACTTTGGGGAGATCGCCTTTAAATGATTGCTTTGGGGTGGACTGGGCTAGTACTTGGAAAGGACTCTGACTTTTAGGTGAAAGAAAACTGTTGGGATGGGGTGAATGTATTAAGCTTGGTTTAGCAGATGGTGGAGAAAAGTACGTCATTCTAATAGCAACATCTGCATCAATTGGGCTAGGGGGCCCTTTAGCAGACAACGTAACTTTAGATACCCCTGAAAATCGTTCTGAAAGAGTTATATCACTCCGTTTTGACTCGTCGTGACAAGAATACTCCATAACAAATTCCTCTTCCGTGAGTGAGCTATCGGCTGTCTCCATTCTTGGAGTTGTTCGTAACGTTGAACCCGTAATCTTCAATGGCACCAAAGACTTGTCGTCCACCTTAGCTTTATCCAGAGAGAGTTCCATGGCTTCCAACGACTGATCCGCTAAACATCCTGAAAACAGGACACGGGCAATGCGCTGAAATATAATGCAATGTTGTGGTAAATGACAACACGTCAGGTCTTGGTTCTCATTTATGTATTTTCCATTAGCAGGGCCCCGAACCACCTTCCACTTAGAGCCTGGGCATAAGGGGTACATGCCTGGTTGTTTTATTAGTTTAAATTACACTTTTTCCTTTTGGCAAGGAGGGTAATCACACACCCTTATAAACCAACCGCTTAAGCTATGCCCTGGATATTTCATGCCTAACATTTAAAGGGCCTTGGCTACTTCACGTACATACCACGCTTCTTCATGATCACTTAGATTAGCTTTGACTCTCCGCACTGTTTCTGATGAAATATCTCCGTGTCACTGTAATTATACTGTTTCCCCAAAAATCATTCTCGAATGATCTTATCAACACCAGGAAAATTTCGTTCGAATATCGCCGCAGAAAAAGCAACAAAGCCATGTTAAGAAACAGGAATTGATGAAATCACCGTCTACTACGCAGTTTGAATTTTAGTGATTGAGTATGGAGTAAAACTCGAAAAATGGGAGTATGGCCAGGAACAAGATTCTTCCATTTAAACCGTTCAAGTGCTATGTTTCATTCTCAGCGCTTCGTTTCTTTACTCTTTTTTCATAACATTGAAGATCACATGGGTAACAAATGCTTCGCTGAGATATTTGCAAAGGTAATTAATATATTTTTCTGATAGAGTTTTGCGTACCTTAGGTGGTATTTGCCCTTCTCCTCCCATCACCTTTTCATCGGTGTTCTCACCGTCTACTTGGCCATCAGATGGGTCTGTAAAATGAAAACAAGAATACGATAGAATATGAAGACAAGGCAGTGTCAGAGAAAGCTTTCTTTACAGGTCCACGTTGCAATACTCGCTTGTCTCGTGAAATGGTGAAATTGCGTGTCGCAGCATGTGGCAAGTTGGTTTGCTGACTAGAAAACTAATACCAAACCAATTAAGGCACTGCTTCAGTTCTTTATCAACTGGAAAATGATAAAAGCACTGAGCCGGTTCAGAAAATTTTGAAAAGATGGCTTTCTTAGCACTTCCTTCAAACAAAGACTCGAAACGTGGCCTTTTCAAAATCCTTTACGGCGGTTTGGTTCTGTCAAACCCCATAGGTTGAGAGCAGTTTACTTTAGATCAGAAACACACTCAAAGAGCATTTTCCAACTTTGAGGCGAATGCTTTACTAGTAGCAATTGGAGTGATAATTGTTTACTGAAAGAAAGTCAATCTGGAACTCAAGCTTTGCTGATTAATAAAACAAGACAACGCCTCAGGCTACATTACACAAGTAAGACAATTTTAGGTTTCCTTCGACCAATCAGATCATCCACCCACACAAGCCACGACAACTGAACCACGCCTGAAGCAATTGTTGGCGGGAAACGAATGGCACTCACAATTTCTAAGTTCTTTGAATAAAAATAACACTAAATATTCAATTACCACACTCGAGCGTTATGGAGGAATGCCTTTATCGCAATTGTGTCAAACACGAAACTAAAAACAAGGTAATGTAACGTTAGAGAAAACCCTAAATCTAGAAGCATGTTTGTACTTCTACCCTAGACCCAAACGAGAGCTAGCAATTACTTCATTCTGAAGAGTTCTTACTTGAGCTAAACAGCTAACGGCAATTACAAGGACAATCTTCGAGTACAATTTAAGGATGCAAGCGTGAGATATCAAAAACTTGAATCGATTGATTCCAGGGAAAAAGGAATCTGTCGTTTCAAATTCTTCAAATTTTCCAGGAGATAAGAAGGGCAATATCACTAAATCCAACTCCAAATTCCAAGAGGTAAAATTCTAAAAAAATGTGTGCGAAATAGTCTGGATAAATATAATATTTATATCTTGAGAGTGAAAAGCTGAAAGGGTAGACCGTGGAAGAACAATTGCGCAACCAATTTCTGGGTCACGAAGCGCACGGCATGCAATCATGCAATGTGGAAAGCACTGCCGCTTTAAATTAGTTTATGCTTTAAACCAGGTCGTGGGTCTTGGAGTTAAAAATAACAAGAAACAAGTGAAGGAAGAACAAAACAAAATGCCTTGTTGCATCGCCCATTTTCGGACTATTAACAGTAACGAAGACAACCCAAGTACAGTGATCGAGAGAGATCTCCTCTCCTTAAGGCCACCGCATATTTCTTTGATGCATGCCGCTTGTTAAAACTTGATGCCGCGTCATTGCTTTTATCTATTCAAAACTTAGGCGATGTTTTGACGCCAACATATAATACACGTGCCGCAGTCTTTTATAATCAAAGAGGCTTACGTTCTCCTTTTCTCTTCCCTGTGAGACTGAGATCTCAAAAGTAATTACTAATTCAAAAGCATAAAAACATAGGACAACCAAGACACTGTAAAAAAAATTTATTTTCCATGTCATCAAGTTGGTGTGAAAAGTTGGAAATTTTAGGAACAAATTTTCAAAGTAATTAATTTAGACGGTTTTTAATCCATAACAATGGCTGCGAATGATAAATAATTCACCCGAACTAGAAGAAAAAATTAAGCAATCACAAGTGAAGATAGAAGTAAAGATAACTCGGTTCATCTTGTGGCAGGTGTATAATTGAACTTAAGAAAAAAAAACTCAAACAATTACAGATACATTGTATTGTGCGTGATGGGAGCCAATAATTCTCTTTTTCTCGTTAACGTAGACATGGAGATTTTCAAGAGGGTTCCTACGGGTCTCCGCGTGGAACAGCCGAGGGGTTGGGTTAAAGCGCTTTACTGTACTTTCCTAAGATTTAATTGTGTTACTCCTCGCATAGTCAAATTTATTCCTCACTCTTATGGTGATAGCCAATCGGTCACTCTCGTTCACAGTACGAAAATTAATGTTGACCTGACTGCAAGGAGCTTGTAAATTCTTTGCAGTAAAGTTAAAAGAAACAAAAGGCGGTAATGAGATGAATGGGTATATACTTGGATTCAATTTCCTTTTCTTTCCATTTCACACAGTATTAAGCCTACAAATGTCAAGTTACTAAGTCAACAATTTAGATCAATGCTTTGACCTTTTTTTTTTTTTTTTCCCGCGTACTTTTCATTCAATCCCGGATCCCCTACTGCGTTACAGGTGATCTCCCCGTTATTCTCTAACCGTTATGAGCAACTTCCACCGTACCTGCTTAACCGTTGATGCATTTACGGGGATTTAGATTACTTATTTCGAATTTGTCATTTGTAATCCGTTAAAATTTTTCTCCGTTGTTTTTCATTCTTATTCCATGTTAGTTTACAATAACCTTTTTGGTTTTCCTATCTCAACATTATAAATTCAAAGGTTTTTTTTCATGTAAATATCTTTTCATACGGCGTCCAGTTTTGACAACAAATCTCACTCCGTAGCTCTTTTGAACATCAGCTGTTTGGAAATATCCGGTCGAGTTGGGAAGTTATCTTTTTTTTAGTTTATCTCCAAGATAGAGATGATAGCAATATCTTTAAAAATTCACTTCAAACTCTTTCAACAATTTAAAATTTCATAAAGGGTCTCTCGGCCATGTATATGTATAATTCATTTGAGTTCATCGAGATGATTAAGTCACGGACTTCACGAAGTAGAAAAGGATACATTAAATAAAACAGAATCATTTAAAGTATTCATGAACCGTTACTCGTGAGCAAATTAGCGGAGGTCGAAAGGATCTAGGCTGATATTTCATACACCTTACCCGTGTTATCTTCCCTGCCTTCAGCCCCGGCCCCGACCCCGACCCCGTGCGCCATAAACTGTTTACACCTCCACATCTAATTAACTATACTTCCAAGATTGCTCGTTACACTAAAAAAAATGATCTCCAAAATAGACAGGTCCATTAAGTTTACGTTGAAGAGTAGAAATAGATATCGTGAACACTATTTTTTTTTTTTTGCTACATCTTTGTGAGACCGTTAGCGACAGGTCATCAATAATGAATTGACCACAAGGCCGAATGACTACAAGCTACTGTTCAAAATAGCACGCCCAAACATGCCCAAATCAGTGCAAATTCGGTAACCACGAATGAGATAAACAAAACATTACTTAGCACATAAGCTGGTTGAGAAAGTTCAAGTGGGATCTATCGAAGGAGACGACGAACTTTATCAAGTTGATAAAAATACGGTGTTTAAGAAAGTTCTTTAACCAATAGTGGATCCACGAGAATCGGTAGCTTTTCACTGATGCATTCATAATTAATAACATCACAGTCAGAAACGAACTGCTTGAGGAAAAATATGCATTTGTATTGATGAAAATACATGTATACGGCACTTGAAAACTAATTAACACACCGGAGGTAAGATACAAAAGTCGCAAAAAGACCTCGCTAGTTTATAAAAGCAAGCACTTAACTACAAATACTCACAGCTGCACATGGAAAAACTCTTAAGTAATCAAGAGAAAAATACATTCACCAGAAGAGAAACGCCGGCACAGATAACGAAACGGTTTCTGAACCGCAGAGAAGCAAAGTGGGGTCAAATGTTCGAAAGCAAGACGTATTCAACGCGCTAATTCTCGCCTGAGAGTCACGTTTTGAAAGGCTGTCTCAACATCGATCATTAACACCATAAAGGGATTTCTCCTACCTCCAGCTGGTTCTGTTGTATTCAACGGCGGAGTTGCCATCGATTCGGACCATTCTGTGATCTCGTCTTCATGACCTCCAGCTAACAGGCGCGACAGAGTGGGTTCTCTTTGGCCCTGAGGGAAAGGAGTGGGAAAAGTTAAAAAGTAAAAAAAAAAAGAGAGAGTTTACACACAATCCTACTACTGAAATAATCAACCAAGAGAAAGTCGAGACGTACTATAAATATTCGAGTTTGTTTGAGACACAAAGGCATCGACCGAGAAGCTTCTGGAAGGAACGGATGACTTGATTTTCCTTTTCCTGTACGCTTACGTTTCAACAAGGGTAAGTATTAACTGTAAATATTATCACATACTACATAGAAAGCAGATTTGCGCAGTAAGCAATGAAGGAAAGACAAAAACGCTTCCCAATAACCAAGAGTTTTCAATCCAGCTCCCTGCTGATTCAGGGCATCAAACGCATGTACTCTGTTCCGTGCTGAATACTTCATCATTTTAACTATGTAAAGTCGGTTTAGTTCTACCAACAGTAAACGTAATTAAGACAAAATCTGGCAGGCATCAACGTATTTTCTTGACAGTCATAGAGAAATTGCACTAAAAAAATAACCGGTCTAAAAATATGGTCCACAATCACTTTCATCATGGCAAAAGACATACAACTGTAAATCGTTTCGATAGATTCACTTTTTTTTTCTTGGAGTTACCTATACCGCACTTTTTTTGTTTTGTCTTAGAATAAATCGCTCCGACTCTGTGAAACAAGTTGTACACAAACATAAGACAGATGTTTGACATAACAGTCCATTGGTAAAACGATTAATTGGGGCTTGTGAATATGAATAAATTTCAAGAACGTAAAACGCGTGATTTTCTCTCTTATTGATCTCAGTGACGGGTAAACAAAATTAGTATTATACCAGCATCGCATAAAGCACTATGAATTTCAATTTTCACCAAAATGCATCAAATAGCTCTTCATTTACGTGATAAATAGAAAAAATCTCAGAGACAGGTAAACTAAATTAGTATTATGCCAGCATCGCATAAGCACTATGAATTTCAATTTTCACCAAAACGCATCAAATAACTCTCTGTTTGCGTGATAAATAGACAAAAAATTAACCCAAAACTCATGTTATTAATATTGCTCATGACCCAAAACATATTTTCGTAATGGTCAGTCGAATAGTTCTCTTTAGCGCTGAGAGCTCTCAGATGACTGTTTGCATGTATATTGAATAAAGCATAAAAACACATTTTCAGAACAACACGATCTTTAACAATCGAAAATTTTACGTTTTCCACGTATGGAAAGGAAAGGCCACGTTACTTTTCACCCCATATCATTGCAAATAATGTAAAAAACCGCAATTTGTAATTGTCATTGATAGTAATTTTTTCGAAGTTTCCCATTAACCTAAACATGGAAATTGCATACTCAATTTTACGTTAAAAAATGTAAACAAAGCTCGAATCAATTTAAAGACATCAGCGACAGGTTTATTTAATGGAGAAAATAACACGACAAACTTGCCAAAGGAATTGAGAGGCGAAGGCGGTCGACTTAAGTGATGACGGAACTGTCAAGGAATTCTAGAAAACCCTTTCGGATCTAGTGAATAAAATAAATGTAAAGCGCATGCGCTGTGGTCTTGAAGAGCCTTTACGCATTTTTGACTCTTGAGTTTTCATGCCCCTGGAGGTATCGCATTTATATACTCTTGCAAGTTCTTGTAGCCATATTAAATACCTGGAAAAGGAGCTTCGATTTCCAATGGAAATACGTTTTCACGCACCATACACTAAATGGGGTATGTCGGAAAGCGTTAAAATTCAACTGAAAGTCACCTTTTTTTAACTTAAAAACTTATTATCATCATTTTGTCGGGCATAATGGCATTTTACAGACTAAAATAGAGATTTTGGCGAACCACAGAGTAAAATCACACTCTTTTTATTGCTCAGACTGTGTTTTTGGTCATTTTTTCTGTAATTATTTTGATACTAATAAAAATACAGTTTATGTTCTTGGGCATAAATATTCCCAAACTCAGTTCAACCCTCACCTGGCGGCTCGAGCTAAAATGACTCTAAGTCAGGCCCAAAACATATTTACGCCCGTAAACATAAACTGTATTTGTTTTATTACTCGACTTCACCGCACCCGCACTGTTTCTGTCTGACCTCTTCCCTCGTTCTTAACAATGGTGCTTAAATGATATCATTATTTTAACTGGAAAAACTACCCAAGATGACATGCACTGAAATGTAGAATGTCAAAAAAAAAAAAATATATATATATATATATCGATGAGCCAAAAATTAACGTCGACTTTTACCAACCATTTTAAAATGATCATTAGACTCAACAAGTGACGAATTTCTTATGAAGGAATATTTTCCCAAAACATTATCAGACTGAGAGCTTGAAACTCTGCCAGTCGCAAAAAGAACAAGAGTTATAGACTTTGTCCAGCTGCAGTGTACTGATATCTTAACAGCCACGTAACAACTGAAGAATTTTGAGAAAGATGTTTTTCATCTTGTTATGAACGTGGGACAAATAAAAAATTCTGAGTCCCCATGAGGAATCGAAAGTACCAGAATAAGAGCTTAAAACACTGTCACTCGTACTTAAAGAGAAATGCTATGGACTTTCATAAACAATTGAAGTCTTGAAAGAGACTTAAAAATCGAGGAATTTGCCTTCAAGAAAAATTTTTACACCTAGTGCAGGTGATCAAGAATTACAATTAGGAGACACTGAGACTTCTTGGCACTCTGCGCATGCTCATAAAGAAATTGGAATCGGCTAAGTTGTACAGTCACATGTACGTTTGGATGTGGCCAATACACCTGTAGAAAAACTAGGCAATGTTTTTAGTTAATAGTTTGATTTTGTAGTTCGTTTTTCTTTATAGTAAGTTAGTTTCATGGTATGATAGGACTTCACCAAAGCAACATTTTGCAAAGACCAGAAAATTGTTCCACACTATTTTTCTTAGGAGGTTTGTCCGAAAGCCTTGCTATTATGCAAAGGATGAGACGTAATGTAAGTCCTCAAAATGTTAGGGAGGCAGTGTGGCCAAAAGATTAGGGTGCTGGCCTTGTGATGTAGTGGCCCTGGGTTCAAATTCTTTCACCTGCTACTCATTAGTTTGCTTTTTTTTGCCTCAAGTTCAAATATTTGGCTGTGCCTTGTATATGGCCAACTGGCTGCCTCCTGCCAGTTTCCAATTTGTTCAAATTGCCCTTGAAAAAGCTCCACTAGGGAAGTAGTCAATTAAGAGTACATACATATCGTACAAGGACAGCCACCTCCCCTTTTCAGTCAATTAATTTTCAACTTGTTCCCTTTAGCTAGCATTCTCTTACCAGTATTTCTGCTAAAATGTCTGGCGATGTTGTTCTTCTTGCAGACCAATCACTTCCACTTTTGTAACTGGATAAAGCTACTGGAGTGGTAGGAGACTGAGAAAGATCAGTGCTTGTTTCAGCTTGATTGAACAGTTCATCTCCATGACCGGTAGGTTGTGACTTCAAACCTTTTTTTATGACAAAGGGTAACATAAAACACTTAAGGTTGTACAAGTATGACAAAATTCAATGAAACTTTGTGAAGTTTACCATAACATGTTTTTTAATGTACTTTCCTATTTGGGATTATTATTATTATTATTGGGATTATAATTAAATTGTAGATTCAAGTTCATAACAACAGAAAGAAACATGCAACAGTTGCATGCACAATTGCATACTTTCTATTTATAGCTGTGATAAAAGAGCTTTATCTGATGTTCCTCTCTTTAACATAACAAATATTTATGCAAATTCCTATCACAAAAATTTATGGTACTGCAGCATTACATGGATGTGATTTACACAAATATTGTGTGCAAAACACACTTTGCATCACACAGCATAAGAAGTAAACACACTCAAGAGACTTAAATGCAGTCAATCAACTATAATTTAAATGCATACCCTGGGACAAAAGGAAACATATGCTTTAAGTCAGTGGGTTGAAGCAAGATTGTGACAGACTTTCACAAACTTATTGGCTCATTGCCATGATAATGACAGGTGTATCATGTGACTCCCAACCCTTCTGCAGAAGTTGAGCTATTGTAATGTACATACATTTGTGAATGTGATGTATTATAACACAAAAATGTATGTATGCAGATGCAAATATACAGATTATTATTTGCCAACATTGAAGTCCAAATGGTGACAAATGTGACTGAGGTCTTGTGACTACTATTACAGTTTTTCACTAGATGTATGTCATAACAACTCTGAGGCAATAATTTAGCTACCCAATTTTGTTTCTCCCCAACTAAAATCACTTGTGCAACAATTCATCTTTTCCCCACACAGTGCATGCTGCTTGGCAAGAGCAGAAAACTATGCAAACTGAGAAAGGGCTGTTTACCTCTATGAAGTAGCAGATTTCATGTTTTAAACACCTAAATTTATATACAGAAAAATTGCTTCTAATTTTGAAAGACCAGTACAAGAACTCATAAAAACTCTACACGTATAATGACATGGGTAGTGTTAGGAAAAACTGAACTGTGCAAATAAAACAATCAGATTGTAATTTTCGTTAACAAGATCTCTCAAAGAAAAATAAATACAACATATTCATTTCATGTCAAGACATCAGGAATACTTACTTGATGTTGGGCTGCAAATACATGTAGTTGATTCATCCTGAGAGAATAAACATGGGGTCTCAGTAATTTTGTGACTGTATCTTGAGGTTACTGGTGTCTTAAACTGATCACCATTCTCTGTCTTAAAATCTGTACAACAAGCATTGCTGATTTTTGTTTGTGGGGAGGCACAAATGTCTGGTGATACATTCAGATCATCGAGAAAGTCTGCTGGTGTAAGGTTTTCATCATTCACCAGTCCTTCACTAACTTCACCAAGCCCTACAAAAAAGGGGTAAAATCAAATGTGAGGTTATTTTATGCATGCTCAACAAATTCAACGAAATTAACTGCATTTCTAGGTAACAGTACATGTGTGATAAAAGAAACAAAGGGGTCTGAATGTAAATAAGGGAGAAGCTGCAATATTTTCACAAATTACAAATGGAGGGACCTACTTTTCTTCCCATGATACTTCCTCACCTCCAGGTTTGAAGGACGATGATGCCAAGTTTGTTAACCATGATTGAACAGTTCATAATGATTATAATTTGTTTGAAAGTTTTGAGGAAAGAATAGTTGATTGGCTCAAATTATCATATCAGGAGTCCATAACACAACTATTTCTAAGCTGTTGATTACTTGCCAATTTGCAAAATTGATTTAGTCCAAATTAACATTTCAAATAAATTAGCCACATTCTAAATATGGAAAAAAACTTTTCCTAAACCAGGATAAACACTGCAATATTTCCAGTGCATGAGAACTTCAAAATGCAACACAAGTCTACAGTTTCAGTCTATATTCAAGAGATTGCTGAAAACCAAAATACACTGGAACTATGTGCATACCCTCAATAGTGACAATTTACTTCCAAGGTTGACTCAAAACATCCCAGCTGTTGCCTGATACTAAGTGATTTGACCACATAGAAGGTAATTTAAGGTTTTTTCCATGTATGTCTGCCGACCTAGGCTGGGTGTCTAAAATGTTCGCGACGACTTCAAAATAATATTTACAATGTTGGCTTATGAGTTAGCGATTCAGTTTTGCAACTAAAAGTTCGTTTGAACTGATTTAATCTTACGAGTGAAAAGAAAAGTTGAGAGGCTAAAATTAACTGAAAATTTTCGTGCAAACAACTACTTTGGGCACACAGAGGATAAAGGGAGAGGTGAATAATTGTTCACTTCATAACTGTTAACTCGAACTATACACAAGTCGATTTTGCGTAACATTCGTAGTGTATGAAAACCATTTAACCTGTCCTTCATAACCGATTAGCATTTATCTTTATTTAGCATTAAGCTAGCTATACCTGGAATTTTTATTGGAAATTTTGGCGGGTTTGAATAGACGCACGAATAGACCTTGAGCACTTTTACCGACGTTGCAATCACCCAAAAAATCTTCACAAATCACATAACGTATACGCACCTTCTGGGCACTTTCTCTCCAACAAAGCTAGCCAAAAGCATTCAGAAACTTTTCCTTTATTGAGTAATGCTATTTCTGGAAGCTTGGCAGTTTTCTTGGGGCACTGTTCGTTGTAACTCAACTGAATGAACGGCTCCATGCCTCAACCACCAGCCGCCATCTTGTTTTCATGTTCCCGCCAATCTAGTCCCAGTTTCTTGGGTCGCCTCAGTTTCCTCACGGCCAATTGGACAAAGTTGTTTGTTTCATCGTGGGAAAGGTTCGTCAGTTTGTCCTTCGTGAGAACGGACGCCAAACAGCTCAGCAGTTTTCAAAACTGAGAAAACAAACATAGACGCAAATCAAATAATTATTCTCTATGAGCTTGGAAAACAATGTACTATATTATAAGTTATTACCATTCCTCAAATTAAAACTAAAATAGGAAACCCTTTTTTCAGACTGCTCTGCCGATTGAACAATTAACACTAGTACTGAGGTGATGTCAGAGAAAGAAGGCGAAGCAAATTGTTGTTACGAAAATCTTCTTTTGGTGGTTAACACTCAGTAAAGAAATGATAACTAAAAAAATCCAAATCAAGCAAGTGATAATGATAGATTTCTTTGATTATTAATAGTAATTGCAAACTGAAAAAGTTAGCACCATTTCATTTCTACAAAGAACTCATTGGCAAACAGACACCAATGAGGAGTCTTTAGAAGTAATTAGTAGAGATGAGGATTAGTGCGAGCATTTAGCCCTACCTACTTCAGTGTCTACAAACACTCAATAGTGTCAACTCTAATATCTTAATTATTTAGTGGCAGATTGTTTGGACTGTGGTTGATTAATCGTGGAACTCGAAGTAGGACACCAAAAAGACTGATAAAGGAGGTAAGAATCTGTTATTATTTTTTTCTTCATGTATTTAAGAAAAAAAAACTGCATAGAGTAATTTACGCTTCGTTTCATCCCTTTTTTTCGGTTTAAAATTATAGTAAATTTTTTTCTCTAAACATCTGTAAATTTGGTAATACCTTTGCAAATGGATTCAGATGGACGCAAGAAGGAATGACTCTCCTAACTTTCACTAAACAATACGATAAGATGCACACAAAAAATCAAAAATCATTTCCGACGAAATAGCGGCGAGCAAGAGTCTAAGCTTAGCAGGAGTTCTTCATACACAGTTTAATTAGATTAGGGAAGACGAAGCTTGAATAATATCGTAGTACCTTTTGCGGAGTAGCCTGATGTGTTGCAAAGCTAACTTGGCGGTCGTCATTGACCATTATTCATCGACAAGTTTCTTACCGAGAAAGAACTTTTCCTTTCGACTTTTTCCGTTACTTGGGCTACATCTTAGTTTACTTTTGTTATTACAAAATGGTATCGACGATAGAAACACTTAAATTTTAACATTTAATATGCAATACAGTTCTGCTGCTTTAGGTACTTTGTTGATCTATAAAACGGAAAAAATTTATATTTGTCAGGTTTTCTATTACAGACCAAATTGTGAACAGAATGCGGCCCACAATCACAGATAACAACGAGCAAATAAACAAAGTTTTGTTGACAGCTACTGACTAAACAAATTTGCAAAGTTTACGTTGATAGCGTTTTGACAGAAACATACTTTAATTTCAAAGAACCGGAAAAACTAGCATAGCATCCTTATCTTAGAAAAGCATTCAAAACTGATTTTAAAAAAAATCCGGGTGGAGTTAAACGGGTGGAAGTGCACAAGAAAGATTTCGTGGATAATTGATGTACTTCAGTGATATGACCATAATGGTAAAATGGGAGAGTTGAGTTCGACATCCCACATCTGTTTTGTTGTGTGGTTTTTTTTTTATAACTAATTTTTCATTACTTTCAATTTTTGTCATTTTTTTGCTGTAAAATGTCACATGTCTTTTCAATTCTTGTATCACTTCATGGGTAACGGCGAAATATTGAAATCGCCTACTTGTAATTCTCGTCGAATTTTTTTGTTAAATGTCCATAGTAACTTGGATTTTAGCTCAAAACTTCTTGTTAAGAAATACAGGATCAAGTTCACCGGAGTTTATTTCTGATCTTAGTTTTATTGTTATCGATTAATGTTTCGTTTCTTAAAACGTAGAAAACAACACATACCACGGCTGCGCGCATGAAAGCATTAAGTCATTAAGCATAGAGTTATTCAAGTATTTCTACAGAAAAAGAATTCATTTATTTTGGCGAATATTACTCGCTGAGGATAGAAAACACTCAATTATGACAGTACTACACATCCTTCCAAAAGCAGTGATCAACAGCCCTTTCCATTATACACGATTAAAGTTTAAATAAAGTTTGTGTTGTTTTTTGCAGTTTGCTTCAAATCTTTCTAATTCTATTTCAGTTGACCAATATTTGTGAACTTTAAAGTTTAAGTCGACTCTGATACAAAACTTTACCACGATAGAGCGAAAATCAACGTTTCTTTCAAGGCTGTCTTCTCTTTGTGTTAATTGCAAAGGATTTAATAGGTTCGATCACAGCTGTATTATGATTGTTTGCATTAACATAGTTCAATAGCTTTATATAAACGTCATCAATTTAAGGTTAAGTTTTTTCTACTTTCATTTTGCGATATTCAATGATATCAGAGTGCAATCCGCAGGGGCATTACTCAAGGCCAATAAAATCAAGCGTAACCAGCATGGCTCCAAACCACGCTTCAAAAAATCAATTACTGCACAAGTGATGAACATTATCTCGTGTCGCTTGTATAGTCGTAATTTTGTACTCTTGCTTTCTTGTTTTGATAACACCAGGCGAAAAACTAATCTATCAGTGGACTTGGAATTCCCCGGCTGTTATTGTTGTGCTTCATTCTACGGCTTCGTAATCGATTTGAGGTGAGGTCGGTTGATTAAGTTTACTCAAATATACCGAGGTAAAGTGTCAAAAACACCTTTTGAATGACAATGCGTCGTATAACACAACACAAATCGTCGGAAGACAAAATGAAACGCAGGTGCGACAACGTCGTACTATGAAGTATAACAAATATCAGACTATTTTTTAAGGAAATATCACAAGATCGTTTGCGCAATCATGGCTGTAATTTCATGCTGGATTTGTTCCTATACGTAACAAAACTGAGTAAAAATCGTCCCCCAAGGAAGACTGCAATTCACAAGTTTACTTGGGTCGATATCATAATTTTCGAACTTGCCAAGGTAACAAAAAGTATTTACTTATCTTTCTCTGAAGTGACAGAATTATTCATTACTCACGAATAATCTGAAATTTCTACACTGAATAATACTGTTGCAAGGAGTTTCAAATCTTTCTGTTTATTTCCAACATAATCTTTGTTTAAACGTCTCCAATGCAAGGGGGATACATATTTTGCTCGAGCTAGCTTACACAAATGAAGAAAATTTTTAATTGTCACACACTTCACGCCAAAACAATCATCGGCCAAGGCACAATGATGGCGAATCTGAGCTCAGTTCGTCATGGTTGTAAACTACCAATTCGAATTTAATTAACATCGATCGAAGTTCTGAGAGGAATAAAATTCAACTTCAATCGTGATTTTGCAAATCGTTATCTTTATAGCTTTAAAATTAGTTCCACATTGTCATTCTATTTTATATAAACATCTCTGTATTATTTGCAGTGTGACAGGTTTCAAATTGCTAAGTCAAGTAACTGACTGAGTTTTTTTGACATGTCTAGCTTCTGAAGATCATTAATGCTGCGCCAATGTTAGTGTTAGGGATAAAGTATCGTCTACCGATGTTTTCAAGGGTTCATCTCTTTGATGTGAGTCAAAATCGTACACCGTGCAAGGTTATAGGCATGTGCGTTATTATATTTTTCCTTTAAACCGGCAGAAAGAGAAATCACAAGAACAAGAGGAAAATTTTTTAAGCAGAGAAAGAGATAGTAAGCATACTGAGTGTTTAACCGTCACATCAAAAATTATGCAGTGGATTGTCATGACAGTTTCTCCTATCCAATAAGGCTGCAGAGCACACTCAAAGTAAGCAAAACAGTGCTCCTTTAAGTTTCTTTAAAATCTTTTCACTATGGTCCTCAGAGTTGTCATTTTGATAAGTTTTTATATGGCGTGGAAGTTCAGAGAAACCTAGAACTAATAACACACCTCTGTACCGCGACTTTTCAAACTCAAAAATAATATCGTGAGGTGAATTATTAGTAAATTCTTTCAAAACCTCAAAAACCTCGGAAAGATGAAAAATCATATCTCTATATCCAAAGGAAGTTAAGAAAACTTATTTAAAAATCGCTAACTTGCACTCTTTAATCTAATTTATTTGTAGTTTTATCTGTGGATGAAAACGAAAATATTATGTAAAAATTTTGGATATCGAGATGAAACGAAAAGTTGTAAAAAATGAAAAGGCACTGATTGATATCTCTATATGAAAATACAAAGGTTAAATTTCCAGCTTTAGAAGGATTTTTGATACTCTTGGCATGAAGTTAAATTCTGGAACCGCCAACATTGTGTTGTTGGTCCGTGTGTTGATGTTGGGTCCTTGCAAATTGATAAATTACTATTTTGTGAAACCACGCCTCAAAGAGAACCACTGTGTTTCAAGAAAAGTAACTTGATGTCCTCTTCGCTAAGCACCAATAGCTGAAGAGCGAAAGTTTCCTCCGCCGTTTTATCTTCAGTAGATCCCACCTCCTCAAAGTAAAAACACTCCTGCATTCATTTCGTGTCTGGACTCTTATTATGTAGGGTATTTTCCGCTCACGTAGCATCTACAAGATATCTGTTATCAAGATGGTAAAAATTTTACTTTTAGCCAACTTTTAGGTACTATGCATTAAAGTAAAATCCATGCTTTCCGCCTTTCACTTTCAACTTTAAATACGGCGAGTGTACCATGCTAGCCCTACAAAGAACATTTTTTCAAACACATGATCGTTTCTATGGTGCCGCATTATTTTTATAGGAAATTAATCTTAGAGATTGGTGGAAGGAACTCAAAACATTGCAGGAATTGTTTTTCTTTTCTTGTTCGGCGAGGTCGCAAACAAGGCAAAGCTAAATGAAACGTTAACATGTTCAACTAACAAAAAATCCAGCTATCCTTTCCTATATCCTGTCCTTTTTCCTGTCACTCAACAAATAATAATAACGAATTGAGCTGAAGATGACTACATGATACATGATAGCTGAAGTTTGATCCACTTTTTGTGACAGAAGTACTTGTTGACTTAAAATGTACTCTCTTTCTCGTTTTCCATTTAATCATTGTTATCATTTATTCGTAATTTAGGACATAAGGGTTATAGCATTTTCATCTGCATTTATAAATCACCCCACCAACCCCCTTACCTTGTTGTTTACGTCAATGATCAAGTTATCAGCGCTAAAACGTAATTGAAAAACCCCAGTTTGAGATTGTTCTGATGTTGCTATTAAAACACTGCTTCTTCTTGAATTGAATATTTGAAAGAGACATGCCAAGAAATAACTTCGTATTCGCCGACGAGATCGCTGAATGAATATGGCAGATTAATATCAAAGCACGTCTTTTTCATAATTATTATTGACTTAGTGTCTGATAAATACTCGAATGATCGAATCTTTGTAATATTTTATATCCTTTGAGCGTTCGTGTAAAACTAGGAGAGGTTAAATCAACCCGGCTCAATATTATGTTTGTGCTTCTTCTAACTTTCTAGATGATCAGAATGAGTCTATTGATTTTGGCACTTTTGGTGGTTGTACACTCGCTGAACGTCACCGAAATGCCGCCGACAAGAGGAATGCCCTTAACTACACAAAGCGCAGCGGCTAGCGGGTAAGACAGCTTCATTGAGATTATTTTCATTTCATGAAAAATTCCCACTTGGTATTTTCATGAAATATTCGACGAATCTTACCGTGGACGTGTTTATCCTTTAACAAACAAAGCTTTACCGATTTTGTTCGATGTATATACAGTGATACCTTGAAATAATGTCCTCAGAAGTCATCGTCTAGAAGTTTCTCCCAGGTGACTCTAGCGAGAAAGCTTTTTAAATGATAAATTTTTTTTATGACTATATTTTACTTACATTGCGTAACCATTTTAGCCGTGATTTTATTGTCTTTAGGTGCATTTCTCTTTCTTTTGGTTTTTTTTTTCTTTTTATCAGATAGCGATGACTATGTCATTGCGATTTTTTTGGTAAAACCTTTCAACCCATTTAAATGACTCTTCATTTATTAGTCTGTTCTTAAACCTCTTTATCAGTCTGGGGAATCGCCTATTCGAGAAGGTCAATCACTGATATCACTTAAGTAAGACTGAAAATCACGAAATGGACTCGACCGATTTTCGATTTGATCCATGACAACATTTCAAATATTCATAATGTTCTCGAAGACTTTCGGAAATAAGATAATAATTAGCAGATTTTCTTCTTTAGTTTTGAGGCTGTTAAGCCGACTAATAATTTGTTTGTTTGTGCTGTATTAAAACGTCGCCAACGAAACGAAATCTCAGTCATCAAATCAGAAACCCATCTCCGACTTTATCAGCTTGATTCAAAAAGTAGAAATAGCAGTTCTATTTTATTTTGAAAGGTCTTTGTTCAGATCAGCATGTGACACCCTAGGATGCTTCTATATTATTAAGAAAATGAGGTACACGAGGAGTATATTTTATTAGTGAATATTACTTTTAGAAGTTGTGGACAACATCGATTTCCAACCGAGAAAGTGTTCGCGCGCAGTGAATGCAATTCTCCGCCGTTTTCCGCTCGTTAAATGAAGGGGGCACACAATGTTTAAATAGCTTAAGAAATGATAAAACAAATCGTGACTTTTGCGGGCCTTTCATCGACGAAGTATCAATTACGTATTGATTTTTAATGTAAGAATGATTCTATAAGGCCCATCAGTCATGTCATATTGCTGTTTTTTTTTCAAACTCAAAAACGCGGTTGTTTTAAAATGACGTACCAGTAGCCGAAGATCCATTTCCACGCTTTCAGAATTGGGTTTATCATTAATTTAAGACTGTTTGGAGAACTTGTAGTGATCAAAAGGTCCTCTTCAAAATATCACGAGCATCATATCGCATTTAAGATCCTTTTAACTCGATCCAAATCACCCAGGTTTTGTATCACGGCGAACTTTATAATCAAACAAGAAAGTGTTCTTGGCTCCAAACCAAGTAATCAAGTTGAGATGAGAGAATAGACAATTGTAAACCTTACAAACCCACTCAAGCCTTTCTATTAGAGAACAACCAGGACCTTTATATTTCAATGATTTTATTTTACAAGTTTACATTGAAAGTACAACAAATTTTCCCTACGAGACTGAAAAATATTATTTTTTGAAGATAAAGCACCATTTGCGATTCATAAGTGACGATTCGCCTGCATAAGCACTGGTGACCTCGTGGCAAGTGGGTTGCAACAATAATAACTTCAGTTATAGTTTCAGTTTTCTGTCGCGAGCGACACTGATTGAAGACTCTTGCAAACCCAATGCCGAAATTTTGATGCGAGTTACACCTAAGCTTCTATGTTTCTATGTAATGCGGTCAAAATCTCGGTTGTAGTACATCCCATTTCGTGATCGCATTTTGTCCCTTTTTTTTTTTTTTTCAAGTCATCATGGTACTCCTCAGTTTGGTTCATTTAAAAAAAAAGCCAAACTAACCATGATATTTAGTATTAGTACCAGAGAGAGAGTTTCCAATTTTGGTTAAAAAGACAACTCTTTGAAAGTCAACGACCCTATGAACAACTGAAAATTAATAGCGACGTATCCTTATGTTTGCTCAGGACTCCTACACCCTCATGGAAGGAAATCGCAAGAAACAAGTCCCAACTAGTAACACAACTATTGAGAGGATACGACAAGAGAATTCGACCTTATACTGGAGGTAATCTTTCAAAATTCCTACTACTTACTATTCTTTTCAAGTATTCTGTCACCTACGATACATGATCGCAAACGCCATAGCCGAATTTCTATAGCCGCTAACCTCAAAGAAACTACTCTCCTAATCTTTTCTTGATTCTTTTTTCATACCCAGTGATTATTTCTAAACAAATTTCCGTATGGCTTGAAAGAGCAAGGTCGGGTGCTTACATGATCCAAAAGTAGCAGAAATAAAAGGCGTTGTTTTTCTTAATTCTTCATTTTCAAATTGCTTACATGTAGATGTACAGAAAATATCTTTGGTTCTTTTGTCCTCTTCCAGCTGTTGTTCTTTAAATGCGGTTATGATGATTTGAACGATTTTTCGCCTTTTTCATGCTCAGTGAGTTAAGACATTTTGTAGATTAGTCCTTCCCACTCGAATAGATGACAGTGCTGTGCAAAACAGGAATACCAGTTAACATAATAGACAAAAAATATTTTAAGTCGACTGATAAGATGCCCACTATCATCTCACAGATATGACAGTGAATAAACAAAACAGACATACGTTACTTGAAGAAAATAAACATGAAAAATTATGCTTTACAGGAAATTATGATTATTCCGTGCTTCATCCTTGTGAACTTTAACCAAACCAAAGCTGCCTTAGGTTGATACACGAAATGTATGAAATTCCACTGATTTCTACAAAGCTGTTTTTATGACTAGTGTGACTATCCGAGTCTAAAAAAACTTTGATCCATTATTGAACATTGCGCACTGTAAAGGATCGGAGAACTATGATTCGTCATGGGACTGTGGATAATACAGTGTTACTGCTGCACAAGAATGCTCGAAAATCTGAGTTCTTCTCCAGGGGTCGAACCTTTGAGCTGCTAATTTACAAGCCTAAAAGCTTCTAAACTTTAAAGCAGTTAAAAGTGCTGTACCCCAGTGCTATGAGAAACATAGCCATTCGTCCAAGTTCATGTGACAATCATCGTGCATATACATTCCACCAGGATTTAATTGTTGGTGTAGTGCTCGCAAGTAGCGATCGATTTATGACTGGTATCTTTAAAATAGCTTTGTTTCAAATCCTCTAGTCGAAAATGCACTGATACAGCGAAGGGTTTTACCTAAATGTTACTGGGTACAGATTGCTGGTTGCAGGTCGCGACGAATGAAACTGCTCAAGGACCTGAGCGGAAGATTGAAAAAAAGCGCATAACTTAGGGCCAAACAGAAGTCGACCCTTTAACATTTAACCTTTTGGTTTGGATTATATACCATTGGGCGTAGGAGATTCGAAGAAGTTTGTCGTTTAATCAGGTTCATGTGACATACATTTTGCAATCTACCTGGTGACAGGAGATTGAGAAGTTCTCAGTTCGCTGGCAAAAAAGGAGAGGAAGTGATGACTAAAATGGATTGCACTGTAATATTGGTGATGGAAGGAGCAGGATTTTGACGCGCATGGCTTAAACTGGTAAGCCGCACCTGAATTGTCCTCCATGTAGAAGTCCAAGAGATACATTGTGTTATCTGCTGACCGGCGATATGAGGAGTTTTCAGTTCGCTTGCGATGAAAGGGAAAGAGTAATGACTACAGTGGGCCGGACTGTAATATCGGAGGTGGAAGGAGCAGGATCTTGACACGCATGGCTTGAACTGGTACGCCTCACCCGATGTATCCTCCCTAAAGAAGTAATGGAGATATACCATGTGATAACTGCGGACAGGCGATTGAGGCCGGAGTTTTCAGTTCACTTACGATAAAAGAGAAGGAACGATGACTGGCTGTTTTATTGCTGACGGAAAGAGCAGGATCTTGACGCAAATGAGTTGAATAGGTTAACATCACCAAATTTTTCTTACCACAAGGATGATCTCTAAAACATCAGCCTTGAGGTCCCTGTTTACACGCCATTTTCCTTATGGTCTTCAACACTGCCCCTCGAAGTTCAGCAAGACGCCAACAATACAGAATAGGATTGATGGCGGAGTTCAAGTGTACTATAGTGTTAGCCAAGTGCCAAGGCCTTGAAACATCTTTGAAAGAAGCACTCGCAATAAACACTGATATTGTTACTGGAAAATAACACAATATCATAGCAATGTAAAATACAAAGTTATTAAAAGCCTTTTTTATCATTCGTGCCCTATTTAAGCTGTTTGTATCAGGTGAGCTTTTTACGGCTTCTTGTTGAACTTGGATCTGAACTTGATGCCGGCGAGCTATGCAATATATTCGAATATAAAATATTGCTGTAAGACATAAAAAAAGACAAGCGCCAGTGGCTTGAATAGTAAAATATACTGGCCAATTCTGAAAATAAACAATTGAAAACAACGTGTTGTATATCCAGATTGTTAGTATAGATACAAATGTCAGTTTCGCTTTCAGTGTCGAACAAGTTTGATATCTCAGTGAATACATCAGAGCCATATAACGATCTATACTAATGGCCGTCATCGTACTGAGAGAGACTCCACATAAAACAAACCCAGAGCAGTTGTAAAGGCGTTCAACGGAATAAGCCGCAGTAATTTCTTTGGCAATGAAAACCGGTTGAACAAATAAACCAACGAGAAAGTCTGAGACAGCAAGACTGCAAAGCATGACCATCGAAGTCGAGCGAAGGGACGGTGTTGTTATTACAGTTGCCAAGATCAACGTGTTCCCTATGATCGCTATAATCATCAAAGGAGCGTTAAGAACGCAGTTAATAATTACAATAGTTTCAGTGGTAGCATTGTCTCCAGCTCCTCTATAGCCAAGCAGAGTCTCGTCAAGTTTTGAGCTAGTATAATTCGTCATGTTTTCACAGAAATGATCCTTCCCTTTGAATATTTATCCACAAAATAGGCAAATGTTAAGCGAGGCTTTTCTTGCCCAACTTTGAATTTTTAGGAAATGCAATGCAAAGACTTTACTAAGGTGGTGCTTGTTGGTGAAAATTCAGAATGAGCTCAGCCGAATTAAAATGGTTCTTTATGCTCTCCTTGCAACACTTAGGAGCAAATATCCAATATAATTTCTATTTTATCGAATTTCATGAGATGCAAGGTGGTTCTTATCTTGTTCATGATAAATACAGGTGGCAATATTGTCCAGGGCTTATAGATACCTATTAAGGCAAATTTTACACTTATATTTTTTCCAGTTGTAAGCGTAGTCGATGAAAATTTTTCCGATTACGCGAGTCCAGCGATCGATTTAAGCCCCTTTGCGGTTCGGTTTTGAATCGGTCACGTATCATTTCAGTGCGTTAACAAAAAAATGCTGATTAATCTAGATAAAGCAGTGGGGAAAATAGTGAGCTTTTGATGCTTAAATATGTTAAGTTATGAATTTATGCGTTCCATTCAAGAGAATACTTAAATGGAGATAATTACAAACGTATCTTCTTACGAAATTATTTATTATAGAGACAAATTATATGAACAATTTCTATTTTATTTCATTTACTTTTTGACATTATCCTTTCACATTGAGGGATTACGTCGATCACAGACTTGAACCATTTGCAGGAATAAGTGTCATGGGTGTTTACGGCGTAGCGTAGATTTCGGCTCATTTAGGTCACACCTTTTTTATCCAGAAGAGTGAGTTATTCTAGAAAAGCTGATGACGCAGGAAAATGAGCCCAAACTTCTTTTACTCTTTTTAAAAAGGTCTATCTTTTTGCTAACATTCCGTGAAATTTAAAGGACTCTTTGAAGTTAATTTGTATCTCTGACATCTTTTAAGGCTCTTTTTTGTTTAACTTTTTTTGACTGTTTAAGAGAAAATTTCGTTGCCGCTGATTTCACTGTCCTTCCTAAATAACCGCTACGTAAATGTGAAGTATCCGGTTTGAATATTTATCGATCAGAACCTTCTATTTTGTGAATGAACGCGTGGAAATGAAAGATTGCTTAGAATAAACTCGATACTGAGTTTCATACTGCAAGAATTTCTGCCCTCGTACATTATTTGAATTTGAAAGTTCGTTAAAATAAGCGAATTTAAATTCGTTTTCTTCATCACTCAAGTAATGGTATCTCCTTTGCAAAATGACGCTTCACTTTCGCTAGAATCTGGTTTGAGCTTGGTTGAGGCGATTTGCAGTAAGAGGTGGCAAAAATAATTTTCTCTAAGGTAAAATGTCAACGTATTTTCGTGCCAAACACTTGCGTTGGGAAATTAAAATAAGACAATCCTGAAGCTTAAAAATTCTATGGATTTCTAAAGTTTCGATCAATTCATTCGATAATAAAATTCAGGTGCTAATGAGTTACGTTCAGTGCCAAGTGAATACAAACGAAACTCACCTGCCTCTTGTAAAGGTGCTTATCTCTGGGAATTAAGGGATTTTTTTTTATTGATAGTCTTAAGTTTGAGGAAGGCATTCAGCTATGAGCTGTATAGCTAAGAAGACTTCTATTGTGGCGGCCACCTCTGAACTCTAAAGACTTTTTCCCTGTTAATATATCTTGAATACGTGTCATGAAAGCATTACCAACAATTTACCTGAGTCTTAATGGATCACCCAGCAGATATTGCTGAGGGTACAAAACCGAGCTTCCGTAGCGAAAATCAGGGAGCGCAAACTACTATGTATTATTTTGTTGTTTTTTTTGTTTTTTTTTTTGAGTTTTTGAGTTCCCTTAGTGACATACATGAAGTCTATGACGTTTTCCGGGTAATTTTTACTCCGATGCCAACCAAGTAATTCATAAACTGCTATATTTTGCTGACCTTCCCTTATTTCATGAAAGACAGTTTAATAACGAAACGACTTTGATCAATATCAGTATCTGGGCAACTGCCCACCTACCCCTCCCCTAACCCAACAACAGTCAATTGATAACAAGTTAATGGTGGGTTAGGGGAGGGGTAGGTGGGCAGTTGCCCAGATACTGATATTGGTCCCATGTTCCCACAAGTACTAACTGCGTAAAAATTTCTCTTATTTCTAGTTCGACCGATGGATGTCCGTGTGGACATGTTAGTGTCCAACATTTGGGCCATAGAGGAAGCAAAAATGGTAAACCTAATATGTCGTTTACATTCCGACCATGGAAAATAGATGAATTTTCGAATTTTGTGCCATCATTTTAGTACAGCAGTTGGAAATCTGGAAAAAATTATTCGAAAGATTCCATAGGGGGAAAAAGTTGTTGAATATTTGCTGCTTTTTTTTCGCTTAATAGGATTTTACAATCGACATCTATCTTCGCCAGTATTGGGAGGATCCTCGACTTTCATTTCTTGAGAACGAAATTCAGAGAACGCTGACATTAAATAGACAAACAATAGATGAGATATGGGTTCCAAGTACATATTTCTTTAATGCCAAGAAAGCATACTTCCACGATGTCACAACAGATAATTACCTGCTGCAAATTCAACCGGATGGAAATATCTTTTATAGTGTTAGGTGAGCGGAAATTTCTCTATATTTGTTACTCTTATCCAAAGAAAGATATGTTTGAACCCAAAAATATTTGATGCCACCAGTTAGAAGTATGCTCCTGAACCCTTGTAATTGCTATCTCTGCCATTAGAAAGGACCTGGGAAATCATGACGCGGAGCGGGGCTTGTGATATCGAAAACGGAATTGAGCTTTCGAAAAACTTCTTCAAAGAAATATGCCAAAAAAGCATCATTGGAAACCAGTTTTTTTTATCATCCCCAGAAACCATGATTATTAGTATGTTAAGGTTTGTCCTCAAAATTTCTAATTCTTTGAATAACATTCCCCAGATAACACAATTTGTTTTTCGTACATATAAAGACGATAGAGGAAAGTCTCTTTCGGATTCCACTTTTAATTGACTTACCAATAGATGGTGATTATTCTCATTTTTTTTTTCTATCGACAGGTTAACAGTGACAATGGCTTGCAAACTTAATTTACAGATGTTTCCACATGACGTACAAACCTGTACAGTCATGCTTGAATCGTGTAAGTCAAACATTTCCTGGTGACTTTCTTGTGCCTCCTTTATACGAACACTTGAATCACTTCATAATGGCTCCTTTATTCTAGCTTCTACAGGTGTTACTGACGACGGTAGATCCTAAGTATAGTCGTATAAAGCAAATCTGTCTTTAGAAAGCTAATGAAGTACATAGCCAAAAAAACGAGTGAAAGACAAAAAAAAAACACAGAAAGTTCAAACTAATTTTTTCTGTTGACACCAAACACAGCCTCTGACATAAACCAGAGGATCCTTATTAAAAGTGGATAAAATTTATCAGTCTTTAGGAGGAAAATGCAATACACAGCAAACAATGAGTGAATGACAAAATAAAACACATAAAATTAAAATCAACTTTATTTGGTTGACAATACCGCAGCCTATGACATAAACCAGTGAAAGTCATTTCTACTCTTAAAAATACCCAGGTAACCATGATCATGCACAGTTTATGACTGGCGAGTGCTCAAAGATAGCTCGCATATAAACTCGTTTTTTTTGTTTTGTTTTTTTTTAAAGATGGTTATCAAGCAACAGATGTGTATTACAAGTGGAATTCAAGAAATTCAACCGGTGATGTTGTTTACATCGCAGAGGACCTAGAGATGCCCCAGTTCATGATCACCAACGTGGAACTGGAAGAGAAAACGAATATCTACAACATTGGTACGCAAATAAGTGCTTTTAATTGAATGAGGACAAGCCTTGATAGTCACTTATTTCAAATATTTGATTTTAATAAAAGTCTTTTCCAAATTTATTAAACTTTAGTTACTAGAGAGCTGTTTGACCTTATGGTTGGTGAGGTGATAGAGGAACAAAATCGTCTGCTTTCAAGGTCCTTTCTGGGCTATATTTTTTCGAAAGAATGCTACCAAATGGATATGGTGAAAGAATGTCTTTTAAATCAGTATTAATATGAATAGGTAATAATAATAACATTATTGGGTCATTGGAGAAAGTGGTGAGTGCGATAGCAACTATGCCTAAAGGGGCTTGAGATTGAGTTGGGGGGGGGGGGTGAGCTAACATCAAATTCAGAGGCTGTCTCGTCAATTTAAGTCTCAACTTTGTATCAAAACCGGCAAAAAAAACCTGAGCTTGGAAAAAAATTTTGTTTCTGAGAGCCGCACCCTTAAAGCATGCTAAATTATATTTGCCCATTACGTGGATAGGACCTAATCTTTGGTACTTAAATTTTTTTTTGCTCGCGCCCGTTTCCTTATGATCAGATCTCATAAAATGAACATTTTATTTTATTCAAGGGCCTCACTCGGCGCTTGTGGCAAAGTTCACTTTTCATCGTCGCCTTGGTTACTACATGATCCAAACCTACATCCCATCGATGTTAACAGTGACAATTTCATGGTTCTCCTTCTGGATTTCGCCAGATTCCCCACCAGCCCGAGTAGGACTGGGTATTACAACGGTCCTTACGATGATAACGATTTCGAACAGTGCGCGTGCGCCACTTCCTAAGGTCTCCTACACTAAAGCCATTGATTGGTTTCTGCTGATGTGCTTGGTATACGTGTTCGGTGCGCTAATGGAGTATGCTATTGTGAACTTTTACTCCTGTAAAGTTCAGTACAAAAAGCAAAAGGAGACAAGAAAGGCGGAACAGGAGGTTAGTGGCACTATTCAATTCGGACGAATAAAACATAGTTCAATGTTATTGGCGACATGATCATTATAAAATAGGAACCTGTTTGGCAACATGAACGTTGGCTAATGACAGACGAAGTGCGTTCATTTGCTCTTCAGAAACGTTTCTGGGTTTGAAAACTTCACAATGAATAAAATTAACAGCCCTTCAATGAACGTGATTTGAAATGCGCGATAAACTAGATGTTTTTCCCTGCAGATTATGAGGCTAAACATTGGTTAGAGAAACATTTTATATCTGAATGTTGATAATTAAATAAAATTGTGACTTTCGCTTTAGATTTAGTGCAGTTCACGGCCCATTCAATATTTACAATAGAGTTTAATAAAGATAAACATCGGTACCAAGTTTTTTTGTTGTTGTTGAAGAGCAAATTTGAGCGTTTTTATTTTTGTTTAGTTCTTTCAGCAGGAATCTGACAAAGAAGAAGCAGTTGGGCTGTTTCAGAACGGCTCTGTCAAGAAGAGTGACAGTAATGGAAGCTACAGAGTGGCTGTTGTCATGTAAGCTCATCTGCAAATTACAGATCATGTACAGTTTGTTTAATGAAAATATTGGTAGATGAAAATAATAACGGTAATGATGATAGCTGGCGACAATCATAATATTTCAGTGACGATAATAATAACGATAATAATCGGCTTGTAATAATGCTGATGACAGTGATTAAGTGCTTAATGAAAGAGGAGCTGGTGAAACTAAACGACGTGGATGAAGAAGTGAGCCACTTTTTCTCAGATAAGAACAAGGCAAACATTTTCAAACGATGAACAATTCTGACCTGCATCAAGAACTGAGCATACTGGGGATCATTTCTGTGCAACGAATTGCTCTCTTATTTAGAAGACGTCAGCCTTAACCTATAGTATAGGCACAACACAATTGCAAAAAACTGTAAACACCTTGAAGTGATCATTCGGGTTAGAGAAACCCTTTCAGTAACTAATCTTTTAACAACGTCAGCAACGGAGGGAGAGGCTCAAGCTCTCTAAGAAAGGCAACCTCCTCGGCTCTCTCGTTAATGGCGCGGCAGATTTGATTTAATTTGGTTTGTTACTCTCGCTCTTCCTTTTTCTCAAATTTGATTTTTTTTCTCAGAGACAGCAAGAATCCATTTTTTCCTCGAGCGCATCTGAACCAAAAAAATCCCAAATTCAGATTAGCTCGCCGATTTCGGCAAAAGGTAAGCGATACATTTGTTTCTCAAAAATGTATTTGATAGTGGACATTTTTTATGGCAATTGTTAGTAATAGGAGTCGCTGTCGAAAATTCTCGGTGGGAAGTTTGGGAAAGGCTATTAAAGAAATCTTCAAGAGGAAGATGTTTGAAAACCTTTCCACCCCGTAGGAGATGAAGAGCCCTGAGAGCACGCCTTAGTGCACGACACTCAAGAGTTTGGGCGTCGATCTCAGGTTATATGGATTATTGTTTTGTACTCTCAGAAAGAGCTAAAGTCTTACTATGCCTTCTTCCACGAGCATAAAGAGACCACTTAAAGGCTTTCATTTTCTTTACACTGACACAGGAAATAGACGAATCTAATGATAGCAATTCCCAGCCTCCAAAAAAACGTCATCACTACTTCTGGGACCCGTATGAAACAGCATTTATGATGTCAGAACCGGCATATACTGTGGATAAATACGCTAGGATATCCTTCCCTGTCACCTTCGCCGTGTTGAACTCCATATACTGGATTGTTTACGCGCCGGATAAAGTCATCTTCTAATTACACGCTGTAACAGTGGGAGTTGAAATTCTCGTTGCAGTTTTCATATGCCGCAATGACGCTTGCACTGAACTAAACGCGCGAGGTAAAAGAGCAAAAAGGCGAAAAAAGAAGAGAAAAATGTGAAGAGAACGGAGCCAAACTCATCGTACTCTATTCTCAAGCATAAATCTTAAGAGCACAAGGATAATCAAGAAAAATCCATCTACATCCTCTTCCCACTGTCGCAAAGATCATCATGTCTTCAGAATAAGCCGCAAATATGTGAGAAAAAATCCTTGCTAAGCGATAAACATCTGAAGACCAAACAAAGGAACACCTTAATGTATAATCACATTTAATTTTTGGTATCTCAGAGTTAAGAGAAAACCGGGAAAGTCAATGCTTCCTCATACTCAGTCGTTTGACCAGAAAGTTTTAGTTCTGATGTTCCTTTAAGTGAGAGGCCGTTATTTTCGTTTGGCTCTTTTTATTAATTCTGCTGCACGAAATATTCAGATATGAATGAAATGAACTAGAAGTGAAACCATGAAATTCTCACCCCAAGACCGTGTTGATAAATTTTCCTGATTTCTGATGATGAATATCTCCCATGAATCAAGACTACCAGTGCCCCCTCAGGGAGGCCATTTGTTTTCTTTTGTAGCAAAATACGAAAAAGAAACAAGAACACTAAAAATATACATAGTTTAAGAAAAGGTAAATAGATGATGATTATTTTTTAATCGAATCTATGTTTTAGAGCCATTACGTAAGTTTAAGTCAAGGCCCGAATGCGTTGACTATAGTTATCTGAGAGCTGAATAAACTTAAAAACAAGGAAAATCTTTTAAAAGAGATTTATCTAAATGATCTCAATTTTATTCAACATAAAATTGTGATATCGCAAAGTGACTTGTATAATAAATACTGATGCTATGGCAAGAGGTTCAATGGTACGGTTTTATCAAGGAACATGTTAGAAAAAGCTTCCTCATTAGCTGAAAAAAGTGCGGTATAGAGTGAAAAATGGTGCGATTCGTTAATTAATCGCGCCAATGAGAGCCAATCCGATTACAAGACTCATTAATGATTTCAAAATGTATGTAATAAAAAAAGAAATTTGTTCGCGGTGAATCTAATGATTCAGTTAGCTTAAGCCTAAGATAATAATCAAGCAGATCATGATATTTTGTCGGATTTCTTCCTCTACGATTTTGTCCTGTGAAAAGGGAGTTTCTCGCGACGAGTACGACAAAAAAGACAGACACTTACGACAACAACCAGCTAATTATGAATATTTATGGGAAAGTGACGTCAAATTGCTCCTTTACCGTTTTTATGCGGATATTCTTTTGATATCAGTGTTTGGGAAATATTTCTTAATGATTAACCATTCTGCACGTTGAAAGCGAGGCTGAGAGGACAAAATTGGGTTTTCCAACGTAAACATGCAGAGGGCCTATTTAATTTTTTCATCGATACAGATAAAATTTCGAGACTTGGAGTAGAGTTTACTTGTAAACATTGTTGGCGGTTTGACCATGTTGACGGATACGGAAAGACACAACCTAAAACGAGCCATTTAACGAGAAATCTACTAGGACGAAGCATCCTTCACTTCCATTCGTATTTCATAGTATTGTCATTTAATTGGACACCTCACTGGAATCAACGAGAGACATAAAAAAAAAAAACACAGCCCATAGCTACATTAAAAGAGATCGTTCAATGATTTTATTCATCAGAATAATTTTACAGTCACATCTTTGATTAAAATCAGGCAATCATTCGATGAATTCTACGTTATAAGAATTTTTTGATAAAAATTTAAGATACCCACAAGATAATCCCTCAGTATGTTCTTTCCAAGTAAGGCTGATACAGATCTAACTGCTGTGACATTATTTATTAGGCCTACACAAAATTTTCTTTTTAACACTGTTGGTAAAGCGTTGAAACAAAGGCCTTTCACATCAAATCTTATTTGTCATACTTGTGTTGATAGTAAGTGATGCTGCGGTTTATTTTTCTCCTCCGAAGACTTACAAGGACTAGTTTCAGCGCTGAAAAATCTACAGAACATCAAATCAGATATGAGGAGGTCTTCCTTGTCCTATTTTAGTTTTTTGTTTAGTTGAGCTGCCTATTACTGGTTCAAGACTTAAAAGCTAAAGCCTCCTTGATCAGCACAGTAAATATTTTGTCATCACATAAGTAGAGAGGAAAAAGGTTTTTCATAATGTTTACGTGTTTACCCTAACTACACCGTAAATATTCAAGGCCTATAATTATTTTACTTTTTTTTTCTTAAATGGTAATAGCTAGGCCTAGCCTGTAACAGTTTACCTTCAATAAATCGTTCTATCATTTGATATTTTATTCTCGAATAGAGACGTCAAATTCTACAAGAGAATACAAATAAGCCATAATCATAATGTACTGAATGCCCAGCATTGCAGCCAAGGATTTAAACAACGTATCCACGTATTAATTCGTATTTCTATGCGGCGAAATATCTATCGACTTCTTTCATCTATTGCCGCCCAACAATGGTTCCCCTTCAAAACTGATACTTCCCCTTTCTCGTTAGTTTCATCCTTTGCCGTGTACAAGCCAGTAAACGCAATTGAATGCAAAGAATGTGAGCGGAAACCCAATCCGCGAGCACTTGTCTATAGTGTGAGGATTACTAATAAAGTACCATTTTTCCCTCTCCGTTTTCTCTGGGAACGTTTTACTTTCAACACCAAGAGAATCTGTTTCAGCTTGACTTAATACTCGCTTAAGGGCGTTTCCTCGTCGGGGAGAACATTTTGGAGCAAAAAGAGACAAAAGCTCTGTCCTCTCTTCCTGTTTCTAGAGAGAAAAATATCAAGAAAAAATAATAAAAGGAAAAGAAAGGATATTTTTCACTGATCAAACGTCTCTGCTTCACAAATTTTTGAAAAAAAAAACTTTGATACTCTTTGTAGAAATTCTGGTCAGAGGAATCTTTATATCCATAATTTAAGAAGTGAAAAGCAGATACTGTTAAAACAGTCCATGGTCTAAACTTTACATCCCTGGGGCTTCAGTAAATAACTTTGACCCGCCTTAATACCATATATACAAATATATAGAATTGATGCAGAAACGAAAGCAGATATACGTATCACGAGACACCTTGAGAAATTCTGATACACCTTGAGAAACTCTGGTAGCCTGTTTTTCTTCACCTTAACTTAACGGGTTTATATTTGAAATAGCAATATGCATGCCCTAAAAAAACTAAGAAAATATACATGTGCCCACCTTTGAACCATCTCCCCATTCGCTATCCACTGAAGGCTTCCTCTTGCTTTTATTCTTAACATTTATCATAAATGCTATAAAGGTATACTCCAAAATGGACCCAAACACAAATATGAGACACAACAGGAGGTACCAGTCGATAGCTTTCACGTAGCTCACTTTGGGTAGTGACGCGCGAGCACTGGAAATAAGCGTCGTCATCGTCAGAACAGTGGTGATTCCTAGGGCAACCCGCGCAGGCGCAGTATCGGGGTTAATCCAGAACGATATCCAGCTGATGATAACAATAATGGTGGAAGGTACATAGGTGTCAATCAAAAAGTAGCCGATTCGACGTTTCATCTTGAACATGGCAACCAACGAGGAATGGTTGCCTGGGGAGAAAGTAACAGGAAAATTATTCTTAAGGGTCCTTAGGTACATATAGTTTATTTTAGATAGGTTATATAATAGGTACACTTATTTATGCGGTCCGGCTAAAAGTTACCTTGATCGGGGCCTCTCTGGCTAGAGGGAGGAAGCACAAGAGGATAGTTAACAACGCAGCATATCAAACTCTTTCCCCAGTGCGACGAACATTTGTTTTTCTCGGTTCCAGGTGTACGCAACCACTAACCCCACGTAATGCGCATGCTCTCCGTTACGAATTTTCAAAATGGCGGACAAGCCAAAGAAAGAAAAAAACAAAGCGATTTTGCAATGAATACTCAACATAAACCCTCGTTAGAAGGCGAATCCACGGAGGAAAGATACTTTGTTCGACACTTTACATACCAAAACAAAGGAAATTTGTTCCTCTTTTTGATTCTGGCGGTACATTTTTAATTTGCGCCTGCGTAAAAGAGATATCGCCCGAGACCCTTCGCTCGGTCGTGTTTTGATCAAAAACGCCTTGTTAATTTCACGCAACCGCTCGGAGAAAAGGTAAAAATGACGAGGGAAAAACTTTACCTTCAAGTTAGAAAATTAGCGAAATAGAAAGCCACAATATTATAGTTTAATATTTCAGAGGTACATTGAGTGCTTTTTCCGTAGAGAATCCGCACAATGGTAAAACATTCGAAAATTACACTCGATTTGAGTGGGGTGTTGAAGTGGGCGTGGACTACATTCATTTTAAGACTATTTGTACCCCATGAGTTTGATATGATAACGACCCTTACTCCAAGCTCGGTGAATGTTTTAGGAAAACCAAACAAAGTTCTTGAAGGTAACCTAAAACTACATCGGCATCTCATCCCATCCCATCCCATCTAGAAACATCTGGTCTTTTGATGTTATGGAAAGGAAGATAGGCTATCGTGACCAACCACTTAGTTCGTTTGAAGACTTCTCTACACTTGTTCCCAAACGCAAGGAGACGGTGGAATAAAACGAGGAAAGAGTACGTCCATTCCCTCTGCGTGTCAGCCCTCCCTTCTCAATGAAAGCTCGTGTGACAGCAAATTAAATTAGCCTGTTTAGAATTATTGCGCCGCCCATGGATGAGCGTAAACATTGTAGCAATCCTGGGCAAAAATATCTTTAGAATGAACATAACTTGGGAAGAAAGAAACCAGGAGGGATACAGAAACCATAATCTCGATGTGTTAATAAATACCTATATTGTATTTATTTATGACTGCTTCCTTTTCCACATTGACCAACTCAAACTGTGGAAGCTCTACTTCATTGTTGACAAAGATGGCTGATGTGTTGTCATCTCTGGGGTTCCAAGCGTACCAAACGTCAGTTGTTTGGTATCCATCTGATATGGGAAAGAAATTAACATGATGAACAATAGAACAAGAGTTCCAGTCAGGAAAACTGGATCATGAAATCTGAAGCAGTCTTAATGTATTTCCCAATCAGCATCAAGCTTTCATTTCGTGTAACACAGTTACTTTTACACGCGTCCAAACATACAAAACTAGAAGCATTAAATTTTTCCTTTTAAGTACCGTAATGTATATAACTCAAAGGATATTAAACCCCACGCTTTTTTTTCCAAAATTTTTTAAGGAGTAATAAGTGCGGGCATGGTGAGAGAAGCTCGTCTCTGCAAATTAACGATATTTAGTAATTGTTTATTTTTATTTGCGTTTTTATAATATAATACTTACAACTCTCTAATGCCAATGTACACAACTGTGTGTCATGTGGGAATCGACGCAGATCCAACGTACACGAAGTAGTTATTGTGAGTCTGAAAACACCAACAAACATATCAACTAAAGACTGCATTTTTTTGAGGCTTTACATTGACAACACCGAATTTTCTTTTATTGATGCAATCTTAAACAAGTAGCTGTTATAGAATTTTTAATAGCCCGATATTTGGAAACAGGATTATGGTTTAAAACAACTCTCGACTCACCGAATGCTATAGAAGATGCTTCCATTTGGCTGAATCTGCAGCAGGTAATTCTCTGTTGTAACATCATGAAAGTAAGCTTTCTTAGTCTTCAAGAAGTAAGTACTCGGTACCCATATCTGCTTGTTAATATTGCTGCTCAGGGTCAGCAGAGGGTCAGAGGTCAGATGGTCAAACGCTAATCGCTCGTCTCTCCAGTATTGGCGCAAATATATGTCGATTGTAAACTCCTGGAATTACCACAAAAACGGAAAACAGAATTGGAGATCATTGATTTTATCTGTCGAATCACTATTTAGCATATAAAGTCAAACACTTTAGCTCTGCTATTTCAACGAACGTTGAACGCGGAGATACCCTGGTGGCATCTAATTTTCATGATTTTTCATTCATGCATGCAAGCGGATGGCTTGGTATCTGAAACATTAGTTCTAGCAGACGAGATAGCTTAAGAATTAAAAAAATTCGAAGCGAATTACGAGAGACTCAGTATCATACATTAAAAAATCAGCATTTTTGCTGTTATGATAATGATAGTATAAACAATAAAAAAGGTCACTGCTTGTAAATACTCTAGCTTTTTTTAAACTGTTTATGGTACTTACCATCTTAACTTCTTGCATTGCCCAGATATTGGCCACGTACATGTCGACTCGTACTTCGACTGGGGAACCTTTTTTCAATGATGATTGACAAGCAGTTAATAAGGAAATCACTCTTGTGATCGCAAAGTCACCTAAATAATCCATTAAAAAGCATCGGACAAAGAATTTCAGATAATTTTCCCTTTTTTCAACGCACCAGTTAGTTAGTAACACTGGTGTTATCCGTCATCTTTGGCCTTATTTTGACATGATAGATAAACTCAATTCAGCATTGAACTTGCGGAAAATTTGATCTAGCCTTCAACTACAAGATTGTTGAATTCATGTTCGCAGTTGCGATATATATATATATATATATATATATATCTAGAATTATGTATTACTTTACATCGTAGATGACTATAAAACCTTTACTTACCTTTAACTCCAGGTCTGATCCTTTTGTCGTAGTCTTTCAAAAGAGTTTCTACTATCTTGGTTGAGTTTGCATAAGCCTTAAACGGCTTGTTATCGCTGAAAAAGACAAAACAAAAACAAATACAAACAAAAAAAGAAAACCATGATTCATTTAGTTAGTTTTAGGAATAGGTCCGACAACTAGGTTCTAACACGATTCGTATCAAGTACAGGAATAATCACAGGAAGCACATGTAGTCCTATGGAGCTCTGCGATGGAGCACCGATTTTTTTTGTCCCACATCCGTGACGAGAAGAATATAATCTCGCTCATTCCAATACCGAGTTTAAAATTTACCAGCTTTTCCTACCTTTTAGTTAAAATTATGTAGGCTATTTTGCTTACGAGAGTAACGCAAAAGATGGAGGTGGCTCTTCCCACCGATCCCATGAGTTTGTTAATGGTCAACGTCCTTGCTCGGTGAGCTTTTCACAGAGCTGTGCTTCCTAATCCCGTCCCTTCCCAGTCTTGACACCCCTGCACTTCGAGGTGAGTTCTTCCAATTCCCTCGCGTTTCATGGTTTTACCATTAACATGTGTAATTTTTCTCACAATGAAGTGTAAATCGCCATATTTAAAAACTTTTTTTAAATTTTCATCAATTGGCTACGTTTCGCTACAAATGTTCATGGTGCAAAACAATAGTTAGCAAAAACCAATCATTTACTCTAAGCAACTCCTTTTTGAGATAGAAACTTGACAATGGTAGTATCTCAGTTTCATGACAGAATTTTCGGTCGGAGCGATGTAAATTTAGAAGTCTCGAACCACCTGGTACAAGACTTAAGTGAAAAGAAGCATCATACTGATAACAAACCATCAATTAAAGGTGCAAGTGGATCGCAACTACCTTTTGGACAATCAGGTAGCTTTTGTCGTTCAATTTTTATTTTTTGTTCCTTCTCATGATTAAAAGAATACCCAATCGATCTAAAAACTTTAGTGTAAGAGACAGGTGAAAACGATTCTAGAAAATCGAGGACATGAAGCAAAAAACAGATAGAAAAAAAAATTACGATTGAGTGAATAGAGTTTCAGATCTGAAACTAAAATATAAAAAAGCTGGGTAGGAAATCAGCCCTTGAATCTCAGATCAATTTCATTCGCGAACAATTGACCTTAATTGGAGCCTTCAGATGTAAGCGATCCTATTCATTATTCATCTTGAGACAGTTATCGAGACTGAACACAATTCAATCTTATGATGTGTATTGACGTTCCACAAGCTGCTAATTGGCGGCCATTTTTTTAAAATCATAATGGATCAAACAAAAGACTTTTTTTACACTGACGGTTCTCAATTTGATCGCTAAGTAGGAAACAAATTTAACCTATTACCAACAGGAATTTTGAGCGATACTGAAAAAAACTGATAGTTTAAAATTTATACAACGGAACTTACATTTGTTTAAGGCAGGCAATAAAGAACCTGAGACCGCCAAATTTAACCGTACTTTTGGGATCTTGTTGGCTTTCCAAATGCGTTTTTTATACATGTAATTATGTTAAACAATTCTTAAGCCTAAAAATTATGCCGTGCTAATTACGACAATGGTACACCGGTCAGGTTGAAGTCCATCAACACATAAGCAAAATGGCTTAGAATTTTACTCGGTCAATAAGTTCGTTTCTTATTTTCGTTTCTTCCAAGTGACGATGTATATGCTTTATAAAGGTTTTACAGATTTCTGTTACAGAGAAAACACTCAAAGAAAATATCAATGCCTTGAACGGAATTCAAACATAACGCAAAAAATTGGTAACATGATAAACAACCCTGTTCACTTAGAGGAGCAATCTACGGCAAACATGTATCTAAAGAGTCAAGGGTTTGTTTTGACATTCCGAAATCGGGAATTACTCAAACGATAAGCAACGTATAATTACAAATAAAGCCACACAATATGATTTACCTTGATATGTTAACAGAGTACTGTTCACTGGAGACTACAAGAGCGGCCCATACCATCAACACAGAGTGAAATCCCTCATTTCTGTTTAACATTCTTGCAGGCTTGTCGCAAGCGATTTCACTTCTTTGCACTAAAGGAGAAAGACGTCAAGCACAATCAAAAACAAATAAAATGTCGCCGAAGTTTGATGGACAGACGGTTTTCACCAACGTGACTAGCAGCCATGTTTGGTGACTGAAGTAGAAGAAGGAATTTGCAGTGAGAAGAGTTCATGTCCCACGTGACGGGTTTAAAACTCCAACATGGTTGACGTCACGTTACGCGAAAAAAGGTTAATGGTATAAATGAGCTGTATTTCAAATGCACTGAACTGCGATTTGGCGATTTGTAATTCTGCACCTGATCGCATTTAGAACACAAAGACCTTTGTTACGCAAAGTTCATGAGATGCCTCATGTTAAATTTATACATCAATAACATAATTTAAAGTATTTTCTTAAAAGAGAAAACAATTCATTACAATGTAAACCAAACAAACAAAAAATAAAAACAAAGGCAAAAGAAGAAGTTGTTTGTGGTAGCATAGAATGCCTATACACGGAACTGCTCTACATCATAAAGAATTTCCGCGAATCGTAAAATTTAACAAAGAAATATTGAGAAATTTAAGGAGGCAGTAAATGAAAGATTAAAATGTTGAAGTCATCATAGCGATGCTTTATCTTTCTTGTGTAAGACAATTATTACAACTGAATAGCAAAGTTTTTGCGTTCCTATGCATTTAAATGATTATATTCGCTAAGCGATTTTTAAACGTAAAATGGGGGTGACAAAGCTTCACAAAAACAAACTAAGGTGGTGCAGCACGACAAAGCAACTGATAAAACTATTCAACAGGATTGAAATGTAAAAATTGCTAGATATATAGAAATATATGCGATAAATATTTGTGGGCATCTAAATAATCACTTTTTGTAAAATACCGTTCCTGTCATCTGCTGTTTTTGGAAAAAAGTAATCAGATCGACTATTTCTGTTTCGGAGACACAGATTCCTCCCACATTTAAGTCAAATACGAGCGTGTGAAAAAGATTTCGAAACAATATTAATGAGCACATCCAACTTAGTAGAAGCCTCTTCTACAAAGGCAAAAATGTTTATATTTAAAACATAAACTATTTTTTTGAAGAAAGCCAGAAACACCGAAAACCGTACTCAGGAAGGTGAAAAAAGGAAAAATAATAATAGGTGAAGGATCACAACTTTGCAAAAATTAAATGCCTCTCCACATTGTTTTACCACAAACATTTGTAATCTACACCAGGCTATTCTCGGAACATCAATCAAACTCAGCGCTTAGATCTATTACTGCAGAGGTGATTAAAAACAACGATTTCTTACCACGACACAGTCGAACCTCAGGATAACCTTCGCCGAAAAATAAAAATGCATCTACTGGCCATTCCCCTCTATTTGAGCGCTTTTTACTTTTGAAGTGTCCCGCGTAGAAGTTTGATTAGATCCAGTGTTCACTGCAGGTGATAGGCAATTTCTACCACGCGAACATCAAGACACCTACTAGTAGAAGAGTGTTTCCTGACTTTGAAAACATTACTTATGTTTGTGTCACGAATAGCAAAGCGCCCACTAGAAAACGAAGAACGTTTATTTTAGAAGACGTTTTGAACAGGTGTACTAAATGCATTGAGAGTAAGTTAGTGCACAGTCGCCCACCATGGTATTAATTATAAATAGTCTGGAGGAGAATAGCGTCAAAGTGCATTTAAATTTGATGTTCTAACAAAATTTCCCACCAAAGGCTAGTGTGTGGTAGATAAACTTTTACTACCAGAGAATTCTAATGCAGAGGATATGGTGGCATTTCAAAATATCACGTAAATAACAGACTACCCCGTGAGGTTCCCTGCTGATATATGAGCCAAAGTCGTATTACTAAATGTTGGTTCGGCCAACTTTCAACAGGCCTTTATATTTGAAAACAGTAGTAGGGACCATTATCACAATGGGCTTGTATTAGAATATGAGGAAATTTTGTGAATAGATCAAAGACATCCCACCAGCTTTTTTCAGTTATAAAAACACCAGTGAAGCAGGGGAACTTTAAAAGAAGGCACGTTCGAAAGATTAATTTTTTCCATTAATGTAATTTTAATTCACAGAAGTAATTTCAGAGCATTGTGCCGACGTTGTTGAGATCTATATTGTTATGAAACAGGTACAGTTGCTACCCATTCTTCTAACAGACTGATCCTGAAATGGAGACTTAAGATCAAAAATAATAAATATTAAACTACACAGCATCAAACACCTAACAACTTTGAGGCATCTAAGACTTAGTCATCCTACAAAAATTCATTTATTGTGTGCGTTTTTTTAGGAGACAATATGTTTTTTGATTCAAAACAATTACAGAAATTCGTATGTTGAGACAATTGTTTGTGCTCTCAGTCTTAAAATAGATCTATCAGTTTTCCTTCGATAAAATAGGTCGCGCTGATATTTATTTCCTTTCTTTTCCTTTTGTTTGGCACATAGTTCTTCATGACCCGAGGATATTACTTTACCTTTCGATAAATTGTCAATATCAGCGGCCAGTTTGATAAATAATTTAAATTAAAATGTGATACCATGTAAAAGCGACAAAACGACCTTGCTTTTAAGTCCATTTTATGCAGTTTACTTGTGAAACAACTGCAAGTTCATATCCTTTTGATCTTAGGTTCACTCTTGAAATGAAATTTGAAACTCTTGATATTTAAAGCAGTCGATATCAGTAAAGGTGTCTACAAACAGTGGTTTCAAATAACGATTGATACCGAAAAACCAAGAAAAGAGGCATAACGCTTGCTTTCGATTGATACAAGGCAGGTTCATTTCCTTTTTGAGCGTTAGTTTCAGTCTGATTATAGGAAACCTTGAAAACTTCAGCTTTGCAGCCAAGTAATAATTATCATGAGCGACGGAAAAAAGACACAGACTCATAGCACAATCTTAACTCTTTCAAAATAGGGTAGACGACGGAAAGGAAGAAAAACAATCCATAGTTGAAAAACTCAGGAGTCGAGTCACGCTAGATGATAGCTTGTTTAGTTTTTCTCACTCTAAAGATCCTTTCAAAATTCAGTCTCCTTTGCGAATATTTTCACAATTTTATCGATTATTCCTTCAAGAAAATAATAATCGGGAACAAATCAAAGCCAAAGTTATTAGTGTCACTCAGTCTGGCTTTCTTGTTATTGTGTATATCAATAATTAAAGATCAAAATTAACCCTCAGCATTCCATAAACAGGAAACCAAAGTGATTTTTATATCCGTTTACTTATAAACATTCAAAATTTAAAACTCAGTTAGAAGAGAGTGACACTTCTACTGTCTTCCAAATAACAAATTAATAAAATCCTTGCACTTAAAGCAATTTTTCATCATAGATCATTTTGCTACCTATGCCTATAAAAAAACCTCGAAATATTGTACATTGTAAAGTGCGTTACCTGAGACCATACGGTGTTGCGGGCATAAAACATTAAGCTCGTGTATTTTCATTAGAGCGAAGTCAATTTGCATTGCCTAAAAACTTTTCTTATATCTCGGAGAGTAAAGAACTCTTGGGCGATTTTCATAGTAGATAAACTTCTACAGCCTTAATTTTTCTGAAGAAACGTACTAGAAGAGAAATGATCCAAAACTTTCACTAACCGTTTACCAATCGACCGGAATTCGAGGCGGGTTTTTTGGCCGCATTCCAGAAATCGGTACCAAAACAGTGTTCTTGAAGAGAAATTGTAATGCTTTTTTCTACCCGTGTTTCATTTGTGTAATAATTGACCACTGACAGAACTCTCTGTTACTGAACGATGGAAACTGCCTTTCGAACCATCGGGTACGATAGCATCGCATCTCTCAAAGATAGATACGGTTTCGACAGCTCTAATTATTTTGAATCACTAACGTGGGTGATTAACTAACAGTCTTATCATCGAATTATGCAAATGACGTTTAAGATCACACGGCTTCATAAAGTCAGTCAAGAAAAGGAATTGCACTAATTAATTTTACTGTAGTGTACAATGTTTTATAGTAAACAAAACGCAATACTTTGAAATGGAAAGAAAAGAAAAAAGAAATAAGAACTGAAACTCAAGAGAACGAAACAATGTCAGATCAAGTCCGCTACCATGACAGAACCTAATTTTCATGAATTCGCAAATAAATCCAAGCACTCTTGAGGTGATGATGACTTTTTTTTAGCAAGTCCAATGGTGAGGGCTTTCCTTCATAATTAAGCTCAAAGCAAACATGGCATTAATGGTGTATTTTTAATAACTTTTATTTAAAGAGCTTTTTATCACAGGACCTCTGTAATTGTGTGAAATGAAGCTGGTGGCGGCTAATTGAGGTATCTCAATACACATTGTAGTGAACATGAATTTAACTCCAATTATAAGACCAAAAATTAAACTCAGTTATAAAATTTCAAGATGTATCTTACGGGTTCTTGCAGATTCATTTTGAGATAACAATACTGTAGGCATTTTTCGTCCTCAAATATTTACTTGTAATAAAGGGAGAGATTAAAAATTCAAATTGCCAGATGCACTCTATGGAGATAGGATGATATCATGTCGACGGTTTTCTCATTATCTTTCCTAATTATATCGCCAACTTTCAACAGTGATCACAGTATTCTCTAATTGTTCTTTTGCATTCAAAACCAAAACAAACAAATGTAATACAGCATTACTGAACGCGTAAGAGCAAAACAACTCCTGAAAACATTTTTTGGCTCTCAGGGGTGCATCACCCATCCACAATATGAATATAGATGCATTTTTCCTAAGACCACGGGCTCCTTTTCGTGCACTGTAAAATACGAGATCTACTTTTTTTTCGCATTCTTAAGCTGCACTTCAAGTTCACAAATGAGGAGATGATTTGGCAAGAACACATGTCCAATTTTTTTGTGAAATTCCACATCGACATCGGCAAGATTATCTTAACCCGTCTCGTTGAAAAAGTTTCCTTGCTAAACGGTAAAGTAAGGAGTTTTGCATTGTCAAGTGCATTTATACGAGAAAAGGAATTGAAAATGTTTAAACATTCTTCTCAAACAATTATTTGTGGCTGTTAAACTAAATCTGCTATTTCATTTTATCTACAAGTTTCGGCTCTATATATTCCACCACGTATCATGCAAAGGGAGTTTGTCCCCGACAACTTCATATACTGCTTTAGCAATATCAATTTGCAGCAGGCTCGTTTTAAACTACGTTTCAAACTAAATGACCAAGACTACAAAGTCCAAAGGTGTGTTCCTGTAACCGTAAAACTTTAACATTTTTTCTTTGTTTACTTATCACATATTTTGGGTACCTTCATTAATAAATAGAAAAGCAGCAATTCGACGAAAAAACTAGGCGCGTATACTTAATAGGACCGTGAGGGTACACCGATTCTAATTTTTTTCATCTTTCTTTCCATCGTTTTTCATTAATCGTTACTTGCGCGCAAGCTCTGTACTTCTCCATAGAAAACTTGATTTGATTGAACAACTGACATACAGAAATCAATTCTTGAACCCGGCTGGTAACTTACATCGTTTTCTACAAATTTATCAGGATGAGGTTTAATGCAGAACTCTAAAAAGTAGGTTTGTTTTCAACTGCTTGATGTCATTTTAAATTTATTGCATATTTTCTGTTTCATTGGTTTCCATTCAGAACGATGAACAGAGGTTTGCGTGAAATTTGAGAGAAATGATAATGACACCGACAAACTGCTCTCCATTATTCTTGATGCACATCATCTTCAAAACTGAACATTTGTCGTTAAAGGACAGATCACTTTGCATGTAAATCCAAGGCTGCGTTAGTTAAACAAAACAAATTTTTTAGGATAATAATAATAAAATTTCACGCCAAAATATTCCGAGTTGGAGTCGATTACAGAGAGTGAGTGATAACATGTAAACCTCTGTGAATCTGATTAGAAACTGTTTTTTTTTCTTTCTTCTGAGACATCTAAAACGAAAATTGTTTGATGATGTTCATGATACATATAAATCAGCATGGAGGATGTCCTGATGTGCATCCCCACGTAATTCCTGAAAACATATGAATATGAATGTACATGGCACGCTTTTTCAAAAACGTTGCAATATGAAAACATGTATTAAATATATATACCTTTTCTTTTCCTCATCAAAAAGTATAGGCACTTTTTGGCGAGAAAAAGAAAATATGCATATATTTCATATATATTTTCATATCGCAACGTTTTTGAAAAAGGGGTGACATTTATACATACATATATATATGTGTATGTGTGTGTGTGTATTTTATTATATATATATATATATATATCTTTTCACAGAAGGGAGAAATAAAAAAAATTATCATCTTCATTCTGCCGGGCTTTTCACAACTAAAACGAGAACAGTCGTCGGAGAAAACGTTGATAAAAGATACTAGCTTAACGGCAAAAAAAATAATCTGGAAAAAAGCACCTACACGAAAGAGGCTTGGTCGAAGTTTTTCTTTACATGCACTTTATTCGTATTTAACTCTGTTGCGATTTATCGAATAGCGCCGAACGAAATCTCTTGTGGCCGCTATTTAAAACAATGTTATTGTACCAGAAGTTTTAAAGGTCTGAACTCTTTGAGGGTTAATTTTCTTACCAATTCAGTCGAAAAATGAGCAGTTTTTCCATTCTTTTTTTAGTCTTTTATTAATACTTGTGCGATATTTTCACCAGGCATCACCAAAGAAAACCGACGGAGTTTAATTAATGCAACTTACGTTTACATTTACTCAATTTTAAAAAAAATTGCTCTCTGTAGTGATAGCAAATAAGGTGATCTCTAAGTACTAGATGAACAATAGGTCTCCGTGGGAAAATAGCAATATGAACTTCGTACGAAGCTCCTTCAGTTTAATTATAAACCACTTTCAGAAGGATATGCGCTACGATTTATATATCCAAAATTAGAATTTTTGATGATTTTTTATCTCCAGCTGAGAAGGAAGTCCGCAGTTCAAGTACCACAGAACTATCCCCTAAATTTTTCTTTCAATCCCCTGTGCGAGACCAATAGCATTTCGTCAACTAAGTATCTGTGCTTTCACATCTTTAGGGTCAATTTTTCCTTAAACATTGTATAAGCTACTGGGAACATTGAAAATATTAACATTGGTAATATGTGACGAGTATATTTATATAAAGCGTTGGTTTTTTGCCGCCAGAATGGCTTCGGGCAATACACTTTAGTTTGAAAAATTTTCGAAAAGCTTTTAAAACAAACATCGATTCAATAACAGACAGTCTAAGACCAAATAATAACGTTGATCAACTAAAAGATATCATTGTGTAACCATGACAACAACAAGGCTATTTTTCATTCGAAAATCTAAGATGGTCACAATATATCGTTATAGCTAAATACAGCAAAGTATTTTAAAGACCAAATAATTTACGAGAGGGGGATCAAAGACGTTAACATCTACGTATGACTACTATCCATGGAAAACTCAAATGTCTTACGATAACCTGCTTGCTTTTGCTTACAGATAAAAATACTGCGAGTAACCTATTTTGGTTTTCAAGACGAGTATGTGAAAAGGAATCGATCCCTTCCGACACAACCCGAATGAAATAATCATCATCTCATGCTAAAACAATGTATCAAAGAAGTCATTGTTACTCTCATGATGAATAAAACTCGTAAACTAAAAACGCCCTGCTCTCTTCTATCTGAGAAACGCATTAGATGGAAAAAGGATGAAGCATTTTTAACCTTTTTTCTTCACTCAGTGGAGCCTTCTCTTCAATCAAAGCTTATTGCAGAATTAAGCCATAATCAAAGTTACGAGCTAACAGTTTAAGGCTAACTTACATTCTTCCAGTCAGTTTTAAAATCAACCAAGTAGTCTAACTCATTTTGATGTTTCCATCTTCATGGTAATCAATTCTGTCGTCACAAAAACTTGTAAAGGAAACGAACTGAATGAAAAAACTTAGCCTAAACATTAAATACACCTCTATCAGTGGTCGGATTTAATTACCTTTCAAAACACCAAGCAATAAGGCCTCCTGGAGAACAGAGCTTGATATTTTCATAACACGATCACGCAATCATTATTGAGGGACAGAAACGTATACGAGTCAAGCCAATTTGATCAAAAATTACCTTCCTGTGGCTTGATTTTGGTGCAATAACAAAGCTAAGCTAAGTGTTGATCTGTGAGCCTTTTTGCACGAGGCCGGGTTGATTTGTAACCCAGGTCGAGTTGCCGCAAAGAATACTACTGAAAAATATACGCCATGTATATTTTTAGCATTCTTTGAAATGATTTCACACGAACCTGAGTGTCTAGACAGTTGTAGAGGATGTGGTTTGCTTCGAGACTGACACAGGCCTGTCTTTCCATCGACTTAAAAACTAGACAACATCAGCAATAAAGAAAAAATGCAATGTTGAGTAGGTCGGAATGGAAGTAAATCGTAACGTAAAAAAAAAGAAAAAAAAAAAGAAACCCGTTTATCTGAGCACAAAAGGCCTGGTTAGCTAAGGGCCAGTTTTTACATGAGAGCGTTTTACAAATCTCAACCCCTTCCGGCACTTCATTCCGCGTCTCGACAAGGGTTACCCAGCAAAGAGGGCTAACTCGGCTTTGCGGCTTTTTTCACGAAAACACTTCTGAACATTGGAATGACAAGGCATTACTTTTCGAGGTGATTCCACCCGGCTTTATAAGTAACCCAAGGTTGTGTAAAAAGGTTTCTAAAGTGTCATTTCCAATTTCTCTTGTTATTATAATCAGCCATCAAAAATGTGGTTGATCCCACGAACCTTGCATTTTAAGCGACTAGCGATCATTATCATTTGGTAATTTCATAGCTGAATGCTTTTCAATTGGAAAAAAATCGTTCACGACCAAACAAAGAGGGAATGCAAAGTAAAATCTTAAGATTCTCTCAATTTCAGGTTTAATATTGAAATTGATACGGAAAAGGAGGTTTCTAAATAAATAATAAGAAATCAACAGGAACAATTTTCGCGCGAAGTGTGGTTGAGGCAGCTCAATAGTAGGGACCTTGAACAGAAGTACTTACGATTTTGAGTTTAAATTCTATATACCTACACTCAAATGAAACATTAGACAATCAACCGCAATGAATCGTGCAGTCCAATTGTTTTTATTATGATTAAAATGTAGAACGTGACATTTCTGTACTGAAATAAATGTGCTATCGTTACTGACAATTTCGTATTTGGGGAAGCCGAATATTTCGCGAATATCTCTTCCAGCTCGGTATTTGCAATATAACGAACTGCAAATGAATTTGAGTTTCCCTTAAGTAAACTAATTTTGATCGCGGTGTTTCTAGTGTCTAATGCTTAGTTGAGGGTTTATTCTATTGCATAATTCTGCCCATCATGATTTGCATACCTTGTGCATGAGGTTTGCGGGATTTCGTACTGCGACGGGAGTACACAAACTTCTGCCGAGAGAAAACAAACCGCTTCATCAGAGAAAAAGTAAAATCTTAAAATCATCAAAAAAGTAACAAACAGCAATCTCAGGGAATAACATATTCCTCATTTTTGAAATTATGATGATGTAAAGCAATTGCTTCGCATCAACTGTTTTAATTTGTTCATTAAATCGTTAATCAGTAGCTTCTGGCGTTGAGTATTTGCGTTGTGAAGTTGGATATGAGGGTAGATTTGTACATGTAAACCACCCTTAAGCATACCACGATGGGAATAAGGTGAAATAAAGGTATATCTGAAGTGTGATCTTCACGTAAACCCAAACAACTTACCCATTGAATATTAAATCCAACAGCAACATGTGACAAAGAAGAGAAGCGAGGCGAACATAAAACCGGGTTACAAATGAGTGCCAAACGTAGCAGTTTATTTTCTAGTTCCTAGATCTTCGGGCTTACCGGCGGTCCAAGTCGAAGTCCGAAGAAAAACTGAGGTAGAGCGTTTCCGTTGTTTTCACACGAAGACATCGCTGCGGCTTCAACACTACCACTTTATCACAAATGAACAAAAAAAAAACAGTACTTCGCACGAGTTTGTAAAACCCAAATCCTTCAGAACGGTAAAATAAATTGTTCTTTAAGTATACGAAAGGTACATTTAGCAACACGTGACCAAAGTTGTTATAACATACAGAGTCTCCTTGTTAATTATATGACCCGTTTTTCAAGAAATATTCCATTTAGCATTAATGTCCAGCGGGGAGTAAAATGGTTGACTGTCACCGACTTGTTGATTGAAAGTGGATTTCTGCGGCAGGTGCAAAGGAAGAATTTTATGAAATACTTATTCGAGATTACTTGAAGCCAAAATAATCACAGCGAACACGAGTTTAAATGTTTATGGCGCGAACAACCGGTTGTTTGTCTCAATGATTTGCAAGAAGAAGAGAGAAATAATATGTGAGTTCAAGTAGCGGTCGATCATACTGTGAAAGATAATAAAAAAGATTAGCGGAAAGGGCTTTTTCAATTTCTTGAAGTGAGATTTGATCATCACAAAGAACGGCCGGAGGGGGATTCTGTACCACTATCAGAATGACATATACTGACCATTTCCTATCAAGGTTGAACGTTTTTCGACTTCCTTACTCCTGATATCACTGGCTCTTCATCTCTCGCTTACTTAAAAGAAATTATTTAAATTATATTTTCCCGACAACTATTAATTCCACTATGGACTATGACATGACTTGCCGACACGTCGTTTACTCTATCTGTTGTCTACTTATCTTGCACCGCTTTTGAGACATGCATTAATGGTTTTTATTGGGTTTCCTCGCCATTAATATATACATTTATATATATATATATTTTTTGTTTGTTTGTTTTGTTTTCTATAGCAATTGCTGTAAGTTGTAGTAATATTACAAACGCCAAACTTGCACCCATTTCATGCACGTATATATTCTACTGTCTCTTACTACGCGAAAGCAATCAAGACAGTTTCACCAGCATTCAGTAAAGCCTACATCACGAGATCTAACGATTGGAGAAAACGCTGTCCCAAAACATCACTTCATACGCTTGCAGTAGACGAACTGCACGTTTAATATCACTGTAATGAACTTTCTTGAACGTGCCTTTATCGGCCTCTGCGTTATAAGCCTCAATAGCCCTTATAGCTCCGTCGTCTAAATCCCCACTACCAAAGAATCGAAGGAACTCCAGGTCTTCTTCTTTCATGTGGTAGTTCTTTTTCAGTGCATCTGCGAGACGCGAACACATTCGTCCAAACGCTGGGAAATTAACCGCAATGGCTGCTGCAATCTGCGGAGCTTCGCCATAATGGACTAGACGACACAAATACGACGGATAAGCTTGGGCTTCGGCCCGAGGCTCATAACCTTCCAGATGTGAATCTGAAAGCTTCATAGCTTTTGCCATGCTGAGAAGCTTGTCAAAAGCTATCTTCTCGCCTGTCAAAAAGAACTGGAAATACTCTCGAATGATCTCATTGGCGTTGAACCTGGCCACTAGGTGCTCCATACTTCGAGTGTCAGAGGCTATTATGTGATACTGTTCGCAGAGAAGTCGTTCCACAACTGCCAGAGGGAGTGTTCCAGCGCTTGCTTCCTGGACGACAGCATGGCTTCCTAGCCTTTCTTCAGTCTCCACAGAGAATGGCTCATTTCTCAAAGAGGCCAGAATTTCTTTGGCAGATTTGTTGGCCGCCATTAAGGGCGAAATAGAATACGAGTTTCACTTATACGCCGTAGAGCTTCTAAACTTCCTAAAGAAAAAAGAAAAAGAGCAGGGTAGGTTCAACGTCGAAAAATTACGTTTTGTCATTACAAGTTTGAACATTTTAAAGCTGATCTTTTTTCGTCGGAGTAGTCACCTTTTGAAAACGAGCAGACAACTACTAACTATTAAGTGTTGCGTTACAGTCACAATGAAAGTCACATTCAAACAACATGTCGGAGGAATGATTTCGTTGTATCATCCTTAGTCACGCATGAGGAGCCATTACCATACTAGAATTACAGTTGCATGGTCGCATTATGAGATCATTTCGACTAAATTCACCATAAAAGACATTTAAAATCGTGTTTTTGAAGATACTGGGAGCATTTGGCTAACAACCATAAAAGTGAAATGTATTTTTTAACATTTTTATTCCATGCGTCGTAGTGCGTGACAAAGGTTATATTTTACTTCATCTTGAATGAACTTTGTATCAGCATATATGTTTATAAACCTCGCAAATCAATACAATAACAATCGCTTGCCAACAGGGCAAAGCAAGAAAACTAAAAACGGCTAAATGGCCATGAATCAGCCGAAAAACTCATGCGAAGGGACAAACTTTTACTGAAGATAGTTTTGTTCTAGTCCAAAACAAACACAGATTATTGGGTTGAGAGTGCGACCGTCCATTCTCACAGAAACCTAACATCTCACCCATTGCACAACATAAACATATTCACACATTTACGGGGGCTCATTGTGCGAGCTTTCGCTAGCGCTACCTCTGCTATTGTTGAGAAGATCTGTTGGATATAATTATTTTGGCCTTAGTCTAATCGCCGAAAGCTCGCGAGTTCTAGATCAAGGCAATTACTTAGAGCACACAATTTTCATCTTGCGTGCTCCCTAACGAAATTACGAACAAAATAGATGATGTTCATAGATTTAGGTAGAAACGAAGGATGGAAAATGCTGGCTAAAGTCAAACAATCTTACCTTCGTTAGCTTTCGTTACTTGGGAAGCAAGGTCAATACACGGTACAGTAACATAGAGTCAGCGGTAAAACAATAAATCTATTTGGCGTCATATATTTCATATGACGAATACTCAAGGCCTAAGAAAAAACTATTTACAAATCCAAGGGGAAGTGATTTTTCATCTCGAATTGCACGTGCGTTGCACGCGTAAAGCGCAAATTATTCGCGCAAAGCATATAGTTGTATGCAGAAAAAATACACTCAATCGCATGTAGAATGTCGTGCAGGGTGCGAAATTAGTTTGAAAGGGCGAAGATATTTCTTTTCAATTCCTGATATTTTTCCTGTCTATTGAGGGAAAGATGATTTTAAAATTAATGACCACATGGTCGGACCAATGATTAATTTTAATAACATTCGGTTAACGCGGTGGGTACATTATTGAGTGTTCGACGATTTTCATGGGATCGTGAAGCAAAAGTGTGATATGAAAACGAATGAAGAATGATCACTTCAAACTGGGGAGAACCACTAGAAACGTTCCAGAGTTACTGTTTGTAATCCGCAAAATAATCTCCGATGTGTTGACGAAATTTGCTAAAGAATCATCTACTTTAAAAATTGTTTGTGTCCTTTACGTTAGTCTTAAAGAACAATTCCTTCTCCGTGCTCTCTATTGACAGCATGACGGAGGGATGAGTTCACAAGCACATGTGCCAAAAGATCAGCAGCCTGAAAGAGAGAATGGAAACGTAAGGCTAATTTCTTACGCTTCTGTCTGGACACTCGTTGGGATATTTTGAGATATATCTTTTGACTGATTATTTAGCTTAAGAGTGAAGTATTTGCTCGTCCATCACGATCTACCTCAGTCCATTAGCATGTTACCATACGAACGCTGCTCTTTCTACCGTTCGATGTGTGGCTTTTTCTGCTGTTATTCCCCTCCCCTCTCCCACGCCTCCATTACCCTGCAGCCATGAAACCCATTTGGGATTTCTGAAAAACTGTTTTCACACATCGTTTTTGAATACTCATTTGGGAAATTAGTGAACTGAAAGTGAAACGATCGATTGTGGGAGTAAGATCAGAGAATTAGTGGTTAAATACGATTCAATGTCTGTTGGTTACAGCAAGTACCCTCATTGTATGACACGAAAGGAGAAAGGGAGAGGGAGGAGGTGAGAAACTTTCTAAAGATGAGCATATTTTACGAGTCCTGCGGTTCAGAACATGATAAATAAAGTCTGCTCTTCCACTATTTGATAAATTAGGGTAGCATTGTTTTCACTGGAAGCGGCTTGCACGGTAGCATGTAAATAAAAATTTTTAAAACAAGTTGATAGTCAAGTTACCTCATTGATGGAAAACAGGCAGTTTTCATTGCTATCACCACACAAGAAAGATAGCATGGCGTCCGTAAGTGGCAGTTTCTGGAGGGCGTCTATAAAATCTAAGAAATTGGGACCGATTTAAAATGTCATACAGGTGTTCCATGAGATTTTAACATGAATTTTTGGAAACTTCATGCAAGTTGCAAGAACGCGCCATAGCTTTGTAACTGAATAAAGAACTGTGTGAACAACCAAACCTACCAAGGATAAAATCTTGGCAAAAAAAAAAAAAATTGATCTGTGTCATGCCTATTAATTACCAAGTCTAACTCATTGATCGTGTCACAGTAAATAGATCTAAAGCCAAAGTGAGGGCTAAAAGGAAGAGCTAATGTATATTATACTTTGTAAAGGTAGAGAAATACGGGTAAAGAAAAGGTGAGGGCTTACATATTTTAAGGTTAGAGACATAATTCCAAGAGAAAATATCGTTATATATGAAATGTCTGAAAAGGTGGTGCTGTTATACATTTTCTAGTTTTTAGAAGGCTTAATTAGATCTTTGGTCAATAAATATGGCTGATTCTAATGGTAAACTAGATTGATATGTAGTGACATCTTTAGATAGTGAACAGAGACCTTCTCTTCGTATTTAGGGATGATTACGTGGAGGCCCATTGATCAAACAACTATACTCGAGTATAAAAGGTTATAAATCAGTATAACACGAGAAAACAAAACCGAACTAAAATGATTAATCTCAATAGGACACACGCCTAGCTTTAGGACTTTTGTCAAGTATAGGATACGTTCCTCTCTAATGGGAATTTCACACGAAATTTCTGGAATTTTTTTTTGTATGTAAGAAACGCCTTCTGTCTCTCAGGAAACTCTGAGATGTGAATAGTAGAGATCGGCTGAGAAATTTCGATAACAAGGCAAAGGCATCAGTTAAAGGCTCTCTTTTTTGAAAATCCTTGAAACGATGGTCACTTAATTATTTATAAACTCAAGGCTAAGTTATATTTACCTGTCCGAGCTAAGTTCTCGTTATGTCCTAAGTAGTTGACGGCTTTGTGGAATCGTCCTTGCTTGAGCAAAGAACCCAAGACCTGTAAAACGGCATTTAGAAACACTCTAAAGGGTACTAATGTCGAATAGGAGCAGCAGGAAAGAAATTAATGAAATCGATGAGAACTGACAAAAAAAAAAAGGCAACTTCCTTGATAACTAATTTTACCCCCCCCCCCGCTGAGTTTGATCCACCTGTGTAACCATAGGTGAGGAGGTAGCAGGAATTGGTTGACACTAATCCATGATGAAATGTTAAACTTGGGTTTATTGGATATCAGAGCTAACGATCTGTGGTGTCTAATCTTTTTAAAAGAACAGCTGAGCGAAGAAAATGTAAATGATATTTAAGTATGTAAAAGACTGGCACCTGTCAAGAAATTTACAATAATCATGGATAGCTCAATCACTCTCCGAAAAACTCGACTCCCAAAGATAATTTGGTTTTTAAAACAACTGAGTTGATAATATAAATTGCCCACCGTAAAGAGTTCAGTCAGCTTTAAAACTCTTTTAAAACTCTTAAAACTCTTGTCCAATTTACATGATCAATTCAATCGATAAAACCAAATTATCTCGCTATACATTTGAACCCCCATCGACGCAGTAACATCGTTTCTTTGAAAACTTACCCCTTTATTCTATACCTAAACAATGTTTTTTATTTCAGGTGCGACAATTGTCCAGTTACCTCTTTATGAGCACCAACATTTTCGAACACAGCTTCAGCAAGTCCAGTTAATCCACAGGTACAACTGGAACAAATTCAGAAAAGAAAAAACAAAACAAAAAACTAAGAAACAAGGTTGCTAAAGATATTCTTACGTATCTTATAAGTTTCGATCAAATGTTTCAACTGAAAAAAGGTGTAACAACATGAGAGCTTTTAGGAGGGCTTGCGTAATTTTGGCAGCCAAAAGGCTTCCTAAAATTTAGATTAATAAGACTTTTTTTCATTGAGTTTTTAATTTGTTAGTTTTTTGTTTCAATCTAGTGCAGAGACACGAACAATCCTGTAAGATAATAATAGTAATAAAAGTTACTACTATTAATATCATTATCCGGAATATTATAACTGTCATAGTTATAGGTATTCTACCTGTTATTATTATTATTATTATTATTATTACAGTTATTATCAAATATTATTATGGTAAGTTAAACAGCAACTGGTCCTGGATCGATTCAAACCGAGCAAACAATAATAAGAGCAAGGTCCTATATCGAATTCAGAAATGCCATAGATGAGCTGAACAGATTTCTTAATTTGTAATTCGTGTTCAACTTCTCCTTACTTGTTCCTCTTTGGCTCTTTTTCACTTCCTCGGTGTTTTTCATCTTACTGTTTAATGAATCTTCCTGTTTAATTATATTTCCGTAGATGTGCGAGCTCCACAGATTTCGTAATTTATAATTCGTGTTAAATTTTTCCTTACTTGTTCCTCTTTGGCTCATTGTTACTTCCTCGGTGTTTTCTATCTCACTGTTTAATCAATCTTCCTGTTATATTGCGCCTTTCAAAGTAACCGACACGTTTGACACATTGGTAGTGAATACATGGACTGCCGCATGTTTATGAGTTTACGTTACCTTTTCGTTTTAAACTAATTATCCTGAATCCAAACAAGCCTTTAATCCCAAGATACCGGTGCTTTACTCTATATCTTGCGATTATGACAACAAAGCATGAAGTTTCAGTAAAAACAAATTTCAGGGCGCAAAATTTCAATAGAGTTAAGTCCTTGTCAAGCCAATTTGATCTGAGTGAGATTAACCTAAGAGAAGATCAACGCAACTTTGAGCAAAAAAGTTGACAAAAGGTCTTGAGTGATTTCATAATCAGGTTCTTACGCAGATAGAACGATAGCGTTTTCCAGCTATGAATAGAGAGAATTCTTTATTTTGATAAGGATACTACTTCAAATTTAATTTTATAGATGGATGGCAATGGTTAATCGCACTAAATCCTTCTCTAGTTCTACAGTTATCACGTTATCATCAACACGCGACAGTTTAATTGTATTGCTGCCAAAGCCTGTTTACATCTTCATTAAAATTCCTCAGATCTGTACAGCAACACCAGTTATATGATGCCAAAATGAATTATCTTGTGTCTTCTCATTGCTTAGAACGTCTTGTATTTAGCAGATCAGTTTTCGCACGGAATTTCTGGGGTCCATGAGTGCACTTTATCCAGCAACGTCATCATAATGGAATCGATAAATCAAACAAAAACAGGAAGAACAACCTATAAACAACTAAATGCACACCAATATTAATCTGACGACCTAAAAATGACAGGTCAATAACAACTTAAAATGCAAACTTTCGCATGTAGATATTTTCTTTTTGCTTTCTCTTTGCTTTCTTTTTGCTTTGCTTTGAGACACAAATAAATGGAAAAAACTAGGTGATGAAAGGGAAATTCACAAAATTCACAGCAAAAAAAACTGGGCCTTAGATTAGTCACATCACGGTGATATAAAAATCCATCGGACAAAACCCTGTGATGTGATGATCCAAATGATCCTGAAGACTATCATGTTAGCATTGATATTTTTGAAAACAAAACTGATTCCCAAAATTTTCATTGACGAGACAATCGGTCTAAAAAAAGTCGCGAATAGCTAGTCTCTACTTCATCATAAACAGACGCTTGGTCACAAATCCGTCTAATTCACTCTACCACATGTGTGGTAACTACATCATCAGCTGCACGTTCATGATTTCACTTCAATTTAATGAGCCTTAATCAAAATAACCTTTTTCTGCCTATATCTCACGATCTCGTAATACTTCTATACAGATTCCAGGGGCTACACTTCAATAACTCAAGTCCTATGGTCAAATTTCTGCCAAAAAAGGGATCTATTAAGACCAATTATGTCTGTTGAACCAACAAAAGATGGAAAAAATTTGTTAAGTCAGCTGAAAAAAACTTTCAGGCTAGTGGAACAATGAAATTTTTTCAATATATTAGATAGATTTCTTTAGTACGGGGGGGGGGGTAACTCCTTCAGAATACGAAATTCCTGTAGTCGAAGGAGAACTATGGTTTGGCGGCTTCAGGCTTAAAATAATTCTTCAGCTGTTCTTGTAATTAATCACAACACCACGTCAATTGTTTCTCTTCCAAAGGCAGGTTACGTATAAGATAAGCCCTAAAATTATATAATGGTTCTACAGCACCACGTGTTCAGCGACGGAGAGATGTAAAGGGCTCAAAGTGCTTAAAAATAATTGCAACTAGCGCATCACTGACCAGATAACATCATTGTAGCAAGTGCTAAACAACAAACAAAAAAAAAACAAAAAACTCCCAAATGGCAGGTTTAGTTAGAATTGTAAAGATGATCTAAATACGTGAAACGAAAGCAAAGACAAAAACATGTTTAAGAAAAAAGAAAAAAAATCATCGGCAGAGGGAGACCTTTGAGTTGTCTGTAAAAGATCTTCAAATATCATATCATTAAGGTAGTGCACTAAACGAAGTCTATTGCTGTCTTCATAAGTATTTCCACGGAGGCTACCATGGAAGGTTAAGTTTTCAAACACACACACACCAGGCTCATGAAAACATTAAGTAAAAGAACAATAAAAAATCGCCTCTATTGAACGAAAGATTGAACAGAAAATTCTTACCCATTTTAATTTTCAAATCAGTCAACTGATCACTAGATGTAAATATACTTACACTTTCTGTTTGGCATTAACCCAGACCCATTGACCCGGTGATACGTGTGACGTCGATAGTAGATTTTTAAATTAACTGTGATGAGATAACTAATCCCGTTAATTACAAAGCTTCCGTAAGAGTGAATAAATCACGGATAACGTGAGTTATTCTGGAATAGAAGATTCGAGTAGGGAATCAATTCCTATCATGTAACTAATGACTTGGAGATGGATGTCCAGGGGCATCCAATTTTGGGCTAAAAAATTGTAGCTAAATTTACTTAAACTGTCATCAATGTCTGGTTTAAGACTGATCCATCAGTTAATTACATATGTATACGTGATCAGAATTTTCTTCAGTTTTTCAGGTTAACATATGCGGAATATTTAAAAAAAATTAAGCTTTAGCTATACAAAATGTCCATGAAGGTTTCAGATAAGCATTCTCAAAAGGCAGGCTAGTCTTGTTTGGTTATATATCAAAATTTTCTTTGTATAGTCAAACATTAGAATCCGTAGGTGGATTATTTTACAACTTTCTTCATATCAGTCATCAATGTTCAGATATTGCGCAGTCGGCTGACAACTGACAGCCCCATTAAAATTTGGCACGATTTGTATCAAAGATGGGCAGATCAAAGTGTGTTATTAGTGCTTCGATCATAGTTATAGAACAGTTAGGATACTTTCTACTATTGAAAGCTATCACTTTTTATTTCATAATGTTGGTGTATACTGAGACAACCTTCATTGAGACCAGGCCGGAGCAAAACGAAAGGAACAAAAGCTGCGCAAATCTCCAAACCGAAGCATACATTTGAAATAAAAATTGCTGTTTTTACTCCCTTGCATGATGCATATAGAAACGAAACATCTTAAAGGAGAAGCCGGGTAACATTTCACAAGGCTCTCTTGCAAAGAAAGAGGTGGGTGATTGACACAAAAGGCAGAGAGGAAATTTTCTTTTTGGGTGTTTACTCTTTTAATTGTTGTCCATACATATTTTAGCAATGACTCTCAAAGTGACCTTTAACCAACAGCCACTCAAATAGACGTCAAAACTTTGATTCAAGTAACGAGAGAGCCACGTAAACTGATCTCAAAATGCTGAGGCAGTAACAAAATTAAAATTTACATTATATACTACTGTTGTAAACGCATACTTATAAAAAAGGCTTTTAGAACGAGTGTTTTTTTTTTTTTTACTTTTTGGTGTCTTTTGAAGAGCGCAACAGGAAAGAACCACGAGTCTACCATATCTATACAAATATAAAAACCTAACATCGCTGAATAACGATAACTACTTTTTAAGAACGCCGAGCGATTAAGTTTGATGTCATTAGGCTAGACGAGTTTCCGTTTCGCTAACAACTAAAGTAAACTTTACTTACAATCTTGCATGCATATCATACCGAGAAAATATTTTGCGAAATATAGTCGTTGCAAGACTAGTTCAAAACAGGATTTTTATTATGCAATAAGTTATGACAACAACTCGGTTATCGAGCGCGACTCGAATGGTTAATAAATTGATTATTTGCGCAACGATTAAAGTATTTTTATAATCATTCGATCTTGCATTAGTACGCTTTCCCATTCTGAATAAAATTTTATCCTACCAGGGTTCCCACAAAATAATGGTTTAAGCGAAATCAATTTAGAGGAAAATCAATGTTTGTTTACAGTCGAGTTTTTAGACATATGTCATCTGTTGGTCTGCCCGAGAATGTCGTTTGAGAGCGCTCCTGAAAACTTTTCTCAATTCCTTTCTGAAAATCTGCGTTTTCAGGCTATAAATAACAGGGTTCAAGGCTGACGAGCATAAAGCGAGAGTCTGAACCCATTTCAAAGACTTTCTGACAATGCGGCTGTTCTCACTGTGACGGAAAATCATCGGAGTTATGAGCAAAGGCAACCAGCAAATGATAAAGACGACTATGACGAACCCAATGGTTTTTGCTGCTATATTTTCCTTTTTAATTTTTTTGTTTGAATCTCTCTTGATATGCTCCCCTTGCTTAGCGATGAGCCTTGAATGATTACGAGCGATTGAATAAATTCGCACATAGATCGGAATTATGACGAACAAGAGTGCAATTACATAGTACACCGTGATATGTTGAATAGATCGTACGAAACCACTCGGTATTCCCAGCGCCAAAGACACGACCCAAATGGCGCAGAGGAGGAGAGAGGCGCTCTTGAAGTTAGCTCTGAGCTGGTACTGCATTGGGTTAACGATGGCTATGTAGCGATCGATTGTCACGACAGCTAAGTTGCTGATTGATGCCAGAAGGGAGACAAATGAAAACATCTTTCGTGTGTTGCCGTATGTTGTATTAGGTGGCAACCCATACAGGAACACTGCGTTCATGGGCTGCGAAACGACACAAACGAGGAGATCTGCCGCTGCTAAACTCGTTATGAACGTGTTAGAGACGGTGTGAAGTTGCCGGCTACGCGCTATCACAACGACGACGAGCACATTGCCCAAGATACCGCACAGACTAAAAAAAACGTTCACGCTAGCGAGGAAATAACTTTCAAAACCAGTCAGGTCCGTTGTGTAAGACCCATTCCCCGTCATGTTTTTTCTAAACGAGAGCCCTGTTTTCTTGGAGAACACCGTCTGGTTAAAGAGAGCTGCTGAGCCAAAGCTGACTGGAATTACAGATGATAGGACACCGCTATTTATTCTCGCCAGCTTCCGCAATGTATCTTTGTCCTGACAGTTACGTGACGTTTGTAGCAGTTGAAAAGAAAGGAAATATTATGTTCGCCAACTGGATCGAAAATAGTCCCAACCGCATCCTATGGATACTCGCGCTCGCTGTGCATCGCCCGGTCCTATAAAACACTAATAATCTCACGCGAGATAAGCTTACTGAAATACGACTCGTCATTAAAGAGATAACCTCTACACTTGTGACCGCATCTGAACAGATTCGAGCTTTCCTTTGGGCTCCTCTTGAGCATACTAATGAGAACTTGCAAAGCCATTTATTAAAATGTAGAGCTTAAAACTAATGATTTGTCAGCCTATGATGCGCAAGCGGTTTAGGTTACTTCATTAATTTTACATAGGGCGGCATTTGCACCTGCCATAGAGCTTGAGGAAATTGAGAGTTTATTTTACTCGTAACCGAGTAAAATATTTTACATCGAGGATAGAAAACATATTTTCTTTTCGACAACGAAATTTCTGCTTGCAAAGGGTGAAGCAGATTTCTTAGGGGATTATGTTGAAAATCCTCAAAAATATGTTTATGGACTTTTCAGACGCCTTTCAGTCTTTAGATGCGTGGTTAACCATAACAAATATCAGGTCGCTAATTTATTTACGATGCAAAAAGCCAAACTAGGTCCAAACTAGGTCCAAACTAGGTGTTTTGCAGTTTCTATTTGCGCTGAGATAAATGAGCCAAAGTTGTCGATAATTAGGACAATTTTTCAATGGGAGAGTAGATTTGTCCTACGATTATATCAGTCTTGACGCAGTTTTCGAAAGAATGAAAAGGTGTATAGTAAATAATTGCAACATGAGGCACCTCCTAGCTTCAACAGACTCATAATAATGCGAGGACGTCTCTCAAAACAAATGTGACACTGAAAATTAGACAAAGAAACCTTAGCAACACTTCTATTTTAGGAAAATTACGACGCAGTAATGAAGAACTTGGTGGCAAAACGCCTTATTTCCTCGTACTTCGCTACTGACAAATTTTGAGACTCGAGAGGAGATGCACTGGCCTCTTACTAAGTTCTTTTTTGACAACAACGTTGAAGAGGAAACAAATTTTAAATTTCGACTTGCTGTAGGAAACTCAACATGGGCTACGGGCCACGAAATGCGACCGAATAATTGTTAACTGAAGTGCAGACCTTCCATTATGCTAATTCTTAAGTGTTGGATACGAGACATCTTGATGAATTGTACAACTCAAACAAAAACGGAAGAAGACGACGAATATATGCACAGAAGGTGATGTTATGCTAATCTTTCACGTATGTAATTAGAAAAAACTTGTATTTTTCCTCTTAAAAATTATAATATAAATTAAAGCGAACTTCATCCGAAACTTTTCTTTATCTCGTACATTTCCTATCAGATTTTCTTTTCTTATTCACTTTGGAAACCAATTAAGACTACTTAAGGAAATTGAATGCGAACAAAGCAAATATGTCAAAATGCCGCTCGATCAAGTTGTCTACACGTGCCACTTTGTGGTCTGTTTTATTTCCTTGGTTGCTCGCATGGCTTAAAATTTGAAACAAGGAAATTGTGACAATGAATGATCACGTTACGCCTTGAGTTAATCACACCAGGCGTAACCAAAAGACCTCTATTTCTTGTCGGAAGTTTGCTTTTAACGGTAACTGTTTCAATATATCAGAGAAAATTGCGAAAATATAGCCACCTTGCTAAAAAAAAAGAAAATAGAACCGGAACTGCGATGTAAATTGAAAATATGAACCAGAGACAAAAATAATGAAATAAGTGATCACGTTACATCTCACAAAGCATCAAACGGATGTTTTAAATTCTAGTTTTGATCGTGGTGAAAGCGCTACACACACAAAAAAAACTCGGAAATGCTATGAATACTTGCTAATTCTAATGCAAGGAAATTTCACTACATTTTAAGTACAGAAACCCTTAGAACCAGCATTGTTTTGACGAAATCTTTTTTGTTGTATGAAAAAGGCATCTAATAATGCATTTTTGTTTTGAACTTGAACTGTCTATCTTTTATTAAAAGCTTTCTAACCGTATTATTAACAGTTAACAAAATGGTTATTAGGGACATGCAATCAAATGTAGAATTACTAACTAGTGAATCAACTATCTGCCACCCACTTGACAGGAGAACAACATTAGATTTAGAGAATTATGTTGCTATAATTAGCTAAAGAGAAATTTCTGAGTTTTTGACTTAGTCCAGTCGTTAAGGAAGAAAAATATTGTTCATTAGTGATTCACAGGGTTTAAATCTTTAGAGCTATATCTACACCGGTACGTGATCTTAGGCGTCAACAAGTAGGTTTTTTAATTCCATTTCATCTCAAGGTACGTGCTCCCTTGAATTATATGTTTAAAAACTGAGGTGAAAGTGAATTAAACGCTACCTTACATATTTTTGGCATTTGTATGTTTAAATTTCTGCAAAGTGATTATTTTTAGGTCAAAATGGTTGCTAAGGTAGAGGAAACAAAATTTAGATAGTCTAACACTTTCGCTAGATTAATCCTGAGAAAAACGAGGCTAAAGAGGAATCTACTTTTACGAAACCTTACCTTTTACAAAAGGAGGAAAAAGCGATCGTTAAAACCATGCTCGATGGCATTTTCTTATGGACAGTTTCAAGTTTGCCACAAATAACAGCTTCAGCAAAATTGTACGTATATAGATAAAAATATTGATGTTTCTTGCGTTAATAAAAGGCAAAATAAAGAAAGAAGGTAGGAAACATCAAACGCCAATACTTCTAATGTATATTATAAGAAAAGTCACTTTGCTAATGGTGAATTTCGGGTGATGTTTTAAAATAACAATGAAAATTTGACCTACAAGATGATATGCTAAATTCGATTTATTTCCATCATGAAGATCGTACTCTACATCACTAATAAAGCACAATATTAGCCGAAACCCTCTTTTAACGGTCTCTCTGATACTTGGTAGAGCCTTCGTGCTTCAAATTTCGTTTTAAAAAACCACTGCTTGTTACCTGTATTTAACAATGACGCAAAAAAGAAAAAAAAAGTAAAGAGTAAAAAAGAAAACAATTAAAACTGAAAAGAATTGAAGCTGAATCGAATTGAAGTGTCAACACTATTCTGTAATCTCTGAATATTTGATCACCATTAGTCATAAAGGTAGCAAAGTTGAAAGATCAAGGTTTTGCTCCTTATTTTGGTAAAAGAACCTGTATTAAGCAAACTGGATCTCAAGAATGTTTTTTTTTTTTCATTCACTAATTCACTATACTAATATATTCAACTGACACTGCTGCTTTTGGAAAGGTACAACATCGTTTAAAAAAAAAACAAACAAACAAACAAAGAGCAAATGCTCGACACGTAACAGTACTGCCAAGTCTGTGCTAACACTCCAAGAGGAAAAAAGAATTATGACTTATAGACAAAAAAACCGTTGCTCTGTTGAGCACTCGCTATTTTCCAACGTTTTGTAGAAAAGCTGACGATTCGAATTCTAAATGAGGAAATCGAAAGGCTTTAGCATACAAATAAACAGTAACAGGTAAGGATAGAGCGAGAATTCACCTCTGAATAAAGAACAAATGTGATGATAAAAAGTAACTGGAGATATAATCCATTCTCAAAGTAACAGTGTGAACTTCCGCCTCGAGTCTATGAGTGAAACCCTCGTTACGAAAAAGCAATAGTAATTCAGATGTAACCACGAATCACCCAGTTTTATTTTGAAAGAAAGGAATGTTCTACAGCTCAGAAATGGACTGTTCTAAAAGAACACTGGCTGATAACATTTCGTAATGGTCTGTTGGCACAATTCTCATGGGCTATTATCCACCTTCTTGATATGCAATGAACTTTATAAAGGCACTTTAGCTTAACATTGACTCGTTAATCTGAAATTTCTTTTTTAAGTTTATTCAAATTATTTGCCTAACCGCTGGCGTGTTTTACCTTTTAAGACATCGTCGCTATTCAAAAGCTTTAATTGCTTGGAAATAAAATTCGTGATTGAATAAACTCGCACTTGCATTTCTCATTCATTTCCCATGATCAACACAATCTTGTAGTGGTAAATTCATCAAAACCTAACCATCAGATTCAAATTAAAAACCATGTTACCAAAATATCTTAGTAATATAACATCTATTAGAATGCCAGTCTCTTTCTTAGCAGATGGAAAAATAAACATAGGAAATTCAAGCATGCGAAACTATGTTGGCTAAACTTCAAAAGGTCTAAAGATGCATGTGGTGGAAAAACCAGATGCGAAGTCAGAATTTTAGCTCTTTCCCTACAATATTGAACAACGAAAGCAAATTAGTACAGGAACAGTTCATCAGCAATTGCGAAACGCAAGTCTATGGGACATCCTGTCCACTTTTCTACTTTCGAACCACGTGGCTCACACAATCGAAAAAGCTCTGATGTAAATCTTATTAAGACAGAGCGTATGACAAATTATTGTGAAATGGCCAAAAAAACCTACAACAACCTCAGGTTACGAAACAGAAGACACAACATAACTTCCTATACAAAAATTATTTCTTGGTTTAATAAGGTATTGAACTTAAAATAAATCCTTGACATTCTTCCATTCTTATGCGTGCCTTTCTTTTTTTATATATGGCACAATATCACAAAACGAACTTCAGGATGTAATTAAACATCAGTATTTCAAAATGATAGATTCCTTATCAAGTTTCTTGTCTATTATTCCAACTAGTTGGTCATTTGGATGACAATTCTCAGGAAACAATTTTAAAATGATGGAGTGTGAAAGCCAACACCTTGTTTAATAAAGAATGCCTTACCAACTTCGTTCCGCTGAAAGAGGAACGTAACCTTCATTTTGGCGAGCTTCACCAATTA